AACAATTTCGGTTTCATAAAATTTAAGCCGAAATTAAAAAACGGTGGCATCCGGAAATTGGGCACAATTTGGCGGAGTGTTCCCTAACGTGGCGCACTTAAATAAATCTCGGAAAATTCCAAATTAACATTTAAGAATTTCTGTAAACTTGATAAATTCTGATAAATCATTATTATCTCTACTTACATACCCAGCCAGATGTTTGTCACAAAATTATTTTCTTATTTTCGGGGCATTTTCAAAGGGTTCACTTTGCACTTGAAAATAAAATCGGAAAATCACGCCAAAATATTTTTTTCTTTTAACTTTGTAGCGGGTAAATAAACTCGCGATTTATGAACGGGAGTGTTTATAACTTGATGAAATTTCACTTTTTGTGAAATTTCAGTTAAAACTTTTGCTCTAGCTAGGGGCTACAGGCGAAAAATCAAAATGCGCCACGTTAGGGGCCGCGCCACGTTTGGGTACATCAACAATACTGAAAAAAAGTCACAGGCCTACGCGGCCGTTTGCTCAGCACGTAGCTCACAATGCCCGCGTGCGATGCATTTTTGCAGGGTTTTCTGAGGAAAATATCTATCCTGTTTTATTTCTTTCCACTTGCGAAAAGCTCACAGTGTGCAAATCTTTTAAAGTCTGCTGGCGTTTGTCCTCATTTTTTTTTAAAAAATCACCCGACTGACAAACAAGAACATTAGGGTTTGTTAATCTTTTTAGTTCAGCACGTAGCGCAACTGTTGAGGGCACACACCCTGAAGTTTCCCCACGTGCATGTAAAAAGGGAAATATAAGGATCCCCATGCCTGCTTTCACGTACATGTAGGCCTGTAGTTATACAATGTACATGTAATTGTTGTTTTTTCCCTTCCCGTCGCAGGTACTCCAAAGGTTGGAAAGGCTGGGTGATTGGCGAGGCAGAGGCGACGAAGGCATTCCAGCCAGTTGATGGACGGCGTCGACCAAAACACAATCCGCGATATTTATAAGGCCAAAAAAAAGTCTCCGGTTTCTGGTATGGAGCTTGCCCAAAAAGTGGTGCGGCGACGCGGCTTTTTGTTTTTTTTTACCTGATTTTTTTTGCTTCAAATGTCGGCCGATGACTGCAAATGGTGCCCGAATAAACTTAGTGCAAATATATCATATGGGAGTCCAGAGAGGCCACATAAAGCTTTTTCTCGACCATTACCCAATCTAAAAACACGTTAAAATTGTGCAGCAGCAGGATTCAAGTCAAACCAGTGAGTTTGGCGGTTTTGAGACATCATTTTGTCATTGAAAAAAAAAAAGCTTTTTCATTTTGCCGACGCGCATGGCTACGGCGACGAGCGCGCATACCAGAAACCGGAGACTTTTTTTTGGCCTAAGGCCCCTGTAAACTTTTTTTTTTAATTCTCTCGAGTAGACAGTAACTTCCGCTGGATGATGACTTGAATTTTAAACCTTGCAAAGTTATGCGTGGTTATTCAAATTGTACATACATGTACATGTAGGATCGTTTTGGTAAAATTTGAACGGACGGTATAAAACAATTTCAAAAGTAAACTATATTTTATATTCTGCCACAGGACATCCTTGCAATTTATGACGACATCATGCTGTTTACATGTATTTATGTTTGGCACTCTCCACTAACTGAACACTTCCATTATTTATTTCTTTACGATACATGCTGTTGTTTCCATGTTATCAACAGCTAACTTCAAAACAAAAACATTTTGCTGAGGAAACTGCTCACCTTTAATGCATATACTTTTTTGTGGCTTTTTGTTCAGTTTAGAAACAAAAACAAAGATCCATGCAAAAGAAATACAAATGTCTGTCCATTTTTGATCACGTATGTCACATGATTTAATTTCTTGCCAACCATAAAAATCTTTAAAGAATAGTCTTATGAGTGCACATACATTGATAACAAAGGTATGTGCAATACAGCTGCCATTATTTTATTATTAGAAGTCAGTCCATTTTGATGAACAGAATCGAGAAGATCGTCTGTCCTCAGCTCCCAGGAAGGTGACATACGTGATTCTATAGTGTACATGCACATGTCTGTCCATGTAACAAACGTTACTCATTGAAACAAAACTACATGGTTTTCATCTAAAATAGAGTAAGTCTTTATTTAATTAAGATTATTATAAACTAATTTAGAAAAATACTGGCTTACATGTATGATCAATACTGTTTTCATTCTTAAATTTGACTTTAAAACGCAAAAAAGTCTGTCCATGTGACAAACATGATAAATGAGTCTGTCCTTGTGACAAACGTGATTCATTGAAACAAAATTACACGCTGTTCATCTATTGATCTAGTCTTTATGCAAATAAAATGATCACAAATTAACGAGAGAATAGTTAAAACGTTTGGGTAATTATCAGTCACATTTTTATTTCTACATGTAGTTAGAAATTGTATACACAATACAATGTACATGTATGTCTGTCCATGTGACAAACGTGATGTTTAATACACGTCAGCATTTATTCATGGTAATTTAATTATGTGGATTGGAAGTAGGAGATCTTATTTTCATGAATCATATCATTTGATCTCTGTCTTGTGACTATGTTCGTATAGCCTGCTGGGATGGGGGTTATCAATGCCACTGCAATTTAGTCATCCTAGATTTTATTACATAACTAATCGTCATTTTTTTTTAAAATATTTATCAATTGATTCCTGTTATTATTGCTGAGGTCTTGTCTTTTTTATATCTTTGCCTTAATGTATTTTTATGTACAATGTATTGCTATTTGTTTATTCGGCATTAAAAATACACAAATATGCAGCATGTTGTTTGCTCACTTCATCGTCCGTTGCTTTAGATTTTTTTGACATCCCTGCTTATCACCAAACAGCAGAAGTAGTGCGCATAGGTCAATCGCGAGCAATGGGCCGAAGTACATGTACTATGAAAGCTCACAGCCGCGCAACGCCGAAAGATACACACTAATGACGAATTATAATTACTACATACATGTACATGAAGTTCACTTAAAACAAATCATTTTTAACAAGCCATTCTCATCTCCTTTATTGTCTTTACAATCATCAGCTGTTTGACTATAAAACAACGTCTTAATTGATTCGAAGTCAATAACCCGTACGTCGCCAGGTTTTCAGTGTGTCACAAAAGTGACCGCAAACGCTGTGGCGATCGAATCATGGCTGTACATATGTACACGCACGACACGAGGGTTTTGTTCCATATCCGGGCTCATTCATTATGAAACGTGTGAAAAATTGCGTATGTCTCAGCAAAAATGATCTGGAGGTGACAGAGTCATATGAGAGGGTCCAATCAATGAATGCAAAAAAAGTTCATTTACATGTACACATAATTATGTAGTCCGATTTCACGGAGTCTGATTTTATGACAACGGCGTCAAAACTCAAATAAAGGAAACTAAATTCCCACAATATTAATGTTGATGTACACTGCGTGACGCGGCCCCCGATCTGGTGCTCTTGGTTTTTTTGCCTCTAATTGCCTTGTTGGAGCAAAATTGGTACCTCAAATTTCACAAAAAATGAACTTTCATCAAGCTCTAAACATTCCCGTTCATTAAAATTTTGAGTTTACGTAGCCTACCCGCTACGGGGAAATTGCATTTTGACGCGATTTTAGGATTTCTTTTTCGAAGTGCACAATGAACCCTTTTAAATTTCGCCCCCGTTGAATTTAAGAAAATAATTTGCTGACAAACTTGTAGTTTCGTATGTGAGTGGCGATAATAATGATTTATAAGAAATTATCAACTTTACAGAAATTCTTAAATGTTGATCTGGAATTTTCCGAGATTTATTCGAGGGCGTCACGTTAGAGAACACACGGCCGAATTTGTGCCCAATTTCCGGACGCCTAGGTTGTTTTTAATTTCGGACTTAATTTCATGACACTGAAATTGTTCACAAAGGTTCAACAGCAAGTATTATTAAGGTTATAGTAGGCCTAACATTATTTAATTGAATGGATTTGAAGTTTTCTACGAAGAGGTTTGGCAACAGGCTGTATATGAGAAACGTCGGGGAAACGTCAAAGTGAACCACATTAAGGAACAAAATGTTGACAACTTCCAAACTCCAAAGCGAGTCGAACTCGTCAATCAAACGAACACTTGGGTCGTCCATTCCTTCCTCCATGGGTCGTCATACCTTCTGAAATTAACTTGGTTGCAGAGATTTTCAAACTCGCCATTTTGTAGATTGACAAGTGCATTAAATTAGGTCCCCGCCACGGCACATATAGCTAGTAGGAAAAGGAGTTCAGAAAATGGAGACTTTTGCATCGTGGGCCCTGCTCTTACGGCACCAAAAAATGCAAAACAAATGTGGAAGTACCGGTACATTGCAGCATGTTTGACATATCGTCATAACACAGCATGTGCCTTAATTAGTCAACCCCCCTGTCTGTGTAGCTCTGCACGAGCGCACTAAGATAAGCTTGTTCTTATCAACGGATTGTAAGGATATGTCTATACAAAGGCGAACCGAACGGTACACTACTGGCATAAGAAGATTACGATAAGGGAGTTTTCACGGATTCCACAACACCGTGAAAAACCTAACGGTACACTACTGGCATAAGAAGATTACGATAAGGGAGTTTTCACGGATTACACAACACCGTGAAAAACGTAACGGCACGCAGTCGGGCGCTAGAGGCTGATTTCACCGGATTTTCACGGACGGCTATCTCCTTGGCTAAACAAAGACTTTTCTAAGGGTGTTTTCACGGACTCCTAATCCCCCTTAGTATGTTGAAAAATCCGTGAAAATTTAGTTCACGGAAAATTCAGGGAGAAATGGCTCTTTAACGAATTTTTAAGGGATGAAGATGTTCATAGTGTGGATGGGGTTAAGTTGGGTCTTGGTTGGATTATGTAGGGTTGGGTTGGGTAGGTTTGGGCTTGTTTTGGCATTGGTTGGGTTGGGTTGGAAATTGTTTGAGTTGTAGCTAGCATTCATCTAACATCTTTCCTATCAACACATTCCAGATGCAGTGATGGTTGCTTCTCCGTATTACGGCGGAATTGAAAATGACAATACCATGCGGCCAGAAGCCAAGGTCATACGTGTCCACTTCTACAGCAAGGTACTCTGTCAATTACTGGTGTTTTGTTAGGTCATGACTTGTGTTCTTAGGCAGGATACTTTGCTGTATCTCTATCCACAATCATTAAGAAAAAAATTCCATGATGTGGGTTCAAACCCAACCAGAGGATGCTTCTTGTGTCCATGGGCAAGACACATTGCTGTACCGGTATCTCTATCCACTATCATTAAGAAAATAATGCCATGATGTGGATTCGAATCCAACCATATGATCACGTTTCTTGTGTCCATGGGCAAGACACTTGCTTTGTCTCCACCAACAATCATTAAGAAAAAGGGCCATTAGGTGGGTTCAAACCCAACTGGAGGATCGTGCTTCTTGTGTCCATGGGCAAGACACTTTGCTGTGTCTCCATCCACAATCATTAAGAACATAGTGCCACGCTGTGGGTTCGAACCCAACCAGAGGATTGTGCCTCTTGTGTCCATGGGCAAGACACATTGCTGTGTCTCCATCCACAATCATTAAGAAAATAGTGCCATGATGTGGGTTCAAACCCAACCAGAGGATCGTGCTTCTTGTGTCCACAGGCAAGACATTTTGCTGTGTCTCCATCCACAATCATTAAGAAAATAGTGCCATGCTGTGGGTTCGAACCCAACCAGAGGATTGTGCTTCTTGTGTCCATGTGCAAGACATATTGTTGTGTCTCCATCCACAATCATTAAGAAAATAGTGCCATGCTGTGGGTTCGAACCCAACCAGAGGATTGTGCTTCTTGTGTCCATGGGCAAGACACATTGCTGTGTCTTCATCCACAAATCATTTAGAAAATAGTGCCATGCTGTGGGTTCAAACCCAACCAGAGGATTATGCTTCTTGTGTCCATGGGCAAGACACATTGCTGTGTCTTCATCCACAATCATTCAGAAAATAGTGCCATGCTGTGGGTTCGAACCCAACCAGAGGATTATGTTTCTTGTGTCCATCATGTGTGCAACGTCATCATCTTTCATAAGATGTCTTGTCTCATGGTATTATTACAGTCCTTGTTCATAATTTGTGTATTCTTTATTTGTTTCTGCCGTAGCTTGAGCCGGGACAGACGGAACCGTTTGAAATCACCATATCCAAGTTTGAATCGGTGTACCAGGAACAAACTCAAAAGGTGGGCAAAAATGCTACGAGCAAAAAAACCCCAATAATTAATCAGAGATTTTTGGCAGTTGCGTCTTTGTCATTGATGCAGATGACGTACAATGCATCTCGGTATATGTATTATAATCACTAGCATGGCATGGGTGGCTTGTGCGTAAAGCGCTTGCCTCTCACCACTATGGCCCTGGTTCGATTCCCAGCTCGGACCATATGTGACCTGTTCTGTCCAAAGCAAACGCTTCTGGGCAGAGGTTGAAATTGAGATAGGGCCAAAAAAACGCTGTGGGGGTGATTTTTTTCCATTTTCTAATTTTTGCATATTTGTAATCCTGAGCATGTCTAAAATATACTACAAAAGTTTGAAACCCTAATTGATCTCTAATTATAGTATTTTTGATGATTTGTTAAGGTATATCAGTTAATGAAATTACTGTTTTGTAACGTTTGTGGCAATTTTCTCTGTTTTCTACTTTTCGACACAATGAACTTCAAAATGGCATAACTTTGCGCAGGAATGACCGGATTCAAAAATTAAACCACCTATTAAAAGGAAACAGAACATATTTTAATAATATGCAAAAATCTCATTTTTGACCTTATGCCCAGAAATGTCTGATTTTGACACAACAGGTCACATATGTGAGTAGAGTTGTGGGTTGGTTCTCTCCTGTGCCACGAGACTTTTTTCTCTGAGCGCTCCGGTTTTCCCCTTCTGAAAAAAATCAACACTTTCGATCTCTGGATGTGCTACGTGGTCAGACGTGAGTCGTATGGCGGCTGCCTATAAAGGCACCTTTACATGCCTTCGGCCTGACCACGTTGTAGCCACGTCCTTTGCAATTCAGCTGACCAGCTGCGAGTAAGGATGATTAGCCAAATTATTAAAATTATTACTTTGTGCTTGGCCTTTAAAGGGAGTGTACAACATTTGCCTTTGCTGCAATTTTCAGAAATAAATGGATTTGGAGGATTAGTATGTTATATAAAATATTGTTAAACTGACTTGTTTCATGTTTTGGGCTTGTAGATGCTGGAAAAACCAAGAAAACCTATCATGTTCTTGTAGTCTGGTTCCCTGACCCCACTTAAGATTAAACGAAGCAATTAATACACTTTGGGGAATGGTACGGTCAGAGAATCAGTCTAGCAGGCTTGTACCTCTTTACAGGTGTGTGTGATCAATTGTAAAGAAAAGTCAGCATAACTAAATATGAAAAATTTAGAACAGTTTTTGAAAAAAGCCAGTTTTCTCCAACGCTGGTCGGCCGACCAGCGTTGGAAAAATACAGCTTTTCTTGAAAATGTCAGCCCACCAGCCACGATTTCAAAGGATGCTTTAGACTGTCATTCCCTAACAATTTAGTAAGGTATTTCGTGATAATTTGATCATTTCGTTTTATGATGTTTGCAAATGTTGTATTTTGCCTTTAATTAAAATTCATGTTTCTTTTTGATTAAATTTTATTTTCAGGGAGTGAAAATCCGAGCCGTTTGCTTCATGAATCCCAATAATCCATTGGGAGACGTGTACCCTAAACAGTTTGTTCTGGACATGCTACAATTCTGCCACAGGTGAGAATTTCGCAGGAACCAGAAAAAATGTTTCCCCCCCCCCCCAAAAAAAAAATTGTGTTCTGGATCCGCCCTTGTGGCCATCAGGTACATTCTGGAAGGAAACTGCCGACAACTTTCCACTTTTTCGTTGTACTATTTGTATTTTATTGTATTAAAGCCAGAGTCCATCATTTGCAGCTATCCAAAAAGTAACTGGCGTAATTATTGTTGAAAAACATACTTGGTTGAAAGATAGTAAGGGGACTAAATTCTCTGTGAAATTATTTTTTCTGGTAAGCTGTCATTTTGAAGTAATCAGCGAAAGAAGGCCTTTTTAACGGTGCGTCTTAAGAAGCACCGTAGGAAATTCAAATTAGTAGTTCGTTTTGTTAATCGGCGAAGCGTGCGCAAGCATTGGCACGACACACACGCGCATGCGGTTGCTATAATTCGTCGGATCAGAGCGCAACATTGCGTAGCTGCAATCGACTCAGTGAGATCGTGTCTCAGACACTGAATTCAGGCCCAATTCAAAACATGATTCAGCAACTTTTGATTTGAAATCAAGATCCTAGAATGTTGTTTTTCTCAAAATATACAGCTAAAGCTGAGCATCAGGTTAGTTGTTCAGCACCCTTCTTTAGATCTTGAGCACTTTTGTTGCTTCAAACGAACAAAATGCACAAATTACCAATGATGGACTATACCTTTAATCGAGTGCTTAAAGGGTTCATGCGATGAAATTTTCTAAGGATCACATTTTGTGCAACTTTCTACCCTTAAATGTATGAAAACTATTTGACATCCCTTTTTGGCCAATCTAATTGAAAAGTGCACTTTTTTAAACATTTTATAAAATGCTTTGCTGACAAATGAGGGCGCTGTTGCTTGTGATGTCATTTCAGGAAGACACTGTTCTGTTAAGGGGTTTTCTGTTTAAATTGTGAACCCGCAATTTGCTCATTGAAAACATTGGTGAGAAAACATTGCTCATTGGCCTTCTGTCATGTACTGAAACTATTAACGATGAATCACCAACGAAAACAAAATATCCCAAATTTCTGGCAGATTTTGGTGCTGAAATAGCCGTAACACTGAGGTTTCTGCCTGAAATGACATCACACTTTTGCTCCTGAATGAGCAAATTTGCAGTAGCATAAAAACCAAAAAGGCACCAAACTGCCCTTAAAAATGGCAAAATGAAAATTGAAAATAAGGCGGTTAAAGATATAGTCCATCATTTGTAATTTGTGCATTTTGTTCGTTTGAAGCAGCAAAAGTGCTCAAAATCTAATGAAGGATACTGAACAACTAACCTGTTGAAGTTTCAGCTCAAGCTTCAGCTGTATATTCCGAGAAAAACAGCATCTCAATTTCTAATCAAGTTGCTGAATCATGTTTTGAATTGTTTTGAATTGCAGCTATACGCGATGTCGCGCACAGATCCGACGATTTATAGCAACCGCACGCGCCTGTGCGTCGTGCCAATGCTTGCGCGCGCTTCGCCGAATAACAAAACGAACTACTAATTTAAATTTCCTACAGTGCGTCTTAAGACACACCGTTGGAAAGGCCTTCTTTCGTTGATTACTTCAAAATGATAGTTTGCCAGAAAGAATAATTTCACAGGGAGTTTAGTCCACTTTCTATCTTTCAACCAACAATAATTATGCCAGTTACTTTTCTGATGGCTGCAAATGATGGACTATAGCTTTTAATTGGACACAAAGGTTCAAGGATTGCATTAAAAAAACTTACATTGCATGGGCCCTTCAAAGGTACGAAGGATCATTGTCTTTTTAAGCAATTTTTTCTCATCAGAAGCAGCAAAATTGTTCAAAATCGTCAGTACATGCAAGATGCATATCAACTAACCTGTTGAAGTTTCAGCTCAGTAGATACTCTTCGTTTTTATAAAACAGAACACAACTGTTTGGGTGTTGTGAAGTTTCCCTTTCATATTTTGAATTTGACGTTTCAGACATTCTCTGCATCTCATCATGAATGAAGTCTACATGAACACCATCTTCAAGGAAGGAGCCGACTTCCAGAGTTTCCTCAGCTTCAAGCCAGAGGAGATCCCCGATCCGCAAAGGGTTCACTTTGTCTGGGCTGTTAGCAAGGTTAGGCGTGGGGTATTGTAACCTTCACATGCACCAGTGTTACCCTAACCCTAACCCTTACCCTCAGAGAGTTCACTTTGTCTGGGCCGTTAGCAAGGTTAGGCATGGGTTATTGTAACCTTCACATGCACCATTGTTACCCTAACCCTAACCCTTACCCTCAGAGAGTTCACTTTGTCTGGGCTGCTAGCAAGGTTAGGCGTGGGTTATTGTAACCGTCACATGCACCAGTGTTACCCTAACCCTAACCCTTACCCTCAGAGAGTTCACTTTGTCTGGGCCGTTAGCAAGGTAAGGCGTGGGTTATCGTAACCTTCACATGCACCAGTGTTACCCTAACCCTTACCCTCAGAGAGATCACTTTGTCTGGGCCGTTAGCAAGGTTAGGCGTGGGTTATTGTAACCTTCACATGCACCAGTGTTACCCTAACCCTTACCCTCAGAGAGTTCACTTTGTCTGGGCCGTTAGCAAGGTTAGGCGTGGGTTATTGAAACCTTCACATGCACCAGTGTTACCCTAACCCTAACCCTTACCCTCAGAGAGTTCACTTTGTCTGGGCTGTTAGCAAGGTTAGGCGTGGGTTATTGTAACCTTCACATGCACCAGTGTAATACCCTAACCCTAACCCTAACCCTAACCCTCAGAGAGTTCACTTTGCCTGGGCAGTTAGCAAGGATAGACGTGAGCTATTGCAACCCTAACATTCACCTCTGTAACCCTAACCCTAACGCTCAGAGAGTTCACTTTGCCTGGGCAGTTAGCAAGGATAGACGTGAGTTATTCCAACTCTAACATTCACCTGTGTTACCCTAACCCTAACCTAACCCTAATCCTGTGAGAGTTCACTGTGTCTGGGCAGTGTTTAACCCCCTCAGATCGCATAGCACCCTCAGGAGTTATAAATGGCATATCCCACATCACAGTAGTCCCCAATTGTTAACTGAAAAATGCAAGCACATGTGCATTAGTAATGGAATCCATTTAAGAGACTCGCAAAATTGTGCATACATTTTCTCTGTTTCCACAATGTTTATCGAATGAGCTGAAATTCAACAGATTGGAGCAGGCTCGGGTGCTACCTTTTGACCTTTTGTCAATTTACTAGGCATGCTTGGATCTGTTTTTTTTTTTCACTCTAACGCATGATGTCGATCGACTAGTCAGATCTAGTGTGTAGCAAGAACAACAACAGGCCTTCATGTTGCTAACGGATCAAATATTGGCATGTCATTTTTATTTGCTATTTTTTTCTGTACTTAACTTTAATCCAGTAAAAAATGAATTATCTTATTGCAAACGTAGAAAAAACCTATGAAAACTACTCATTAATTGTTAATGTTAACTGTGATAACAAAAGTTTGCTAGTTTACCTTTCCTCCATCGTGAAACTGTGACATAAATCATGAATTGACTGGGGAAACAGTGCTCCAGGGCTAGGTTGATCCAGTTGGACTAGCTATTCAAACCACGCAGTGTTAAAGTGACATCGATAGTTCAAATAGTTGACTTGAGTCACCCAATCGAACTTGCTCTAATTAGTTGTCATGCACTCTGCCGCAGAATTTCAGCTATTCCGTAACTTCAGACAAAAAACTGCACACACAAAAAATACTCCTACTAGCCTATCATTGTTTAAATCTTCTGTTGTATATTTGACAGGATTTGTCCATGTCTGGTATGAGATTTGGAGTTATTCACACTCAAAACGAGTCCATCATCTCATGCATCAACAGCTTCACCTACTTCCAGACGCTTTCCGCCTACATTCAGAAAGTCATGGCCTGTCTTCTGTCTGATCGAGGTAAATGCAGTCCATTTAGGTTGAGTATTTATAATAGATCATTGTTGCAGTGCTAATACTTGTACTCATACTCATACTCAAGTGCTCTTTGGTTCTCATACTCAAGTACTTTTTGGTACTCATTATCATGAGAATGTACTCGTACTCGCAAGAAAATAATACCCATACTCATACTTGTACTCATAATAATGACAAAGTACTTGTACTGGTTCTCATGGTAAAGTACTCATACTCGTACTCATGACAAAGCACTTGTACTTGTAGTCATGACAAAGTAGTCGTACCAGTACTCGCACTCGCGGCAAAGTCATGCATACCCATGACAAAGTAAATGTACTCCCACTCATGACTTATACTCGTACTCATGACAAAGTACTATACTCGTTCTCATGACAAAGTACTCATACTCCCACTCATGACAAAGCACTCATACTTGTACTCATGACAAAGTACTCGTACTCGTATTCATGTCAGAGAACTTGTACTCCTACTCATGACAAAGTACTCGTACTCGTACTCGTACTCATGTCACAGAACTCGTACTCGTACTCATGACAAAGCACTCATACTCGTACTCATGTCAGAGTACTCATACATACTCGTACTCATGTCAGAGTACTCATACATACTCGTACTCATGTCAGAGTTTTCATACTCCCACTCATGACAAAGTACTCGTACTCGTACTCATGTCACAGAACTCGTACTCGTACTCATGACAAAGCACTCGTACTCCCACTCATGACAAAGTACTCGTACTCGTACTCATGTCAGAGTACTCATTTTCCCACTCATGACAAAGTACTCGTACTCGTACTCATGACAAAGTACTCGTAGGCCTACTCGTACTCATGACATAGTACTCGTACTCATGACAAAGTACTCGTACTCATGACAAAGTACTCGTACTCATGACAAAGTACTCGCACTCCTACTCTTGATAAAGTACTCATACTCATGACAAAGTAGTCATACTTGTAATCATGACCAAGTGCTTGTACTCATGACAAAGTACTTATAATGAGAAAGTATTCGTTCCCATACTCAAGACAAAGTACTTGTACTCATGACAAAGTACTTATAATGAGAAAGTATTCGTTCCCATACTCAAGACAAAGTACTTGTACTCATGACAAAGTACTTAAAATGAGAAAGTATTCGTTCCCATACTCAAGACAAAATACTTGTACTCATGACAAAGTACTTATAATGAGAAAGTATTCGTTCCCATACTCAGGACAAAGTACTTGTACTCATGACAAAGTACTTAAAATGAGAAAGTATTCGTTCCCATACTCAAGACAAAATACTTGTACTCATGACAAAGTACTTATAATGAGAAAGTATTCGTTCCCATACTCAAGACAAAGTACTTGTACTCTTACTCATGACAGAGTACTCATACTCTTACTCATGACAAAGAACTCGTACTCAAGACAAAGAACTCCTACTCGTACTCATGACAAATTACTCGTGCTCGTTCTCATGACAAAGTACTCATAGTCATGAAAAATACATTTTGAATTTTTTACGTTTAGATTGGTTGAACAATGTCTACTTTCCAACCAATCACAAGAGGTTGCGTGAGGCTCACAAAGTCACCACGGATACCCTAGACGAGATGGGAGTGCCGTACCTCAACCGACCGTCGGGTCTCTTCGTTTACGCTAACTTCCAAAAAGTAAGTGAAACTATTAAGACACTCAATTGACACATCTGTGTAGCAGTTCATTCAGCTTGATCACTGAGCAATATTTCTATGTACTATGGTTAATCGTACAGGGTGAGTCAGAATGATCTGGACCCAAGTTCACCATTTTTTTGGGCCAAATAGATTTTACAGGGTGAGTAAAAAAAAAACCAAATGTTCGCAACATTGTTTTAGTGAAGTTCTGCATGTAGCTCTTTCACAATCTAGGATATGAAAGCCCAATTCATAAGCTATCTTTTAGTACAAGAATCATTCAAATCACTCATGTACTTTTCAAGTTACGGAATCTTAAACACAACCACCGTTTTAAAGTTCTGTCCACGGATCACAAGTTGTTGCATACTGTTGCAATTAGCAGGCAACTCATGTTCCCGTGCTTTGTTGCATCTAGCAGGGTAACTGCTCATAGTGCCAAGGCGGTGCTGTGCAACAGAGTCCACTGCTGCACTTGGTAGCATTGAGCAGGGTAGCTGCTTGGTGCCGAGGCTGAGTCACTGTGCAATGCAAAAGAATCCACTGTTGCAGTTTGTTGCATGTAGCAGGGTTCTTATCTCAGTTGTGTTGAATAGTGTTGCATTCAACGTGGTACCTGGATAATATCCGTTGGGGGTTAAATCTCACAAAACACATCAGTCAACTCGCGATAACTCAAAGTCAGATAAGTTGAATCTCTGTTTATCTAGAGTTCATAAATACCACAGACAGTTTACCCATTCCTATTGGTTGAGAGCCCATCACGTGGCCGGTTGATAAAGACCGGCTGGCTGGTCTTAAACACTTTTCCAGTGTCACATGAAATTTGGACTCTATGAATTCCGGTGCCTTTTATCGTTTTATTGGTTAAACGTTCACAATCCTCACTTAGCTAGCATGCGCACAACACTACCAGTGAGGCAGTATTCATAGACCTTAATTCACAATATACCAGCACAGCTGCATTCTGCGCCACATCGCGCACGACGCACACGACACACACGACACACACGACGCACGTGCCAATCTCCATATAAGGAGTTGTTTAAGACTAGTCACGAGATGGACATTCCATAGGGGGTGTTTAGAAAAACATGAAGTAAAAGTGTTGAAAAAATCTTTGAAATTTATAATTTTTTACTTGTTTTGACTTGCGGACCGAAAATCTTTGATTTTTTTACCGAAAGGTATTTATGAGTTGGAATAAATATGTGATAGTAGGCTGGTATTAAACACTAAGTTTAAGACCGGTTGGAGTTCTGGATGCTGATAATTACCTGTGGCCCGGGTAATTATCAGCATCCAGACTCCACCTGGTCTTGCATGGATCTCGCAAGCTGGCTAAATTAAACATGCTAAATGAGACCAGTCATGTGACAGCAGATGGTGCAACAAAGTAAGGGATATTCTCTTATCTCCAAGTGATATTTGTTTTCAGTTCCTGCCGTCCCTCACCAAGGAGGATGAGATGGCTCTCTTCTACCGTTTCATCGATGACGGCGTCTACATCGCTCCCTCCCTGGCGTTTTTCGCAGATGAGCGTGGATGGTTTCGCATCATTTTCTCCAGGCCATTTAACGAGGTCAAAACTGGTAAGAATGAAATAAAGGACTTCTGAATTCGACGAGAGTCAAGTTGAAAGTGATTAGAATTGAGTTGAGAAATGGACTGTTAAAGCCCAAGGGTGGATCCAGAACACAATTTTTTTGGGGGGGGCCAAAAAAAATGTTGGTCCCCCCAAAAAGTTGGTCAAATTTTTTTTGGTGGATTCTAGATGCTCTGTGGTGCGATCTGAGGCAATTTCTGACCACTTTAACCAATGTTTTTTGAGGAAAAGATGGTGGTGCACTCATTACCTGCCTTTATTGCGTTGTCACATAAAAAAAAATTTAAAAATGGTTTCGTTTTGGGGGGGCCATGGCCCCCTTTGGCCCCCCCCCCCCCCCGATCCGCCCTTGTTCAAGCCTAGCTTACAACTTAAGCATTATTTGTAGCATGCCGTGGTCCAGTGGCTACGGTGTTTTACACTATGTACGATGGTGCATGGGTTCGAACCCTGCCAGGAACATGGTGTTTGTGCCCTTGGGCAAGACACTTCACTACAATTGCCTCTCTCCACCCAGGAGTATGAATGGGTACCTGTGAGGGTAGAGGACTAATTGCGCACTGATATCGGCTGCTGAATTTGTTTACATGTACGCTTTCCTATGGGAGCGAAGTCGGGACGCCAGAAAAAGTGGGGACCGTCTTCTACATAGGAAAGCGCACATGTAGACAAAGCGTGACGTCATTACGTCTTAGGGCTATTGAACTGTTCAAGAATCGTTACTGGCAGAACAATCAAGGGTAGTAATTTGATCAAGAGTGTTCTCATTGATTGCACAAAATGGCTTCACATCAAGTTGTTTTTGCTGTGTTTGTGTTCTTGGCAAAACACTGAAGGGAATATACATGATTTGCTTTTGCTGTAATTTTCAGAAATGGATGGATTTGGGGGGTTGGCAATATGTAACAAATATTGTTACACTGACTTTTTTGACATTTTGGGTTCGTAGATGCTATAAAAACCAAGAAAAACAATCATGCACTTTCCCTGTAGTCTGGTTCCCTGACTCCATTTCTTTATTCCTTAGGTCAAGGAACCAGTCTAGCTGGCTTGTACCCGTTCATCGGTGTGTAATCGATTGCAAACAAATGCGGACTAACTAAATATGGTCAACTTGGGCCAGTATTTGAAAAAAAGCCAGTTTTTTCCCTGGTCGGCCAACCGACGCTGGTCGGCCGACCAGCATTGGAAATTGATACGAAAATACCACCTTTTTTTTTAAAATGACAGTATACCAGGTGCCATGATTTTACCTGATGCCTGAGACTGTCATTCACTAACAGTCCAGCAAGGTATTTCAAAACAATTTGGTAGGTTTTATTTTTTGATGTTTGCAAATGTTGTATTTTCCTTTTAACTACAATTGCCTCTCTCCACTCGGGAGTATGATCTGGATATCTGTTGGAGTTGACTCATGAGACTAGATTGCACTGATCTCAGCTGCAGAGAAGTGGTCTCGTGGCCTGATGAACAGGGGTTGTCCTGTGAAGTGCTTGGAGACCTAGCTTCAGTGGAAAGAACTGTACAACAGACACACGTTATTAGCCTGGTTGTTGGCTAATAGTGAGGGGAGTGTGTGGCCTAGTGGTTAGGGTTCGTGACTCATGATCAGAGGGTCCGGGGTTCGAATCCAGCCACTGGTCATATATTGTGTCCTTGGGCAAGGCACTTCACCCCCACTTGCCCCTCTCCACCCAGGAGTATAAATGGGTACCGGCATTAGCTGGGGAGTAACCTGCGATGGACTAGCATCCCATCCAGGGGGAGTAGAAACATTCTCAGTCGTTTCATGCTACTGAAACCGGAGATAAACGCCGGCCTGATGAGCCACATTGGCTCGGGACAGACTTTACTTTTTTTTGTTGGCTGGTGAAGAGTCCGGCAGTGCTACCGTATAGGATCACACTGTAGTGGGCTATTAAAATCCGGCCCATTGTGTACACCAGTTGCATGGAAAGACATCAAGTGAATAGCCGTTGTGAATCGTTGAGTAGATTATTTGGTGTACTGTGGGACCTGCTTTACTAGACTCGCTTTGTCTTGTCTCCGTAGCCATGGGAAGGCTTAAGAAGAGCTGCAACGCGCTTCTAGAAGAAAACAAGAAACTGTCCTCTGCAACAGCTGTAAGTGATGAGAGCAAAGGCGCAGGCCCTTCAGACTCCGCCCAAGGTACGTGTTTGTATAGTTGGCAAGGTACATTTAAAGGTTGAGTCCATCATTTGTAATTTGTGCATTTTGTTCGTTTGAAGCAACAAAAGTGCTCAATATCTGAAGAAGGATGCTGAACAACAAATCTGATGAAGTTTCAGCTTAGCTTCAGCTGCATTTTTTGAGAAAAACAACATTCTAGGATCTCGATTTCAAATCAAAAGTTGCTGAATCACGTTTTGAATTTGGCCTGAATCCAGCGTCCGAGATACGTTCTCACTAGCCCATTGCACTGATCCGACGAATTAAAGCAACCGCGTGTGCTTCGTGCGAATGCTTGCGCGCTTTAACAACTGTTGACTGCTGTGATGGAGGATAGGGTGTTTTTAGCACCCAAGGGCAAATAGCAGCCGAGGCGAAACCTCTGTCCTCTGTCCCCTCCCCCTTGCCCCCCCCCCCCCCTTGTCCCCCAACCGACCCCTCAGAGTTCGTAGAGCAAAAATTAACTTTTCTATTGTTACAAATACATTGGTTGCCCGCTGCAGAAAACAAAGTACCTCCGTGCAACTTGATCCTCATTTATGCCATTCCAATTGATATGTCAACTGGTTTTTTTTCTACATCATTTTGTTTTGCTTCTCTCCTCAAATACATATGCCTGTTAAAAGGTGGAGTAGATCAATTGTCATTTGTGCGTTTGTTTCTTTTGAAGCAACAAAAGTGCTCAAAATCTCAAGACGGGTGCTTAACAACTGTCTTGATGAGGTTTTAGCTCAGTGAATGCTGTATATTCTGAGAAAACAATATTCTAGGATCTCGGTTTCGATTCAAATGTTGCCGAGTCACGTTTTGAATTGCGCCCGAAATCGGTGTCCAGGACAGGTTTTCCTTCAGCCGATTGCAGCTACGTGATGTCACGCACTGAACGGACGAATAATAGCAACCGCTAGTGCGTCGTGTCAACGCTTGCACGCATTCATCCTTGCATTCTCCGAATTACAAATCAACTACACCAAACTTTCTAAAAATGCGTCACTTGATGCATCTTTGGAAATGGCCTTCTTTTATTGTTTTCTTCAAAATGACAGCATGCCAGAAGGAATAACTTCACAGGGAGTTTAGTGCCATTACCATGTTTAAACCAACTTGGCTTTTCAGCAATAATTTTGTCAGTTACTTTTTAGATAGCTGTAAATGTACTCTACCTTTAACAACTGATTTGGATTCATTGCAGTAACCCCAACCGAACTCAACCCATCAAAGTCCAACAGCAGGTTTTGTTTAAATCTGTTGGGATAGGTACTGTACCCCTAAACTGATGGTCTTTTACACTGGGGTTGGCATACCTCCAGAAACTAAGTCCAACAGTGTGTGTGTACAATTTCCCATGTGGGTGTTGGAATTTGCCAGAATGGGTATGGTTTCTAGTAAATTAGGCTGGGGAGTTGGGGATAATGTATATGCCATGAATAACTTCCTTTTTTTAAATTTTTTCTTATTCTCTCCATCATTCATTTGTTTAAGGCATGTCTCTGGAAGGTCTGCTCTCCCAGCTGAAGACTGAGATCTCCTCCTCTGATTGGCTGGAGAAGAACACGGCGGATAAATGGAAAACGGAGAATCCTGAACTCTACAAAGAGTACAAAGCCAACATGAAGTAGACAGAGCCAAAACAAGATAGAAGTATTCAAAATTCTCATCTTGGTTCTTCATATATTTTAGATTTAGTCATTTCTTTATTCCTTATGTCTGAATTCCCTAAAGTTAAGATTTTTCATTTCATGGGGACAGTTCAAAACCAGTTCAACAAGTTAAACCAGTTCAGAACCAGTTAAATCACCTCAAAACCAGTTAAACCACTTCAAACCAGTTAAACCACTTCAAAACCAGTCACCGTTCCAGTGGAACTAGTTTTAACTGGAATTTGCACATTGGGTATTGAATTCTTATGAATAGTTAAAGCGGTTGTGGAATGCCCGAAGACATTTCCGTCATTTTTGGGGTATATGTAGCCTAAGGTGTGATGAAATAAAAACGACTATTGTTTCTGTCATGAAATGAGTACAAAGGGTACTTTTGAGAGCTATTTTTCAGGTCCTGTTTCGACCCGAACATGCAATTTGTGTAAAAGTCGTCGTTGCGGGCAGCAAACAAAACACAGTAAATGGTGACATAATAAACAGGACTCGTTTATGCTACTCTGCATCGGGAGTCCTGTTTATTACGTCACGATTTACTGTGTTTTGTTTGCTGCCCGTAACGATGACGTTTACACAAATTGCACATTCGGGTCGAAACAGGCATGACAGGACTTGAAAAACAGCTCTCAAAAGTATCTTTTGTACTCATTTTATGACAGAAACAATAGTCGTTTTTATTTCATCACACCTTAGGCTACATATACCCAAAAAATGACGGAAATGTCTTCGAGCATTCCACAACCTCTTTAATACGGTACCGGCTACTATGTATATCAGATTCGAACTAGCTAACAGATGCTGTTAGCCTAGTGGTCGAGTGGTAAGACATCTGCACTAGAAAGCAGGAGGTCGTGGGTTCGAGTCCCACCTGAGTGATTTGTGTCAAACCTTAACTTTGGAGGTAATACACTGAGTTTACAGTGTTTATACGTCGGTGAAGGGCAAAAACCTAATTCGATTTACATCACTCCGACGCAAAATTCCATCTTATGAAATCCACTTTTGCCATTAGCATAGAGATCTGACTTAAATTGCCTGCACATGTATCATCTTTTGCTAGAGGGATGGTGGAGGATTATATTCAAAATGTTTATCGTTTTGTTTATTGGGTGGCATGGGTGGCTTGTGCGTAAAGCGCTCGCCTCTCACCAAGGTGACCACGGTTCGAATCCTGGCTGCGGATCACATGTGAGTAGAGTTGTGCGTTGGTTCTCCTCTGTGCCAAGAGGGTTTTTCTCCGGGCCCTCCGGTTTTCCTCCTTCCGGAAAAATCAAACACTTTCGATCTCAGGCTGTGCTCCGTGGTCATATATGGGTCGATGCGGCCGGCAGCCATAGGCGCCTTTACGTGCCAGCGGCCCGACCACGTTGTGGATGCGTCCTTCGCAATTCAGCATACCAGCTGCAAGTAAGGATGATTAGCCTCCCAAATTGTTAGTATTATTAGTATTATTATCAATCAGATTTGGAAAACTTTCTAATCTTTGGATTAGAAGAAATTCACAGAAAATTATGACTATTTAGTTTCAATATAGCTAAATACAGTCAAACCCTGATAAGAAGAGCACCGTTAATACAAGATGCTGCTTATATCCAGCAAATTTTAGGTCCCAAGTCTTTGTTTGAGTGGTCGGGCACAACCCGACCACTCTTTGGATCTGTTACGATTAATCTTTCTTTCTTTCTTTCTTTCTTTCTTTTTTTTTTTTTTCCGGACAATACTTCTCCGCGGGTTTTCTCTTAAACGGTATATGGTATGAACTTGTAACTTTCAATATATATCGACCCTCATCCCTAGTGGTGCATATTACTCTGACGTCATGATTACGTCATCAGGTGTCAAATTACAAGTGATTTTATCTGAAAAAGTGACCAATTACTTTCACCTATAACTCTTGAACTAAATATTCAATGATGTTTGTATTCTGCAATCAGATAGACCATTAAACGCTTAACAGTTTTTGTCATGTACGTGAACTCGCTTGACCTTTACTTCCGGGTCTACCGGAAGGTCAAAGTTAGGTGAATTCCAAATGAAGACGTTAGCCTGACATCAAAACAAGGCAACATTTCTTCCAAACGGTTCACGGTATGATCACAAAACCTTGTGTGAACTTGTACCGTGTTACGAAGATGTTATAAATTTTGTTACGTCATCATGACGTCATCAGGTATCAAATTACAAGCAATTTAAGGGCAAATTTTGACAAAATAGTTTGCTTTATATCTTGTGAACTAAATAGAGTATTGTGTTCGTTTTTTCGTGAGGTTGTAGACTATACCGTGAGAAACATTTCGTGTTCCCGGACGCAAAACTGCTTGACCTTTACTTCCGGTGTTACCGGAAGTGCAATAAAAACTGAATATAACTCAAAAGCGGAAGCATTTTACTACAGACATATATATTATGAAAGTGTTTAGTGAGGAATGCAAGATGCAAAAAGCAGTGTGATGACGTCATAATCCGAAAGGGCGCCCCCTATCGGCACATAAAATAGAGTTTCCCTTCTTTAATTGTAAAACCATCCGTCCAAATTTTATCAAATCGCCCCTTGACATTCTCTGATTAACCACAGATAACTTGGCAAGGTTTCAAATTCATGACGTCATCAGACCGGAAGTTGCCTTAAGGAGAATTTGAAAAAGATCATAGTTTTAATTTAATTCTATCATTTGATCCCTGTCATATTTCCGAAGTCCACATAATGATATCCATTACAATGTTCACCTTTGGATCTCTAATGCTGTGATGTCATCAAACCGGAAGTTAGGTGTTATCAATACGTCATCAAACCGGAAGTTAGGTGTTATTAATACAAACAATTATATTTCCCATATTTTCATACGTTATTTTAACTTTACAATGAGAAATTATCCTCTCCGAACTTTATCAGTATTCATTCACCATTTTTGACTGATGACGTCATTAAACCAAAAATAACTTTTTGTGCACATAGAATGTTTACTGAAATTTATTACACCGTTAAAGATACCTTTTTAAAACATTGATTGTACTTGAAGGGTTTTAATGTCCTGATCCTTTTTTCTACATAAACATATATTCTTAACTTAACTGGGCAGTGTATAATGAAAAGGCTGTCCGCCCGACCACTCTGCGTTTGTAACTAAACAAACGCGAAACTCTAGTTTTTCTTTTGTTTTCCTTTGTTTTTCATACATTAAGGTACATGTTATAAGGCGAAATAAAAAAAAACAAGTTTAGCGACTGGGCTGTTTTTCAAGATGGCCGCCATTTGTTTATGAAATGGCTGCCATTGGACTCAGGAAATGACGTAACAGTTTTACATGGGCTATATGCAACAGATCAAGAGACCAAAATGATGTCACTGTTGAACATTTATCCTTTTGCGGTTAATAAAAAAAAAAAACAGGAGGTGGCCTCCCAAAAGGAAGCGGGCGGGGACTCTAAACATGTTTTTTTTTTTTTTGCCTTACAAGGTAATTCGTAAAGTCCCAAGGACCTTGTTATAAAGGTGTTTGACTTTACATTCTCAATAAAAAGTATTTTACTATTTCTTTTGATGTCATATTTTTGTAAGTTTTTTTTAAGAATCCAAAGCTAAACGACAAAAAAGAACATTTATGCGATAATGATCATGATAATTATTAAAAAACTATACATTTACATTTTAGAAAGACAGTGTGCTTCATCACTACTTAAAGGCATAGTATCATTTGTACTTATCCCAAAAGTAACCTAAGAATAATTATCAAACAACTTTACTTACTTGGATTAAAGATTGTACTGGTTCTAAACACCCCGTGCAATTACTTCGTCTGGCTTGCTGTCATTTCGAAGAAATCAAGAAATGTAGTTGATTTCCAATTAAAGGGAATGTACAACATTGGCTTTTGCTGCAATTTTCAGAAATAAGTGCATTTCGAGGATTTATATGTTTTAGCAAATATTGTTAAACTGACTTTTTTCACATTTTTAGCTTGTAGATGCTGGAAAAACCAAGAAAACCAATTATATTCTTGTAGTCTGGTTCCCTATCCCCACTTAAGATGAAATGGAGCAATTTATAGACTTTGGGGAATTGTGCGGTCAGAGTATCAATTTAGCTGGCTTGTACCCGTTCACAGGTGAGTAATCAATTGCAAAGAAGATGTGGAATAACTAAATATAAGAATTATGGAGTAGGTTTTGAAAACAGCCAGTTTTCTCCAGCGCTGATCGGCCTACCAGCGTTGGAAAAATACAATTTTTCTTGAAAATGTCAGCACACAAGGAGCCACAATTTTACAGGATGCTTTAGACTGTCATTCCCTATCAATCCAGTAAGGTATTTCGTGATAAGTGGATCATTTCGTTTTTTGATATTTGCAAATGTTGTATCTTCCCTTTAAGAATCAGTCAATTGAGTGATTTCTGGAAATAAAAGAGTGCTATTGATGCAATTGTGTTTCGTGATGAAAAGGCATCAGTACTGTACAGGGATTATCACGGTTTTCTTGAAATTAGTGTAAAATCCACTGATCCAAAATCTCAACAGAATTTGAAAATTTTGAAAATTTGAATGCGTATCACTTACAGTCCCCTATCTGTGAGGATGCTTTTATTTTACAATTAAGTGTGATCTAATGTCTGGACATTAGTGCCCTTAAGTAAGGCACTTAACCATTATTGCTTCGTCCTTCGGATGGGATGTAAAGTCGTAGGTCCCGTGTGTTGTGTAATGCACGTTAAAGAACCCAGTAACACTTATCGCTAAGAGAAGGGGTTTTGCCCCGGTGTTTCTGGCCTCCAGTTTAAACTCCCCTGCGGAGTATTTAGGAGAAGAACCAACCAAAAAAGTACCAATTACCTCCGAAAAAATTATATCGATTTTGAGTTTTATGGGTTTTTTAAATTCTCATTCACTACCTCAGAATAATGAAGATATAATTTTAATTTCACAGGGTTTCAGAATCAAATACATTGATTGTATTGGTTACAATATTTGAAATCAAGATTGTTTTAAATGTATTGAATCTTTTATTAAAATGTACCTTTTTTACAATTAATGCGCATTTTAATTATTTTTCTGGTATACTTGGGTGTTTATTTAATAAAAACAATGACAGGATTATGTATTGTGTCATTATATCTGGTTTTCGTTTTGTGTTTTGTTTGGATAACTGGGTAGGGACAGCTAATTATTTTGTTTCGGTCGGTCCATTTGGTTTTGGATGGTTGTCTTTTAGGCCAAGTAAAAAAAAAGCTTACTTGGTCGTCCGGGTTTTTTTTTCAAAAAGAGGAGGATGAGCGCAGGCCCCATTTTATTTTTTATTGAAAAATATAGGCTCAACTATGATAACCATAATTAGCTTACACGATATGTGCCTTAAAAGGGAGGCCCTTTTTTATTTCGTTGACGGTTCTTGGTAGTTGTCTATTATAGTTGATGACCACAGAATTCTTAAAGTGCTTATTGAACATTAGTTAATTTATCAGGAAGTATCTGAACTTCCGAAACAATGTTATGCCTGAATTTTAAAAAAAAGTAATGATGAAGTCTTAAAAAAAAAAGGAAGCGGGCGGCGCGGGGACGATCAACTTTTTTTGTTTGTTTTAATTGGCCCATCAAAGTAACTTTTTACAGCTGATTTTGTCATATATTTTGAGGGTATAACTTTTATTCATGAGCTTGGCGGATGAGTTTAGGTCTACTTACTGGTGTACGTGCACCCAGGGGTTCAAGAACCGGGGTACGAGATGATATTATCCGCTATGTTTTTCACACTAATTATTAACCACCACTGTCAATGGTCCCCCCCTTTTTTTTTAAAGTATTTTCCCAAGAAGACAGACAGAAACTGTGTAGGCACATGTTTGCTCGTACCCCCCCCCCCCCCCCCGGGGGGGGGGGGGGGGGCCTGTTTGCAAGGTGGGGGATACAAGCGCCCGAAAGGCTCATGGAGTTTTCATCAATTTATTTGTTGTAGGCAAAAGAGGGCGCTGTTTTCTGGGTACTTATTGATTTGTTTTCCTTTCAGTACCTGACAGTGACATGCATGACGGGCCGGGTACGGGTGCTTTAGTGACCAACTTCGATATAAACAGAGGTAGGCCTGTCTCAAACTTTGTCAGCGTTTTAAAAATATTAAGGATTAAAAAACGAGTTCACGGTACGGTTAAAAAAACACTAAAGGGTTAAGAATGCTTTCAATTCCAGACGCCTCTTCACTCTTCAGTGGTTGTTTCACACAACAGCCACAGGTGTTGAGACTGAGTGAATGAGAGTCAAGAACATTTTCTAAGTAGGCCTGTTGTGCCCATTCTTGAAAATCACGCATTCTTGAGAATGGGCATGCACATTCTTGAGAATGTGCAACTGGATCCTTGCTCAATCTTGGCAAAAAATAACTCTTCCAGATTGAGCGCACATTCTTGAGAATGCGCAACAAGATAACGGTCTTGTCGATGCTGAGTACCGGCTGCGCTTGGCAAGTCTAGCTGAATCCTCGTTCACTGATTCTCAATAATTATACTGTTGCAACGCAAGGCGCTGAAAAGTAGAGTGGATATGATAAGTAAAGGCGTATTGATATGGGGGGGGGGGGCCGGGGACCGGGAAAATATAAGAGACATAATAATACTAGTGCAAAGAATTCTGATTTTTGGGATAATAAAAGCGGGGGGGGGGGGGGGGGGGGGGGGACGTAAGAATGAAAAATATGAAGAATGAGAATGAATACTGCGACATCCCATAGTGTTAATGCTATTTCCCATTTAAATTGCCACCAATTTATTGTTCACATCCCACCACAACGTCGCAGAGCTGGATTCTATCTGGTCAAAAGAGCAATTTTGGCAGCTTCTGGACATCGGGTTTTTTTCGTGGCACGCATATGATACATGCAGGGACTTGTAACTTGTCTAGCCTAAACAAAGCACTTCCCAGACTAGTTCCCAGTCCTCCGTTATTACAAAACTTCCCATAGTGGGCAGAAAAAAGCAATAATAACGGGTTTAATTTGATTCAAATTATCGTAGTTATACGAGTACAGAAGCATGGAACATTTTCTTTCCTCTTTATATGAATTGTTTCCCTTTTAACCGCTATACAATTCATTTAACATAATTATGTCTTGCAATGTTTGTTAAGATTGGGCAAAATTCATAAATTGTGCACGTGATATTCCCACCCAATCTTAAGAATGAGCGCTCATTCTTAAGAACGCGTGCTCGTTCTTAAGAATGGGCGCTCATTCTTAAGAATGCGCGCCCATTCTCGAGAATGTGCATGCCCATTCTCGAGAATGCGTGATTTTCAAGAATGGGCACAACAGGCCTATACTATAGGCGGGCCTAGCCCCATAAATGTGGCCTATTTACTGGACTGCCTCCGTAAACATAGGCCACACATCCACATGTACAAAAAACGTGTCGACTTTGCCAAATTTTGATTTTCACATTTAGGCTTAGTTTTTAGGTTTTTTTTGCTTTAGAAGCATTCTCACCCTCTATATAGGCTAATCAGAAAGTGCTGCCTTTTTCAGATGTTTAATTTTTGTGAAATTTCATGTTGAAATTTTGATACGCAAACGTGTGCAAATGTATCCGGAAATTTCACGAAAAATGGACATCTGAAAAAGGCAGCACTTTCTGATTAGCCTATATAGAAGGTGAGAATGCTTCTAAAGCAAAAAAAAAACGTAAAAAGTAAGCCTAAATGTGAAAATCAAAATTTGGCAAAGTCGACACGTTTTTTGTACATGTGGATGTGTGGCCTATGATTACGGAGGCAGTCCAGTAAATAGGCCACATTTATGGGGCTAAGGCGGGCCTAGCTCTACTGAGTGGAGCGTTGAATTACGGGTACCCGTTGGTATGGAAGGGTACCCGTAATTCAACGCTCCACTCAGTAGAGCTAAGGCGGGCCTAAGTATAGGCCTAGGCCCTTTTTCCAAAAAAAAAAAAGGTAAATGTTTCTCAGTCCCAGATTCATGTCTTTTCAACATTTTTGCAATGATTGACCTTGACAGATTGAGGGAGTAAAATTTGCAGAATACCCCGCCACTCGGAATTGGGAAATACACCCCTGCCTAAATTTTCTGGCGACGAGGTTGGAATCACTGGAAAAGCAACAATTCAAGTCCATGCCAGCTACGCGGATACTGAGTGGGGGTCTCCTTGAAAATGAAGCAACACAACATGAATGGGAGTTGCTGAAATTTTTTTAAGTCCAAACTAACTACCCTGTGGGAGTGCAGTGGAGCATGACGCTTAGTACATACATGTAGCGCTGAGAAGGTTTAATGTGGGCAATCAACCGTGACTCCATAGCTGGCTACAACTTACAAGGTGCAAAGATCGCGAGTGGCGGGGTATTCTGTAATTGTGCCAGATTGAGCATGTAGGCCTAATGTTGAGATGATGATGAAAGAAGTGGTGGAAAAAAATGTGAACTTATCTTCTGTGGACGTGGTGACTTTCAAGTGAACAAAAAAAATTGCAGAAGCTATCATTTATCATGGCATATTGCAAAAAACACCATTGCGAAACTGCCCGTCCAACCTGGGCGCTTCGGTAGGCTACTGTCAAATACCGATGTAGTACTGTGCCGAAGGTGAAGGTTCTTCTGGCATTGAATCTGCTCTGCGACCCCCCCCCCCCCCAAAAAAAAAGTCGCCTCCGCCTCCCCCCACCCCAACCAGTCCTTTTTACAAATGAGGTTTTTTTTCCACGAGTGGCCCTTTGTTACATTGTGCGAACATCTATAATTATGCTGCCATGAAGAGAGCCACCTATTGTAGTGTCCGCTTTGAAGCGCGCGCCCATGAAGAGATGGTGTCCAGGTCCCCCCCCCCCCCTCCCTCCCAGCTCCCTTCCCCTTCCACCACTTTTTGATTTTTTTCAAAGAGGCTATAAACTGGGCGTCCCCTCATCTGTAAGGCCTACATCTGTAGTAGATCTAGCCTAGCTCCCACTCCCCAAATCCCCCCCCCCCCCCCCAACCCCCATGGTGAGAATGCTGGCTACGCCTCATACGGTGATCCCAAGGTCATACAATGTAGCTTCAAATCCAGCTTAGTTAATTTCTTGGTAATCCTTACTTTTAGGACACCTCTATTTTGTACGAGTTCTGTTCAAAACTGACTTTTGCAGATGTCTGTCCAGTACCAAAGTGACTTTTGCAAGCTAAAGCAGTCCTTAGAAGTCAAGAAGGTGTCATTGCCAATTGTTCAGATGTGCCAAGAAGTATCAGAATGTCAATTTTGAGTGTCATTTAGTCAACTGTTTTGGTGAGTCTTTCCCTTCCTATATAGGAACGGGGTCCTAAAAGTAAGGATTACCAATTTCTTTGTTCAACTTTTAACATTAATTAATTCTTGAATATGGTGGAAATACTTCATATTTTTTGTCTTCGCATGTGACTTCCCTGTTTCAGATTTTGCTGGAATCTACTCTGAATGGCCGGGAGTGTGCCTCCAGAGATGTCCACATTGGGCAAACGCGGAGACAGGATTCTCAACACGAGCTTCTTACTAACAGAAGGATTTCGTAAGTGCTCTGCCAACCTGTACCATGCTGAGACCAACCCAAATGTGAGTTCCAATGTCGGTAGGCTTGGGCAAATCCAAAAAGTAATGGGCCAGGTTCAAGCAATTCAAGCCAAGGGCGTCGATTCTCAAATGTTGGGGGGGGGGGGGGGGGAGGGGGACATACCATGATGAGCACTAATGCGAGCACGAAGCCCTAACGGCATGGGGTTTAAAAATGTTTGGGTTCTGGACGCTCTGTGGTGTGATCTGAGGCAATTTCTGACCACTAAGGCCCCCCCCAAAAATAAGTCGGTCTCTGGTCAGCGCGCGCGTCGATTTTAATCATGCGCGTTGTTCTTTTTTTTTCCAAATGTTCCGCGGTAGCTCGAACAGCGCCCTCTATTTCCTCACCTCAATTTTTTTTACCAAAGAGTACCAAGGAATGGGAAATTGCACCAAGGCAAATGATCGAAAGCACCGAGGCAAATTATGGAGGACACTAATGTACATGAGGACGCCAAAAAAGCAAAATAGTACCCCACCTTGTCTCACAATCCGAGCGTGAAGAAAAAAAAAAAGCCGCGTGGTCGCGTCAATTCCGGACATTTGGTCTGACCAGAGACCGAATATTTTTTTGGGGGGCCTAAAACCATTTTTTTTTTAAGCAAAAGATCACCTTTAAGCGTTACTTTTGAGTTTGGAGTCATTGAATCAGCTATACCATGTATACTGAGCAATGGAATCAGTATAATAGGCTACAATTTTTATTTGGGGACGAAAAAGTGGGGGGGGGGGGGGGACAAACGATATGATATCCCCTAAAAAAGGGGGGGGGGGGATTGTCCCCCTCGTCCCCCACTGATTGACACCCATGTTTCAAGTGGTTAAGCGTGATCAAAATATTTGTGCCAATTTCACTCCCTGTGAATGATGCGATGCATGATACATGCATGTGGACTCTAGAGGAGGTATTGTGAGCATGCGCATTCGTAAAACTTTTGCCTCTACTTTGAATAAGCCATTTGCGAGTTAAATTTGAATAAAATCTGGAACGCTGACTTAATACAATGCTTTGCACGTTTTGACCTAGCATTCTCCCGACCAAAGAGACTGTTACTATATCACGTGATTCGGGGCAAGCCTTATGCTAGCAACCCCCAGCTCCGGCATGGTCTGGTGTCTTTGTGCCATTCTCACCCATTGTGAACGATGTATTGGTGCTGAGCGTCTCTTACGTAACTATGCAAGAGCTTGCCCCGAATCATGTGATTAGCAACAGTGTCTTTGGTCTGGAGAATTCAAAGTTAAAATGTGCCAAGCATTCTGAGCAAGTCAGTGTACCACATGTTTTTCAAATGTAAATCCCAAAGGGTATAGGTTACTCGCAAATGGCTTATTGAATGAAGTTCGGCACGGCAATGGGCCATGCCACGGTGACTAGAACAGTGCCGTGCCAAACTCAATTCGCAGATAGAACCCAATGGATAGCCATGCTATCGCTGTGCCAAATTAATAAAAAAGTCCAATTAATTGAGTTTGGCTGGGCAGTAGCTCTGTGTCTAAATCTCGGGTAGTGAGTCATTGAATCACTGAGTTAAACAGTGAGGTGCAAAGATAGCTAACAGGCTGCTTCTCTCTTGGACCAACAGAAAGAGTGGAGATACACATCAATAACATTAACAGTCAGGTTGGCGCAGCGGTACTTTCCTCACCTTCCACCGCTGTGACCCGGGTTCGAATCCTGTCTGGGCCAATGTATGTGGATTGGGTTTTCAGTCCCTACCTGATTCTGTGGGTTTTCCCCATAATATTCCTCTGGGCTTTTCCTCTCACCTCTAAAACTGTAACTTCTCATTGTCTTCTCTCTACAGGTTTCTTCTGGCTTGCGAGCTACGTTGCCTGGGGCGCTTTTGAGGAATCCTTGGTTTCAGTACCAGAAATGATTATAATAATAACAATAGTGTACTTCCAGTTCACAATTTAAAATCTTTGTCTATGTCATTTCGTTCATTTTCTAGGGTGTCATCAACCTTGGCACATCAGAAAATAGACTCGTTTTTGATCTCCTGAAAGAAAAGGTGAGTATATATTGTCTTGCAGATGCTACATGCGATGCATTGCAGTACGTATGTTGTGTGTTTGTGAGTTTTTGTTTGTTTTTTATACAATGCTTGAATAAATCCCCATCATCTGATTGTTGGATCATTGATCAAATGTCATGGAATTATTTAATTCGTCCCAAACATTGGCCGGCTGCACTTCAAAAATAGGAGAAGACGGTGAATAGAAGTTCATTGCATTGGTGCAGTGGAAAGAATATACTTTCATTCGGTGACAGATGGAATGTTCCATTTCACTTGGCTTTGCTGAGTGGAATGGAACATTCCATCTGTCACTGAATGAAATTATTCTATTAAATAACACCTGATTAAATCCCCGTCATCTGATTGGTGGATCGTTGATCACATGTCATTGAATTATTCGTCCAGCGCATGGCGCGCAGCGCACAGAGCAATGGAAGTTCTATTGCACTGTGAATAGAACTTCCATTGCACAGTGTCACTGCTGCTGGTGGTGGCGCTGTTTTAAATCGAGATAAATTGAATATGATTGTTCTCGGCCTGTTGAACAATTTGCATAAATTAAATATGATGAACTTATCGAACTTTTAAACAGTTTTTAACCTGAATAAATTGGCTATTAAAAGTCAACCAATCAGATGACTTGATTTATTCAGGTGTGATATAAACAAATAATGAATGTTTCACGTTCGTGCAATGGAAAGAATAATTTAATTCGGTGACAGATGAAATGTTCCATTCTACTCGGCTTCGCCTCGTGGAATGGAACATTTCATCTGTCACCTCATGAAATTATTCTTACCATTGCACTCACAAACATTCATTATTTGTATATTATTGCACTCATAAACATTCATTATTTGTACAATGTTGAAATGTGTTGTTTGGTGCGGTACCTCCAATATCTTGCGTTATTTTTGGCCTCTGAACATGCTGAAGTAGATCTCAAGTGCTAAGATCGAAGCGTCAGGCGGCCTTACATTTTTGTATGTGTCAGGTCAATCCAGTCAGAAAGCAGTTGCAGCAGCTTATATTCATTTTCATGTTCTGTTATTGTGTACTGTTGTGGTGTAATGTTTACGTGGTAGTGTTTTAATTGCAATTCGTAAATACCTAAGACAGTTTACCCATTCCCATTGGTCGAGAGCCTGTCACATGGCCAACTTTAAACGGATGATAAAGACATGGCTGGCTGGTCTTAAACACTTTTCCAGTGTCACGTGAAATTTGGACTCCTATGAAATGAGTGCCTATATTACCGTTTTATTAGTTGAACGTTCACAATCCTCACGTAGGCATGCTCAATACTACCAGTGAGTCGATATTTCATAGTCCTAAATTCACAACGCACTCAGCTGCATCTGCGCGCCAATTTCCCTAAAAGGAGTTGTTTACATCTTACTCGCGAGCGGACACTCCATTATATAGATAGAGGGGTGCTTTAAAAAAAAAACAGAAAAAAAAATTGTTGAACAAAATTGTTTATAAATTATATATGTTTGACTTGTTTTGACTTTTGGACTGAAAAGTTTTGATATATTTGACCAAAAAGATATTTATGAAAGGGAATAAATATGTGCTTGGTCGGTATTAAACACTATTTCAGGGTTCTCCCCACGTACAAATGTGCGTATCGGCCCGATACGCTGAATTTGCGGCCCGATACGCCGACAAAAATGCCGATCACATTTTTCAGCCCCCGATACGCACAATATAATTATTATACAAGCCATTAAAATGCACAACATAATCGTTTCATATGCCATTATTTCATCTTGACATGCAAAATCTTGACAAAAATCCCGTATTTCTGATGCATGTGTGATCAAAATGCACACGATGACGGGTCTTTCGCGTCGACCGCCAGCTATATATTAGCGCATACAACACGGTACACTGGTTCCCTTCGCACGCTAACAGTATCAATGCTATGATGAAGGACCGGAACCAGTGACTACTGCCTCGTGCATGCATGCATGATGATGATGTCGGCCGAAGTTGGATCGTAAAAACACCAAACAAACATCGATGGAGAAAGAGAATTTCTGCAAATTAATTCACAGAACGTGATCTTTATTTTCTGTGTATGTATTTTCCATTAAAATGACGAGATTGCAAAGCTCGAACTTGTGGCGAAACATCGTAGCGTGCTTCTTAGGAGCAGTAGTGCAAAATTTTCGGCCACATGGGATGGGCCGTACACAGTGCAGTAATGCACACTGATACTGCGCCGTGTGTGCACGGCGCGATTTACGGCCGGCGGCCGGCCAGACTGAATGATGGCGCCAGGGGCCGTGATGTACGTTAAGCATATAGTGGAATCAACCTCCTCAAATATATTTTTAATTAGGTGAGGCAAGTTTTAATCACTTCTGATGATCAGTCTAGATAATTTTCGTGGTCATGGTGGTGCAAAGGAAAATAATCCAGGCACAAAAATACATGATTCCTTGTTCAATATGCTCCATTCAATCATGTGTTTTTATTCCTCCATGATTCAATCAGCAGCCCAAAAAATTGGCGAAATAATTTTTTCGACCTACCGACGCTATTTTGAAAGGCATGAAGTCGGAAGCAAAAGTGATTTTTTTGTTCACCTTAATTTCTTAATTTGAAACTTGCTTGTAAATATAATCCATACTTTCTAGCTCAAGAAGTTTTAACACAGGTTTTGAAATGTTGATTTTTTCTTAAGTTAAAAATTTTGATATTTTTTTTCTCTAATTACAAAAAATATCACAAGATCTCCACTAAATTTTAAGGAAAAATCTTCCTAAAAGACTCCCCAGATTTGCTCTAAAATGCACCAGAGAGCCTCTAAAGTTCAAAATATTTCGGGGCACTTAAGCGGGCCCCGAACCCCACGCCGTGGCTTCGCAGGTTGGTGAATCACAACAAAACTTCCCCCACAGGTTTGAAAAAATCCTGGGGAGAACCCTGCTATTTTTCAGACTGGTAGGAGTCTGGAATACCAGTCTTAAACATAGCGTTTAACACCACCCAAGCACACATTTATTCCTTTATTTTTGAATTTTTATTCCGGATATTCCTCTGCTTTGATTCTTTCAGTTGAACGGACACAATGTGAAGTGGGAGGATTATATGTTTACGTACGACGACTTTAAAGGAATTCCAGAGTTACGGGAAGCAGTTGCTGGATTTTTGACTGAACGTGCGAAATCTCCGACTCCAATCGACCCCAAAAAGGTGCTTTTAAGAATCGTTAAAGTTTACGAGTGCCGTGGCCTCGTGGTCTGGAGCATCGAACTCATGGTTTGCAGGTAATTCTGCAGAATGTGGGTTCGAGTCCAGAGATTAGGTTTAAAGTGTTTGTGTCCTTGGGCAAGGCACTTGTCACTCATTGCTTCTCCCCACCCAGGAGTAAATGGGTACCTGTGAGGGCAGAGATGGTTATTGTGATTGATTTTAGCTGCTTTGCTCCGAAATGGCAGCATCGAGCTGTCAAGGGCGTCAATCGCTTCTCAAAAGGGGGGGGGGGGGGGGAGAGAGAGACAGACATACCTTGATCAGAACTCATGCGAGCGCAAAGTCCTAACAGCGTGGGATTCTAGATGCTCTGTGGTGCAACCTGAGGCAATTTCTGACCACTTTAACCAATAATTTTTTTGCTAAAGATTATCATTTAAACATCATTTTCGAGTTTGGAGTCATTAGAATCAGCTATTCTGAGCTCTAAAATCATATACAGACTACAATTTTTATTCGGGGATGAAAAGGGGGGGGGGGGGGGGGGAACAAACGATATGATATCCTTCACTTCAAAAAGTAGGGGGACCCACCGGTTGACGCTCATGATCGAGCTGCATACTCCCCAGGGAGCCGAGATTGTCTTTAAAATGTTTCATTGGCCCAATGAGCCGGGTAATAATGATGTAGCGCCTTGAGCACCAATAGTGGCGGATATGTGCTCTTTATAAATACGCATTTTAAGTATTTACTAACACTTTCAGTTGTGGATCTTAACCCTCCTGCTGCCTGAACAATCACAGACAGTCAAAAATCAATCCTCTTCCCCTGCCATGCCTTTACACAGGCTAGTCACGAACAGTCAGATCATGTTTCAAGAAAGCACTGTGACTAGTCAAATTCAGTCAACAGACAAAAGCTGGCAAGTGGTAGGCACAGCTGTCTTATCAATCACCAACAGTCAAAGCATAGCTGTATCAAGTTACATAATCAGTCACAGCCAGTCAATCCTGCTTTGTGTAGGCTGGGAACTCTTTAACTGTTGAAAACAGTCACTTGATTGATTTTGACTGAAAGGACGACTTCACACTGAATGTATGTTTGCATAGGGTAAGCCTAATATTGACGTGATAACTTGTGTATTTTTGGTTTGTAGATTGTGGTGATGAATGGAGGTGGAATGTGCATGGAGGCATTGTCGTTTGCAATCTGTGATCCTGGAGGTATGTGGGGATGGGATGGGGTGGGATCAGTGTGGGTTGGGTAAGGTTGGGTTGGGTTGCATTGGGTTGGGCTGGGCTGGGCAAAGGTTGAGTTAAGGTGGGTTGGGATGGGTTGGTTTGGGTTAGGTTAGGTTGGGTTGGGCTGGGCTGGGCATAAGATGAGTTAAGGTGGGTTGGGATGGGTTTGTTTGGTTTGGGTTAGGTTGGGTGGAGTAAGGTTGAGATGGGTTGGGTTGGGTTGGGTTGGGTTGGGTTGGGTTGGTTTGGGTTGAGTTGAGATGGGTTGGTTTGGGTTAGGTTGGGTTGAGATGGGTTGGTTTGGGTTGGGCTGGACATAGGTTGAGTTAAGGTGGGTTGGGATAGGTTGAGTTGGGTTGGTTTGGTTTGGGTTAGGTTGGGTTGAGATGGGTTGGGTTGGGTTGGGTTGGTTTGGGTTGGGTCGGGTTGGGTTGGGTTGGGTTGAGATAGGTTGGGTTAGGTTGGGTTGAGATGGGTTGGTTTGGGCTGGGCATAGGTTGAGTTAAGGTGGGTTGGGTTGAGAAGGGTTGGTTTGGGTTGGGTTGGGTGGGGCTGGGTTGGGCTGGGCATGGCTTGAGTTAAGGCGAATTTGTTTCTGCATTCAATAGGGGACGTTGAACAATAGAGGACAATAGGGTCCCCAATTCCCAAAAGGTCCCCAATTTAGAATCGTGTACAAAACCTATGGGAGGTTTTCCTTAAAAAAAAGAGGGACAATAGGGGGTCCCCGATATTGCAGGCAAATACACACTTGTCTGAGTTTGGTTGGGTTGAGTTAGGGTTGGGTTGGGTTTTAGGTTGGGTTGGGTTCAGACTGGGACCTGGAGTGCAGAAAAAAATGCAAATCAAGATCAGACCAACTTTACTCGCTCTTTATAGCCAACACAATTCTCCAAACTTTTCATGGGGCAAAGACGAGGTCCTAAGTATTTCACCAGTCAAGTTTGAGGTTTCAATTCACTTATTAAAGGAAACTTTTCTTTAACATTTTGAACCTGAGAGTGAAGCCAAGTGATTTCCATTTAAGGCTAAGTACTAGACTGAAGTACAAGTCTAGGGATGTTGGACTAGTTTCATGTGGCAGTATATTTTCTTGTGTTGCGTGTTACATTTAAGTTTTGGGACTCTAAAACGCAGTGTTGAGAGTCCCAAATTTTCAGACTTCAATGGTTGAAAAGGTTAGAAAGTTATTGAGTTACATTAAAATGTATATCAAGCGTTCAGGATATTGAATGTCTTTGCTGTGCACACATTGAACATGTAGATGCAGTGATGGTTGCTTCTCCATATTACGGAGGAATTCAATTTGACAATGAAATGCGGCCAGAAGCCAAGGTCATACGTGTCCACTTCTACAGCAAGGTACTCTGTCAATTACTTGTGTTCTGTAAGGCTATGACTTGTGTTCTTGGGCAAGACACTTTGCTGTGTCTCCATCCACAATCATTGAGAAAAAATTCCATCATGTGGGTTTGAACCCAACCAGAGGATCATGCTTCTTGTGTCCATGGGCAAGACACTTTGCTGTATCTCCATTAACAATCCTTGAGAAAAAATGTCATGATGTAGATTGGAACCCAACCAGCTAGAGGATCATGCTTCTTGTGTCCATGGGCAAGACACTTTGCCGTGTCTCCATCCACAATCATTAAGGAAGAAAAAGTACCATGATGTGGATTTGAACCCAACCAGAGGAACATGCTTCTTATGTCCATGGGCAAGACACTTTGCTGTGTCTCCATCCACAATCATTGAGAAAAAATTCCATGATGTGGGTTCGAACCAAACCAGCTAGAGGATCGTGCTTCTTGTGTCCATGGGCAAGACACTTTGCTGTGTCTTCATTCGCAATCATTAAGAAAAAGTGCCATGATGTGGATTCGAACCCAACCAGAGGATCATGCTTCTTGTGTCCATGGGCAAGACACTTTGCCGTGTCTCCATCCACAGTCATTAAGGAATAAGTGCCATGATGCGGGTTCGAACCCAACCAGAGGATCACGCTTCTTGTGTCCATGGGCAAGACACTTTGCTGTGTCTCCATCCACAGTCATTATAATAAAGTGTCTTGATGTGGATACGGACTCAACCAGAGGATTGTGCGTATTGTGTCCATGGGCAAGAAACTTTGCTGTGTCTCCATCCACAATTGTTAAAGAAAAAAAATGCCATTATGTGGGTTCGAACCCAACCAGAGGATCATGCTTCTTGAGTCCATGGGCAAGACACTTTGCTGTGTCTCCATCCACAATTGTTGAAGAAAAAAATGCCATTATGTGGGTTCGAACCCAACCAGAGGATTGTGCTTCTTGTGTCCATGGGCAAGACACTTTGATGTGTCTCCATCAACAGTCACTATAAAAAAGTGTCTTGATGTGGATTCGAACTCAACCAGAGGATCATGCTTCTTGTGTCCATGGGCAAGACACTTTGCTGTGTCTCCATTCCACAGTCATTGTAAAAAAGTGTCTTGATGTGGGTTGAACCCAACCAGAGGATCATGCTTCTTGTGTCCATGGGCAAGACACTTTGCTGTGTCTCCATCAACAGTCACTATAAAAAAGTGTCTTGATGTGGATTCGAACTCAACCAGAGGATCATGCTTCTTGTGTCCATGAGCAAGACACTTTGCTGTGTCTCCATCCACAGTCATTATAACAAAAAGTGTCTTGATGTGGATTCGAACTCAACAAGAAGATTTTTCTTCTTGTGTCCATAGGCAAGACACGTTGCTGTGTCTCCATCCACAATCAATTGTTAAAGAAAAAATGTGGGTTCGAACCCAACCAGAGGATCATGCTTCTTGTGTCCATGGGCAAGACACTTTGCTGTGTCTCCATCCACAGTCATTATAAGAAAGTGTCTTGATGTGGATTCGAACTTAACCAGAGGATTGTGCGTATTGTGTCCATGGGCAAGACACTTTGCTGTGTCTCCATCCACAATTTTTAAAGGAAAAAATGCCATAATGTGGGTTCGAACCCAACCAGAGGATCATGCTTCTTGTGTCCATGAGCAAGACACTTTGCTGTGTCACCATCCACAGTCATTATGAAAAAAGTGTCTTGATGTGGGTTCGAACCCAACCAGAGGATCATGTTTCTTGTGTCCATGGGCAAGACACTTTAGTGTAGTTGCTTCTGTCCACCGTGTAGGGGTTGAACATATGATCTGTGATGTAATACTTGTTAATTGCTTATAGGCAAAACAGTCATTCAAACATCTTTAAGATTTCCTCTTCATACAGTGCAACATCATCATTTTCCATAAGATATCTTAGTAATTACAGTCTGAGTATATGTCTATAAATGTTGTATTCTTTATTTGTTTCTGTCGCAGCTTGAGCCGGGACAGACGGAACCGTTTGAAATCACTGCTTCCAAATTTGAATCGGTGTACCAGGAACAAACTCAAAAGGTGGGCATAAAGGCTGCATGTCAAATCATGATGATTATGGCAATACTGTTGACAATTATAAGATTTGAGGCTTTGCATGGTATCGTTTCAGATTGCGGTAACACCTGAACACTGTGTGGTAATAACTACTGCTTAGAAGATATTTAGTTCTGAAAAGAACTTGTCCTGCTTATTATCAACTTCGCTAAGTAATTTTTATTCTGATAAGGACAGTCCTGCTTTAAGTTCTAAAAGAACTTGTCTTTGGTCTCAACGTTTCGACTAGCCTGCTCTAGTCCTCGTCAGGCGACTGTTGACAATTGTACCTTTGTCATTGATGTACATGGCGGAGATTTCATCTTGTAAAATTTCCAGGATAAGTCTGCAGAAAATTAATTCTTACCCTCAATATTCGTATCATAATCACGGTGCATTTGGCCTATTACTAAATTTCACCAGTGGCGGCGCCCCCAAATGCCCCCCATGCCCATTTTCCTCCTTCCCCCCAGCTCCGCAACTGAATTTCACGCAAATTTGTTGTTGATTTTTTTTTCTCCAGGGAATGAAAATCCGAGCCGTTTTCTTCGTAAATCCCAATAATCCGTTGGGAGACGTGTATCCTAAACAACTGGTGCTGGACATGCTACAATTCTGCCACAGGTGAGAACTATTTGACATGCCTTTTTGGTTAATCTAATTGAAGAAAAATACAAATCTAAAAATTAATGTGGCCTGACGTTGCGAACTTAGCAAGTTCTTCTTCAGAGGCTAAAACAGACATGACAGAGGTACATACATTAACATGGGGGTGCACACAAACATGCAGGCCTGAAAGAAGAAACACAAAAGGAGGATTAGGTGGGAAAGGTGTGGAAAGATGCAGGGGAGGGTGGATGAGAGAACAAAGAAACAAAGGGAGATGGCAAACCACAAGGGGTCTGGTATAAACAGGGGAGGGACCAGAAAGGGGAAGGATCAAAGGTCACAGGGAGTGGGAACGGACAAAAGAGTGTGAGAGTGAAGGGGGATGATGTGGGGGGGGGGGGGGAACAGTATGGAGGTGGAAAGGGATGAAAGATGGGGGAAGATGGGTAAACACAAACAAGGAAGACCAGGTGGATTATCTGTAACAGAAGACAATGGAGGAAGACAAATACCTTTAAAAATGGTAACATCATTTCTTATCTTCATATCTTATCCCAAAAGACAACCCAAATGGTTGCCAAAAATTAACATTTCAAACCGACAGGAAAAAGTGGGCCTCTACTATATTGTGCAAATTTTTTTTCTTCATCTGAAGCAGCAATTATTGTTTAACCCTCCGACGCAGAAAGCCCATTTAGTAACACACTTACAGTAAGGGGTCCCCCGAGGACCCAGATATTTAGCGCCACGGTTTGAGGCTACACAACACTGTATCCACATGAACACAATCTTGCCATGTCTGTAGACGAAGGAGGTGTATTTGTATACATAGTCTGTGGTCAAGCCGTGCACTGTCTACTCGCAAGTGACCTTGTTTGTGCACGTGTATATGGTGGGTCCCCGGGTGGGCAGAAATTGCGTCGGAGTTGTTTTGTGCGCGTGTATATGGTGGGTCCCCGGATGGGCAGAAATTGCATCGGTCCTTAGCCCAGGTTGTCATGCTCAGATATGCCTGACCCGGGGTCACACACTAAAGGTGACTGCATATATCCGTAGAGGGTGTCTCTTGCTAGGATTAGATGGAAGATCACCAGAATTGGTTTGAAATTTTTTTTTTAATTAAGGTAATTAACCAAATTGGGTCCCCAAAAGGGCTAGATTCTGCGCCGGAGGGTTAAAATCTTCAGTACATGTAGGATGCATATAGTTACTAATTCGGGCGATTCACAATGTAGTGCGCCACCAAGAGTATGCCACGGAGAGTTAATTTTTCCCAGTGCATTGTGGGAGATGGTTGACAAATTCGCAGCGAGGGACATTTGAAATTGTTAGTTTTTTCCAGTAAGTAGTTTTGTAAGCCTGTGATTTGAGGATCTGTTTGCCCTTTTCTTTTCTTCTTATCAATATGGTGTTTTTTGTAAGGCCGCAGAACGCTACACTCCAATGCATAACATATTTGTATTAACTCAAGTTGTTTGTCTTCTAACACTCATTCAAATGGACCATGCATGTTTTGTCGACCGTAAACCCGAAAAATGGACTCTCCATGGCAAACTCTTGGTGGCGCACTGCATTGTGAAACGCCCGAATTACTTGTTGAGGTTTCAGCTCAGTAGATACTTTTTATTTTCATAAAACAGAAACAACTGTTTGGATGTTGTGAAGTTTCCCTTTCGTATTTTGATTCTCACGTTTCAGACATTCTCTGCATCTCATCATGAATGAAGTCTACATGAACACCATCTTCAAGGAAGGAGCCAACTTCCAGAGTTTCCTCGGCCTCAAGCCAGAGGAGATCCCCGATCCGCAAAGGGTTCACTTTGTCTGGGCTGCTAGCAAGGTTAGGCGCGAGTTATTCTAACCTTAATATTTACCTATTGTTACCCTAACCATAACCCCAACCTTACACCCTAAACCTTACCCTAATCCTCAGAGAGTTCACTTTGACCAGGCAGTTAGCAAGGTAAAGGTTAGATATGAGGTAATCTAACCCAAACACTCACCTATGTTACCCAAACACCAACCCAAAGGCCCCCCCCCCAAAAAAAAAAATAGTTCTGCTTCCGGTTACCCTACCTACCCTATTTTGACAGCCCTACTCTAATTTTTTTGAGGAAAAAATGAGGGGAAAAAAACTGAAAACTAACAATTACTACCTTTTACCCTTTACTACACGCAGACACTGATTGTGCAAAAAAAAAATTGCCAAACAAAAAATACAATTCCCTACCTACCTACCCTATTTTCAAATGCCATGTAATCGGAAGCAGAACAATTTTTTTTTAGGACACTCAGCGGGCATCCCAGTCCAACACAATGCCCAACAGACAACCAATCAGAATCTACCACTACACGCACTCCCAATCCTAACACAGCCTACTTAAGGAGCAGCATCTCCAACTCTCCTCAGCCTCCTGACGATGACTAGAGCAGGCTAGTCGAAACGTTGAGACCAAAGACAAGTTCTTTTAGAACTTAAAGCAGGACTGTTCTCATCAGAACAAAAACTACACAGCAAAAGTTGATAATAAGCAGACAAGTTCTTTTCAGAACTAATATCCTCTAAGCAGTAGTTATTACCACATGGTGTTACCGCAAACCGAAATGATACTAACCCTATGTATACTGTAATCCTTATCAGACATGTCAGAGAATTCACTTTGTCTTGGCAGTTAGCAAGTTAGAGAGGAGTTATTCTGACCCCAACACTCCCCTATATGTGTTACCCCGTTCCCAATTCTAATTAACCGTACCTCCTAACCCTCAACCTCACATTAACCCCTATCAAAAACCTTGCACCCTTTCTCTAAAGGGAAAAGTGTTTTTGTTATTCATTTTTGTAACGGATTTCTGGCTTTGAAACCAAGGAATTTTGAGTTGTAGCTTGATCAGAAGCTTAAATAAACCTGTTTAGAGAGGACAAAGACTTATGCAGTTTTAGAAGTTGGAGGAAAACCCCAGACAAATATTCTTGGGAAAACCCCCGACCTATCTCCAAAAGGTCTTTTAACTTAATGACACTAGCTAAGAACATTAATAATTACCCAAAATGGACCTACCGATTAAAGGAGAAAACACTTTGCTCAAATACCCAGTGAAGTTATTGTGCCTAAAATGGTATATTTCCAAAGAAAACACAATGTTATATCATGTGTTTGGAACATGCCGTGAACCCTCTTTAAAAGTAAAACCCGACCTGACCCATTATATTCAGGTTTTCGAACCAGGCTAAGCAATCTCTCTTTTCTCCAGAGTTTATCTCTCTTATCTCCAGAGGTGATGTGGGATATGCTGTTTTTGACACCCTCGGGGCGCTATGTGCCCCTCCGGTGTTAAAAACGGCATATTCCACATCACAGCAGTCAACAAGTGTTAATTGAAGATGGTTTTAAAAAAGCAAGCGCATGTGCATTAGTAATGGAATCCATTTTAGAGACTCTCAAAATTGGCATACATTTTCTCTGTTTCCGCAAAGCGTATAGTATCCACTGAGCTGAAACTTCAACAGGTTTGGTTGTCATGCACTATCTACCTAAGACTTTGAGCTATTCCGTTGCTTCAAATGAAAAAAAAGATGCGTAAAAAACCCCAACTAGTTCTACTTACCTATATGCCTAATTGTGCATATCATCTGTTGTATATTTGACAGGATCTGTCCATGTCTGGTATGAGATTTGGAGTAATTCACACTCAGAACGAGTCCATCATCGCGTTCATCAGAAACTTCACCTACTTCCAGACGCTTCCCACCTACATTCAGAAAGTCATGGCTTGTCTTCTGTCTGATCGAGGTACATGTAAATGCAGTCCATTTGCGTTGATTATTTATAATACATGTAGATCATTGTTGTTCTCGTTCTCAAACTCAAGTACTTTTTGGTACTCATTCTCATGAGAATGTTCCCTTACTTGTACTCGCAAGACAGAGTACTTGTACTTGTACTCAAGGCAACGTACTTGTACTCAAGGTAACGTACTCGTACACAAGGCAAAGTACTTGGATGGTTTACACACACAAAGGAGGGATTAGGTGGCCGAGAGGCCACGGCCAAGCTCGGCCTTTCAAAGGCTTTCCTGCGTCAGGGTATCCGTTATAAGTTATTCTTATAATATTTGTACATTTCTTTAACTCTATGAAACTTGTAAGAGTGCTGTAAGAATATCCAGAATGCTGTAAGAATATCCAGAATTAGTTACAAATACAACCACAAAAATTGTCGGGGCGCTTCCCGATCTTTAACGATCTTTCACCGAACAAACAAAATCATCCCGAGGCAGACAACAACCAGTCCCCAATTTACTCATTCTCAAGAATTGTTTTTCGCGGTGATTCGGCTTAAAAATCGGGAATGTGTGAACCCAAGCAATAAACTACCAGGTGTTCCAAAGGGAAACATTATCCACAAAAGGAAAACGTATTTTACAATTTCATGAATGAAAAGTCTTTTTTCCTCTCTAAATTTGTACGTTCAGATTGGTTGAACAATGTCTACTTTCCGACCAATCACAAGAGGTTGCGTGAGGCTCACAAAGTCACCACGGATACCCTAGACGCGATGGGAGTGCCGTACCTCAACCGACCGTCGGGTCTCTACGTCTACGCTAACTTCAAAAAAGTAGTGACACTAATTAATCACTTTCCACATACTTTTTTAGCATTTGATTAATTAAGCTTGAGAATGTTCAAGTCAGAACCGTGGTTAACCATAGTCCATCACTAGACTTACCTCACTGAAACACAGGATGTCAATTTTGTCAAATTACCGTTAAAGGGAATATACATCATTTGCTTTTGCTGTAATTTTCAGAAATGGATGGAATTGGGGGGTTGGAAATATTTAGCAAATATAGTTACATTGACTTTTTTGAGGTTTTGGGTTCGAAAAATGCTATAAAAACCAAGAAAAACAATCATTTTCCTGTAGTCTGGTTCCCTGACTCCATATAAGAAGAAACAGAGTAGTTTACATACATTGGGGAATTGTAAGGTCAGGGAACCAGTCTAGCTGGCTTGTACCCGTTCATAGGTGTGTAATCGATTGCAAACAAGTGCGATGGTCAATTGGGGCAAGTATTTCAAAAAAAGCCAGTTTTTTCCAACGCTGGTCGGCCGACCAGCGTTGGAAATTGATACAGAAATACCACTTTTCTCGAAATCGACAGTATACCAGGTGCCATGATTTTACAGGATGCTTTACACTGTCATTCACTAACAGTCCAGCAAGGTATTTTTCAAAATGATTTGGTAGTTTGTTTTTTTGATGTTTGCAAATGTTGTATTTTCCCTTTAATGCAGAGATACACTCAACCAAAAAAGAAATTCCCCCCCCTTCCAATACTTTTTTGTCTAACTCAAAAACTACTGAGCACCACTCGCTCAAATAACGACTAATCAGTACAGAAATTTCTTAGCAATCCAGCCATACTCTTCATTTGGCCCAAAACGGTAATAATGTGTGCAAATTTATGCAATTTATGACTAATGATACCGAAAACAGTTGCACTTTTGTATACGTGCATGTTGCGGGCCACACTCACCTTGCAAGTGTACAAAAGTGCAACTTTTTTTTTCGGTACCACTTGTCATATATTGCATCATTTTGTACACATTATCACTGTTTTGGGCCAAACAAAGAGTATGGCTGGATTGCTGAGGAATTTCTGTACTGATCAGTCGTAATTTGAGCAAGATGTGCCCAGTAGTTTTTGAGTTAGACCAAAAAGTATTAAGGGGGAACTTTCTTTTTTGGTTGATTGCAGATGTAGATGTACAGTAAACTGGCAATTACTCAAAAGTTGGATAACTGCAATCTCCATTTATCTCGAAGTAATACTTCATTGTCGTCAAGCTAGAGTATAGGATAATATGGATATGAATACCCCCGTGACTTGAAATGCCCGCACTGGTCTCTGTTTTGCTCGAACTTTTGTTCTGCCAGTCCAAAAGAAACCGCTGCAGAAATAATCACAAAGAAGTGTAAAAAACAGCGTGGAACTGTTTTCATGAGTCGTTACTACTGCCAAACCCACTTCATCTTTTCACAATAACCAGTCTGTAACGGCAACAAATCCAGGCTTTCGAGTTAGCTTGATCGCCACGCTGGCCCAATTGTGGCCAGCACGCCGACAGGGCAAGTTGGCACAAGAACTATATTGTTGACCAATGGTTAACCATAGTTTGACAAAAGTTAGCCCCAACTCTCTCTAGTCGACGATGGTTGACTACGCTAGTTGACTATGGAACCAGCCTACCGCGGCTGGTCGCGCAACGATTTATAGCTGGTTATCAATAGCAATTTCCATAGCATAGTGCAGAGGGGACCAACTATCAACAAAAACGGCGGAAAACGAAACTGTGCGCTAAATTTCAATTTCATTGCACAGTTTTTGCACGTTGGTTGACGATTATGTCACTTTTGTCACCATTGTATAATAATATTGGCGATTATGTAAGATATATTACATATAATCAATATTATTTGTGTAAATAAAGAGAAACAACAAGTGTTGAATAATTGTGCGACCGCCATTTTCTGACGGTCATTAACATGACAATAGTTTGACAACAGTCGTTCGCACTTCAACTTCAGTGCGCATGCGCTAGGTACGTCACGAACCAACCACTAACTTACCACTGGTCCTTGCTCGAACTTGGCCCTAGTCGCTGGCTCTTTGCAGTGGCCATGTAAGTAACCGCTTTGGAAACCTTTGAAGATGCATGCGCCCGGCTTTCGTGTCAGCCTGATCGCTATCGCTGGCCCAGTTGCAGATCGCACGCTGGAGCGCCCTCTTCCTATTAAAACATGCTAAATAAGACTGGTCATGTGACCGCAGATGGTGCAGCGAAATAAGAGATATTCTCTTATCTCCAAGTGATATTTGTTTTCAGTTCATGCCGTCCCTCACCAAGGAGGATGAGATGGCTCTCTTCTACCGTTTCATCAACGACGGCGTCTACATCGCTCCCTCCTTGGCGTTTTTCGCAGATGAGCGTGGATGGTTTCGCATCATTTTCTCCAGACCGTTTGATGAGGTCAAAATTGGTAAGAAAAGGATTCTTGATTCGCCTGAGAATCAAGTTGAAAGTGTAAGCATTGTTTGAGAAATTAACAAATAAGGTTTAAGGCTGATTTGCACATACGGGACTTTGTCGCGCGACACTGTCATACTTTTTTGTCCCCTAAACAAAGCTTTGGGAGACACTTAAATTCTGTATGTCCATAGACCCGTATGTACGTTCTGACCATACCCCCCTTGGGGGGTGATGTTCCTTTCAGGACACATAACCCCACTTTTTTTCACAATAGAAAAACATCACCCCAGAAGGGAATCTTTAGAAAAAGGGATAATGGGAACACAATGCTATCACCCCACAATTCCGTTTGGCTGGAACGGACGTTCTGACCATACCACCCTTGTGCCTTTCAGGACACATCACCCCACTATTTTCACAATAGAAAAACATCGCCCCAGAAGAGAATCTTTAGAAAAAGGGATAATGGGAACACAATGCTATCACCCCACAATTCTGTCTGGCTGGACCGTCCGGACACTAACACCAGAGCTACTTGTGGGGTGCTAGCTCGTACAAATTAGGGAACGGTACCCACAAATGAAATCTTCAGAAAAACGGTACCCCACAAGTGAAATCTTTAGAAAAAGGGATAAAAGGACAACAATTATGCAAAATTGTCTCATTCTTATCCAGCCCTGACCAGTTGGTGCAAGTCAGATTTCACCCGACCCCTTCAATTGACTCCTGTGCAGTCATGCATGAAAACAAATCCAGTGAAATCTCACCAAAAGAAGCAGGAAGAGTTACTCTAAAAGTACACATGAAAATATCTTATCTATATTGCTACAGAATAATTCTATGGCCAATTTTAAAATTGTATAGTTTTTTTTTGACTCACACTAGTATACAAATATTGAGTGTCTCAGAGTGGAATGGGAGGAGTATTATCGCAAGATCAAATCTGGACTTTTTCATTTCACGAAGCGAAGTTGAGTGAACTGGAAAAGTCCAGATTTTACCGAGTGATAATATTCCTCCCATTTCACAATTAAAAGCCACGCCATATTTGTTTTATTTAAGTGACACATAGATCCCTGTCATTTGATATATTTGAACTTTTATTTCAATACAAAACTGGAGGGAAAATGTATTTCTCTCTTCCAAACCACTTCACGAAAATGTTTGAACCCAACGCTGTAGTGCTGGCTCTTTGAAACAATACGCGCTACGCGCAACGCTGAACGCACACACCAGCATGCATTTGCACACAAATACGGCGTCATGATCCTAACTGTTGAATAGTATTTCCCATTCCCCATGGGTGGATAGTACTTTTTGAGCCGCGGCGTGAATGGGAGCAATAACGAATGCCACGTGATGTGAGTTCCAACAATCAATTGACAAGGTTCTGTATGTCAGTTACATAATACGTCCCATTCACCATGGGTGAATGGGGCTTTTTGAGCCCCGGCGCGAATGGGAGCAATAATGAATGTCACGTGATGTCGAGTTCCACCAATCAGATGACAAGGATCTGTATGTCAGTGATATAATCCTTTTCGTACCTTAGTAACTGACTGACTCGCCAACTCACTGACTGACTGTCACTTGTGACTTAGCATGGCTGTTGGCTGGTGAAGAGAGCCGGGCAGTGCTATCGTATAGGATCACACTGTATTAGGCTAAAATCTGGCCCATTGTGTACACCAGATGCATGGAAAGACAATGAATAGCCATTGTGAATCGTTGAATAGAGTTTGCTGTGCAGACTTTACTGGGCTCGCTTTGTCTTGTCTCCGTAGCCATGGGAAGGCTTGCGAAGAGCTGCAAAGCGCTCCTAGAAGAAAACAAGAAACTGTCATCCAAACTTTAAACAGGTCAGTGTAACAATCTTGCTGTAAAACACTGACCCCCAAATCCATCCATTTCTGAAAATTACAGGCATGGGCGTCAATCGGTGGGGGACAGGAGGGACATGGTCTCCCCCCCCCCACATTTTTATGTGGGGGGGGATATCATATTGTTTGTCCCCCCCCCCCACTTTTTCTGTCACGGAATAGAAGTTGTAGCCTATATTTGATTATGTAGCTCAGAATAGCTGATTCAATGACTCTAAACTCAAAAATGATGTTTCAATGATGATTCTTTGCTTAAAAAAAAATTTGGTTGAAGTGGTCAGAAATTGCCTCGGATTGCCCACAGAGCATCTAGAATCTAACATTTTCTGGGGCCCCTAAGCAGGCCCCAAACCCCACACCGTAAGGGCATTGCATTTACAACTGTTGACTGCTGTGGTGGGATATGGCATTTTTAACATCCGAGGGGCGGCTTCACCTTGGGTGTTATGCGCCCCGAAGGTGTTAAACATGTCATATCTCACATCTTTAAGCAGTCAACAGTTGTTTTGTTATATCTTGCCAATAATGCTAAATGATAAAGGCTTTTAAAGGTACAGTCCATCATTTGTAATTTGTGCATTTTGTTCGTTTGAAGCAACAAATGTGCTCAAAATCTAAAGAAGGGTGCTGAGCAACTAACCTGAAGAAGTTTCAGCTCAGCTTCAGCTGTATATTCCGAGACAAACAGCATTCTAGGATCTCGATTTCACATCAAAAGTTGCTGAATCATGTTTTGAATTGGGCCTGAATTCAGCGTCCCAGACACGTTCCTACTGAGCCGATTGCAGCTATGCGATGTCGCTCATGGATCCAACCGCCTGCGTGTGTGCATCGTGCCAGCGCTTGCGCGCGATTCGCCAAACTTAAAAAATGAACTACTAACGGAAATTTCCAACGGTGCATCTTAAGACGCACCGTTGGAAAGGTCTTCTTTCGTTGATTTCTTCAAAATGACAGCTTGTCAGAAAGAATCAAAAGGGAGTTTAGTCCCCTTACTGTCTTTCAACCAATATGTTTTTCAACAATAATGACGTCAGTTACATTTTGGATAGCTGCAAATGATGGACTGTAGCTTTAAGCACTGGCAGGAGCTTCTACTTGTCACAGGTCGGTCTGTCTGTCCCCGAAGATTGGCCAAAATAAGTTTAGTGCCATTACTATCTTTAAACCAACCAAGCTTTTTAACAATATCTTTGTCAGTTACTTTTCTACCTTTAATAACTAATTTGGATTCATTTCATTAATATGCCATATGAATAACTTTCTGTCTTTTTTGTATTGTCTCCATCGAATTGTTTAAGGCACGTCACTGGAAACCCTACTTTCCCAGCTGAAGACTGAGATCTCCTCCTCTGATTGGCTGGAGAAGAACACAGCGGAGACATGGAAAACGGAGAATCCTCAACTCTACAAAGAGTGCAAAGCCAACATGAAGTAGACAGAGCCAAAACAAGATAGAAGTATTCCAAATTCTCTTCTCGGTTCTCCCTAACTTTTAGATTTAGTCGTATCTTTATACTTCAATTCTAAATTTTTGATTTTTCTTTTTGCAATTCCCCATTCAATTTGCTTATAGATGCTATGAGAAGCTTGGTTCTTGTGGAGTGAACCTTTGAACTGGTTTTGAACTGGTTTAACTGGTTTTGCAGTACTTAAACCTGTTTCCGAACTGGTTTAACTGGTTATGAAATGGTTTAGCTCTTTTTGAAGTAGTTTAACATGTTCTGAACTGGTTTAACTGGTTCTGAATTGGTTTTGAACTAGTTTATAGGTTTTGGACTGGTTCTGTACTGGTTTAACTGGTTCTGATCAGAAGAAACCAAGACAAGGCAAGCTGGGTAAAGCTGGTCCCAGAGTGCACAGAATTCTATTCAGTTGACCCAGGTGAAAATTCTGTTGAAAACAGTCCACTGAACTAGTTCTAACTGGTTTCGACTGCTGACACTGATAAGTTCTGAACAGGATTTGAACTTTTTGAACCAGTTACAGACTAGTTAAACCAGTTTGAAACCAGTTAAACCAGTTTGAAACCAGTTTAAAGTTTGAAACCAGTTAAGCCAGTTTAAAACCAGTTACACAAGTTCAAAACCAGTTAAACCATTTCAGAACCAGTTAAACCAGTTCAGAACAGGTTAAATTACTTCAAAACCAGTGAATGTATTATCATTGGTTTGAGGGCTGGTGGGGGATTATGTTAAAAATGTAGTGAGATTTGTAAAACCTTCTTTGGATCAGAAGAAATACACAGAAAATATGACTATCTGTTTAAATGTAGCTAAATATATTTACAATGAAAACATTTTACCATTTCTTTTAATCTATTTTTTTTAAGAATCCAAATTTAACTGCAAAAATGAACATTTATGCAATACATGTAGTTATATTTTTGCTGATAATAAAATGTATAACTATGTAGAAAGACAGTACTACGTTGACTTCTTAATGCTAGGATCATCTGCATTTATCCCAAAAGTAATCTATCGAATAATTATCCAAAAGCTTACTTGGATTAAAGATCGCACTGGTGCTAATTAACACCCCATGAAATAATTCCATCCGGCTTGCTGCCATTTAGAAGAAATCAAGAAATGTAGGTGATTTCCAACGATCAGTCAATCGACTGATTCGAGTGATATTGATGGAATCATGTTTTATTGTGATCAAAAGGTTATTTATGGTTTTTCACCGTTTTCTTAAAGGGAAGATACAACATTTGCGAACATAAAAACATGAAATGATCAAATTATCACGAATACCTTACTGAATTGTTAGGGAATGACAGTCTAAAGCATCCTGTAAAATCGTAGCTCCTGGTGTGCTGACATTTTTAAGAAAAAGTGTATTTTTCCAATGCTGGTCGGCCGACCAGCGTTGGAAAATATTGGCTTTTTTTCAAAAACTGTACCTAATTTTTCATATTGCATTCTCTTTGCAATTGATTACACACCTGTCAAGGGGTACAAAGCCTGCTAGACTGATTCTTTGACCTAACAATTCCCTAAAGTCTATAAATTGCTCCATTTCATCTTAAGTGGCATCAGGGAACCAGACTACAAGAACACGATGGGTTTTCTTAGTTTTCCAGCATCTCACAAGCCCAAAACATGAAACAAGTCCGTTTAACAATATTTGCTATATCAAGCTATTCCTCCAAATCCATTATTTTTTTTTAAATTGTAGCAAAATCAAATGTTGTACATTCCCTTTAAAAAGTGTACGTACATGTAATATCCACTGAAATTTTGAATGCATATCACATACAGTCCTCTGTGATGATGCTTTTTTGTAAAGAAAATTAAGTGTTATCCATTTGCCCTTTGAAACCACTTTTACCTCCAAAAAGTATAAAGAGTGTATAATATATTCTATAATTATTTTATTCTCATTCAGTGAGTTCCTCAGAATAACGTACTATATAATTTCTTGCAGAATCAAGTACATGTACTGTATCGGCTACAATATTTGAAATCAAGATTATTTTAACTGAAATATATTGAATCTTTTAAAACTATGCACATTTAAAAATGTTCTTGTATATGGGGTGTTTATTAAATAAAAACAATGACAAGATTATGTATTGTGTCATACATTCTTTTGTGCAGCTTAAAAGGGAATTAGATACAACATTTGCAAATATCAAAAAACGAAATGATCAAATTATCATGTAATATCTAACTGGATTGTCGGGGAATTACAGTCCAAAGCATGCTGTAAATCGTGGCTCCTGGTGGGCTGACATTTTCAAAAAAAATGTATAGTTCCAACGCTGGTCGGCTGACCAGCGTTGGAGAAAACCTTTTTTTTTTAAACTAATTGCTCCTAATTTTTCATACTTAGTTATTCCGCAATTTCTTTGCAATTGATTACACACCTGTGAAGCCTGCTTTTCTGATTCTCTCGCCCAACAATTCCACAAAGTCTATAAATTGCTCCGTTTCATCTGAAGTGGAGTCAGGGAATTAACCAGACTGCACTGAACATGCTGTTTCTTGGATTTTCCAGCATCCGAACCCAAAACGGTAAAGCAAGTCAGTTTAACAATATTTCCAATAAAATCCATTTATTTCTGAAAATTGCAGCAAAAGCAAATGATGTACATATTCTCTTTACAGGCATGCAACTTTTCCTCGGATCAGCTGATTTCCTCTTTTTTTACTTCACATGTGTGCCATTGAAAATAGAAAAACACTGTACAAAGTCTGGGCAAAGTTTGAATTTCCTCTTTTTTGGTGATTTCCCAGTTGCATGCCTGTCTTTAGTGTTGGTATAAATGGGTGGGGGACAGCTATAAAGCAATTATTTGGTCGGTTATACTTTGTTGGATGATAGTATTTAAACATGGGTGTCGCCCGGATTTTTCCCGGGGGGGCAAAGCACATTTTTCCAAAAACTTTCTTTTTCAATCATTTTCTGAGCATGCATGGGCAGGGGGACATTTGCCCTATATACCCCCGGCCCCCATCCCCACCCAATCAAATTAACAGCAATATGGCTTCGTACCTTTTCCCCTCTTTCCCCCCCCCCCCCCCCCCCCTCCTCGCGACGCCCATTTATTTCAAGTACCGTCCATAAAATTTGAAGTGCGCCCTCTTTGATGCGCTTAAAAAAATGCATTGTCTGTGTGATTGTGGCTGGTATCCTGCCAGTTAGGCAGGATGTTGCATTGTCTTGTGCACATTTTTCCAATTACATGTATGTAAACCATTGGCGGATATAACAGGTTACCATTGTAGAGCGACCGACATCCAGCACGCACATTTTTGCTTGAAGGTGAGTTATAAAACGACAAAAAAATTCTTTTTTATCATGATTTGTGATCTCGGATGAACTCAAAGACAGAGGATGTTCTCTGGCTTCTGTGTATTTATAATCATCTTAAATTTGTGTATGAACGTGGTTATTATTTATGATTGCGCATGTGTGTCGCAACTACATTTTCACGGCGTGTCTTTTCAGATGACGTTTCCACACAGTTCTAAGAAATGATTCACAAATTCCTGTTTTTCTTACATGTCTTATGTTTGTGTAACGTAACGCTTTTCGAATGGAGGGAAAAAAGGAGCAACTATAGAATGCAGGGCCACGCCAGGGCAAGGGTTTTTTTTTTTGCGTGGAGGAGTGGATGGACATGATGGATTAGGAGTAATAGATATGCAAACCTGCAAAAAGTGCTAAGTACAGCGAATGCACTTGTCTTCAAGCTTCTCATGAAGGATCGGAAGGGAGGGCGTGCTTGTAAATGTGTTGGGGCGACGGGGCTCTGTCTGGAGTGGCGGAGGCGTGGAGACGCGGAGAGTCGCGGCGGAGATGCGGGGCACTGGAGTGGTGGAGGCGCGGAGTCGCAGAGACTCGAGCCAATAGAGGGCGCAATTCTCGGAGATATCGACTGAATTTTTTTGAGAACGAAGCATCCGTATCCAATTTAAATGGGCTCGCAAATTAGAAAGGGAGGAGGGCGACGGGGCACTGTCTGGAGTGGCGGAGGCGCGGAGTCGTGGAGTCGCGGAGAGTCGCGGCGGAGACGCGGGGCACTGGAGTGGCGGAGTCGCAGAGACGCGCACCGATAGAGGGCGCAATTCTCGGAGATATCGACTGCGGCTCCACGATTCCACGATCGATTTTCGGAGGTAGGTCGACTGCGGCTCCACGCCTCCACGCAGCCATACGGAGGCGTGGATGTAGAGTAAAGTGGCCCTGCATTCTATAGTTGTACTGAAAATCCGTACTGGATCACCACTTTTTTGGATATCCTGGGCAATCCTTATCAACAGGGGGCGCTGTACTCTCTAAAGATAGGGCTGAATTATAAGATATATCATATTTGATTCATAAATTACCACCAAGGGGGGGGGGGGGGGTTGTGTAGCACTTGTGATCTAGTGGATAGCAACAGATCTCATGAGCGGGAAGACCCGGGTTCGATCCCCGCTGGCGACATTTTTAAGGTTTTTCTTTCCCCATCCCAAAAAAATCAGAATATTCATCTTTATTATTTTAAGGCAGTGTATATTTTGCCGGAGACGGCAAACCTTTAGTAAACGTTAGTTTGCCGGATATGCACTGAGCATGCGCAGTTACTGTTTTTTTTGTACTTCAAACATTTTCCGGTGACAAGTTTTAGTCTGGCTCCATGCCAAAATTATCGTTGTTACCTCGTATTCGCAAGATGGGATTCAGACCATTTTATAATTTCGGACTTTATTTCCCTTTTAAAAAAAATCCTCCAGAGCCACAAATCTGAAAAAGAAAATGTAATACTCTGCAAAAAATGTTTGAGACATGTTAAAATAATAAAAGAAGAATCTTCTTATTTATTTGGGGATGAGAAAAAAAACCTTAAAAATGTGGTGCGGTCGGAATCGAATGCGAGTCATCCCGCTTACTAGAGCCTTTGCTTAACCACTACACCAAACGTGCTACACAACTTTTGGTGGGAATTTAATACATCTTATAATTCAGCCCTATTTTAAAGAGTACAGCGCCCTCTGTTGATATGGATCTTATTTTAACATGTCTCAAACATTTTATTGCAGAGTACCGGTATTACATTTTCTTTTTCAGATTTGTGGCTCTGGAGGATTTTTTTTAAAGGGAAATAAAGTCCGAAATTGTAAAATGGTCTGATTCCCATCTTGTGAATACGAAGTTAGAACGATAATGTTGGCATGGAGCCAGACTAAAATTTGTCACCGGAAAATGTCCAAGTTAAAAAAAAACCAGTAACTGCGTATGTTCAGTACATTGGCCGGCAAGCTAATGTTTACTAAAGGTTTGCCGTCTCCGGCTAAATATCCACTGCCTTTTTTCAATTAATTTTTAAGCGCCAAAAGTTGCATCCTTTATGGTTATTTCCTCCACTTTCCCTCCTCTACTCTCGCCCTCTCCTTTCCTTCATTCCTATTTATTAATCAGTCACTTACTTTATCGAGATTCAAACCTCGGACTCTTGCTTGAAACACGAGACTTTTAACCGCTAGGCCGTGCTCGACCGCTGTTCCAATGATCAATCTTTGGACGTATTTGGCAAAAATGTTTGAAGTATCCATTGAAATAAGGCAGTGGATATTAACCCTGCGCAGAGTGACCTCCGTACCAATGCAAATGACGGTCAATGCAAATGACGGTCACTTTCCATCTAATCCTCATTCAACCCATGCCAAATCAGCTGGTTCAATGAACTTTGCAGCCAGGGCTACACCCAGGCCGTGTCAACAAACTTTCGACCAGGCCTCCTGCCAAGTCTCGTTGAAACATAAACAAACACCTGTAACTTGACACAGCCATCTCCCTTCATCGCTGCAAACCACAGCCGCCAGTCAATTATCTTTTAAGGCACGTGGCTTTTTGTTGTTTTGACATGAATAGGGTCTTGCGAAGTGCGGGGAAGTACCTGTGGCCCAAAGGGCCATCGTTGGAGAGTTCGTGTAAACATTTTTTGTAAACGCTGCGCAGGGTTAAGCTGGAGACGGCAAACCTTTAGTAAGCGTTAGCTTAAACGCAAATGGACAGGAATGACTTGTAGCCACCTAATAATTACCAGGAACTACAAATTGCCGCCGTATTTTTTGAACAGATTCATATGTGGTGACATATGATACATGTAGTACAAATATTTAAAACCATAATCACGAAATTTAAGTGCACGTCTCACAGGTATCGTGTCCCGAAGTGCAAAGTTGCGAACGTCATTTCGATTCTGTCAAATGCCGGTATGTCAACAATTAAAAGCCAGCGAGTAACCAAGAAAATTCAGGTGATAAAAAAAAACATGTGCAAGACAGGGCCCGAAATCATCATCCTTTCACGATCTTAACTATCAAATTTTCTTCAAACATATTTCCGAAAACCCTGATCTGAAATACCCAATGACAATGACTTCGGGAAGTCTGTCCATTTGTGACGATGACGTTCGTGCGGTTACTGCGGTGTTTGACCTTTTGACATCAGCCCAGGTAGTGCGCCCTCTTTCTTGTTTGGCAGGCGTGAGCCCAGACAGGGCTCTGGAGTGCTCTGAAACGTGCAAAACTAAACCAGGCCCACTTTACTCACATTTTAGCCAGCAAATTTCTCCAAAAAATCCACTGGGGCAAAGAAAATGTCCTCAGTATTTCACTAAGCAAGTTTGCAGACTGAATTCAATTTTTGAAAGAGACTTTTCTTCAATATTTTGCACATGAGAGGGGTGTCGAGTGATTTCAAAATGGGGCTAAAACTAGACTGGTACCGGTAGGCCTACATGTCCAACCATGGTCCAACTATTTGAAAAGACTGACCTCTTCATTCAGTGTCAATAGTCTGGTGGCTTGACTATGTAGAAATGTGTAGTAAATTGAGACTAGTTCCCGCTTCATGCCACATGTTTCTTAAATTCTTTTGGCATGGTTGATTAATGCAGTACTGAATCTGTGTTGGACTGGTTGTTTTAGGTGTCAGTCTATTTTCTTGTTTTTGCATGTTTTCAATACCTTATGTTTTGGGACTCTCATAACACAGTATTGAGAGTCCCAAATTTTCGGACACGCGTGAGCCTTATCACGGAAGTGCAACGCTCCAGGATATTTTCATTTCAATCGATCAATATTAGGTTTTGCCCTTCACTGATGTATAAACACTGTATACTCCTTGTATTGCCTCAGAGTGAAAAATGGAAAAATCACTCGGGTGGGACTTGAACCCACGACCTCCTGCTATCTAGTGCAGATGTCTTACCATTCGACCACCGAACTTGCGGGATCGTTTGGCTGGTTCGAATCTGATGTACAACAGTACATTTAGCAGCGGGTACCGTAATTAAACTATTCATAAGGTGGTATTTTGCGTCAGGGTGATGTAAGTCAGTATTAGGTTTTGCCCTTCAACGTTGTACCTCCCGAGTGAAAGTTTGAACAAAAAATCACTCGGGTGGGACTCGAACCCGCGACCTCCTCCTTCTATCTAGTGCAGACGTCTTAACACTCGACCCCCGAGCTTGCGGGATTGGTTGGCTGGTTCCAATCGATAACACACTTGAGTATACAGTGTTTATACGTCGGTGAAGGGTAAAACCTAATATTGATTTACATCACCCCAATGCAAATTCCATCTTATGAATTTCAATTGATATTGTCAAATATGTGAATAATCATGGTCTGATCTTTACCACACCTTTTTAAAACCCTGTCTTCGTGTAGGTACGGATGACTTCTACATATTTTGTATAGTAAGAGCGGCTTGAATCAAGACAAAGTGGAAGGCCCGGGAGAAGTAGGTGGCGCTTCTCAAGCTTTCCCTCAGCGAAGGCAACAAGAGACGCCACGACAATACCCCAAGTGAGTCTAAGAAATATTGCCTTCGCTGAGGACAAATAGTTCCCTGTTGACTGATTAAAGTTGTAAGTTAAGACACATAAGACCAGAAAAAACAGACCATGATTTCGCAAGCTTTCTTTCAGCAATGGCAACGAGATACCACAACAATATTCTGAGTAAGACCAGGAAATATTGACTTGTGTTGGAGGCAATAGTTCCCTAAATATTGACTGATTAAAATTGTTAAGACATGTGTGACCAGAGAAAACAGGTTGTGCTTTTTTAAGCTTTCCCTCGGTGAAAGCAACAAGAGACACCATGGCAACACCCCAAGTAAGTCTTAGAAATATTGCCTTCGGTTGAGGGCAATAGTTCCCTATTGACTGATTAAAGTTGTAAGCTAAGACCTCTAAAACCAGAGAATAAAAGGAAGTGCTTTCTCAAGCTTTACCTTGGCAAAGGAAACAGGAGATGCCAAGACAACACCCCAAGTATTAGTCTAAGAAATATTGCCTTCTGTTGAGGACAATAGTTACCTATTGACTGATTAAAATTGTTAGTGAAGACATGTAAGACCCGAACAAAATGGGTAGTGCTTTTTCAAGCTGTCCTTCAGGGAATGCAACAAGAGATGCCATGACAATACCTCATGTAAGTCCGAAAATGTTGACTTCTGATAAGGGCAGTAGTCTCTTTTGACAAATCAAACTTGTATAAAAGTTAAATCCCTGAGAAAAAAAAAGGTCTTATTTCTCAGGGTTATGTCGTATTAATATAATAATCATAAAAAGAAGAAAATTCCAAAAAATTCCAAAAAAATATTGACCGCTACACGAAGGGCAGTAATTACCGGTAGCTGCGGGCTGCTTTGAATAGTAGTTCATAAATACCTAAGACAGTTTACGCATTCCTATTGGTCGAGAGCCCGTCACGTGGCCGGTCTTAAACGGATGATAAACACATGGCTAGCTGGTCTTAAACACTTTTCCAGTGTCACAATAAAATGTGGACTCCTAAAAATCCAGTGCCTCTTATCGTTTCATTGGTTGAACGTTCACAATCCTCACGTAGGCATGCGCAACACTACCAGGGAGTCAGAATTATATAGTTCTAAATTCAAAACGCAACGCGCCAGGTGCGTTCTGCGCGACATCGCGCAGAACATGATACGCACGCGTCAATCTCCATAAAAGGGTTGTTTACATCTTACTCGCCAGCTGAACACTCCATTATTTTGCAAGAGGGATGTTTCAAAAAGCACAAAGTGAATTTGTTGAACAAAATCGGGATGTTTTGAACGAATTATATGATTTTTTTTTACTGAAAAGGCATTTATGAATGGGAATAAATATGTGCTCCGTCGGTATTTATCACTCTGTTTAAGACCGCTTAGAGTCTGGGTGCTGATCATTACCCTCGCCTCCGGCTCAGGTAATTATCAGCACCCAGACTCTAAGTGGTCTTAAACAGAGTGATAAAAACCTCCGGAGCACACATTTATTCCCTTAGTTATAACCAGGGCAAAAATGGTAATACTTTTTAAGTGTTTGCTTGATACAACCAATAGATAACTGGTCTACACCAGGAAAGTCACCAGGTAGTGATTAAGTTCGCTTTTGGCAATCCTTCAGGAGTGTTGTCAATAATGTTGTTGTTTGGTTTTTAGTCTTTGTTACACTGGCGTGTTACCTAAAGTGTTTGTAATTGTATTCTGTGTCTGTATGTGTTCTTACCTGAGAAATAATGAATGAAATGAAATGAAACAGAAACTCGAGGAAATATTGACACTAGTGAGGAAGATATATGAATTATTGACTACTTTTTAGTGGATTTTGTGGCTGTTACAGGACAGGAGATTTAAAATGATATATTCACATATCTAACCCAAAGTTTTCCAGATCCTTTACATCCTCAAACTGCAGGTTTTTGACATGTTTGAAGGTTAAAAAGTCAGTGTCAAAGCTTTTACTTTACACAGAACTCATGCCTTGCTTTACAAAACAATTGGTGATTTTGGAAGATACAGAAAGATTCTCAACAAAATGGTGAAGAAAGAGGTTTCATTTTCTGTAATTAGTTTATTATTATTTTTTTTACAGCAAAAGTAACTACCATGAACCTGTGTTAAGCAACAAAGGCAGTGGACTACGGAGTAGTAGCAGCGGAACTGGAAGGACCCATCAGAGATGGGTACCACCGAGCTCATCCAACAGACCTGAATATCACACCAATCAAGAAAGGCATAATCCCATCTTTAGGCGTGTTAGAGGGTAAGTTACTTCCTCCCAACCCCACGTCCACACCCACCCAACCCCGCCCCACCCAACCCCAGTGGAAGGACCAGTAGAGATGGGTATCACCGAGCTCATCCAAGAGACCTGGATATCAAACCAATCAAGAAAGGCAAAATCCCATCTTTAGGCGTGTTAGAGGGTAAGTTACTCCCTACCCAACCCTGTCCCACTCAGCCCCACCCAACCCCAGTGGAAGGACCCAGCAAATATGGGTACCACCAAGCTCAACCAACAGACCTAAATATCACACCAATCAAGAAAGGCATAATCCCATCTTTCATGTCTTTAGGCGTGTTAGAAGGTAAGTTACTTCCTCCCAACCCCATGTCCACACCCACCCAACCCCAGTGGAAGGACCAGTAGAGATGGGTACCACCGAGCTCGTCCAACAGACCTGAATATCACACCAATCAAGAAAGGCATAATCCCATCTTTAGGCGTGTTAGAGGGTAAGTGACTTCCTCCCAACCCCATGTCCACACCCACCCAACCCTTCCCCACCCAACCCCAGTGAAAGGACACATCAGAGATGGGTGCCACAGAGCTCAACCAACAGGCATGAACATCACACCAGTCTAGAAAGGCATAATCCTGTCTTTAGGCGTGTTGGTGGTTAAGTTACTTCCTCCAAACCCCACGTCCACACCCACCCAACCCCCTGCCCAGCCCCAGTATATGGACCCAAAAGAGATGGGTGCCACCGAGCTCAATCAACAGATATACACACCAGTCAAGATAATCACATCTTTAGGCGAGTTAGAGGGCAAGTTACTTCCTCGCCCCACCCCACCCAACCCAACCTGCCCCACCCAAACCCAGTAGAAGAACCCAGCAGAGTTTGGTACCACCGAGCTCAACCAACAGACCTTTAGCAGTGTTAGAGGGTAATACTCCGAATCTCCCCCTACTCCTACCACACCCCCGTAGCCACTTACCCACCCCGTGCCCTCAAAAATACTTATCCACTTACCCCCCTCCCCTCCTCCCACCACCAAATTACACAGGCCTTTTCACACTAGAGCCTCTCAACCCGGGTTGAACTCTACCCGGGACGAACCCAGTGCCGCCCAGTGTTGAGTTTTTGATTTTTCAACCCCGCATTCAACCCTGCATTCAAACTTGCATTCAACCCCAAATCGTTTCACACTTGTTTAATGCAAACTGAGCTTATTTCTACTGTGTTTGAACCCTGGCGAGAGTTTCAACCCAGGTTGAAAAAAAATCTCAACCCTGGTCTGGAGCAGGGTTGAGTTCAACCCTTGGGCGAAATCAATCTCAGGGTTGACGCAGGGTTGGCGCGGGGTTGAAAATGTCCAAGTGTGAAACGCTGCATGTTTTCAACCCTGCGTCAACCCCAAAATTGGTCTAGTGTGAAAAGGCCTTCAACCTGAAATTAAGGCCATGAACACCCCAACAAAAATGGCCCGTTTTTCAAGATACGACCAAGCTAATATAGCTTTTTTTTTATCTGTTTGTAGGATCCTGAACAAGCTCACCCCTGAAAAGTTTGACAAGCTGGTTCTGGAGCTGCTCAACGTGGGAATCGACTCCAAAGTCGTGCTCAAAGGCATCATTCTACTGGTCCGTAACTTGCTGCATGCTCCTAGACCTATCGCTTTTCTGTTGACTTCTTAACCCCCTAGGCCCTTTTGGCTTGGAACCATCCTCAATCCTGCAAAATCCTCCAATTGCCACCATGTACAAATCGGATTCAGCCTCAGTCCTCCAAAATCATCCGTTATTTCTTAAATTTGTTCAGTGGAGGGGTGACCACTGCCTCAATCCTTCAAAATCCTCTGAATCACTGTTACATAGTGTTGGAGCAGTAAGGGTGATAACCTGCAGATGCGGTGTTGATGATATCTAGTATGAACTAGGCATCATGCATGCATGGCTAAGCATAAACAACACAAGGTATAGCTTAAGATCTTGACACAATGCATCTTCTAAAGACAACTGGCACTAAAATGGCATGCAGCCTCAAACCTCCAAAATCCTCCAAAGAAAAGTAAATGTTATTTACTAGTCTGTATACAAATGCATGGCAGGGGAAGTGGAAGAAATGTTTGACCGTCTGTATCTGATCAAACAATAGGAGCCGGCCTCCTGCCTGTTAATGTTATGTTATGCCTGGTGTTCTTCTTATCATCCCGTGACCGGCTTTTATCCCAAATATTCACAAACTGTTGTGTTTAATTGTAGGTATTTGACAAAGCATTAGAAGAACCCAAGTACAGCACTGTATACGCTCAGCTATGTAAGCGACTGGACGAGGACGCTCCTAGTTTTGAGCCTCCGGGCTCAAACATCAGAGTAAGTCCTTCCTTGCCTCATCCCACCCTACCCCATCCCTCCAACTCACACCCTACCCCTCGGCACCCTACCCGCAGCACCCTACTCGCAGCACCCTACCCGCAGCACCCTCATTCCTTTCCCAAACCCCTGCCCGACCTACCCCCAGTGCTCTTACTCCAGCACCTCATTTCTTCCCAACCAACCCCTGCTACTCGAACCTTGCCCCTGCCACTCACCCCCTACCCCAAGCACCCAACCCCTGCGCCCTTACTCCAGTACCGTATTTCCTTTCCCAACCCGGCCCAACTCGAAACCGTACCCTCAATTCCCTACCTCCATTGCCTTAACCCCCAGCGCCCTATCCCCTAGCGCCCTATCCCCAGCGCCCTATCCCCAGCACCCTATCCCCAGTGCCCTATCCCCTAGCGCCCTATTTCTCCTAGTGCCTTTAATATCCTCGTGCCTTTAATATCCCTTTCCCCCAACCTTAAGAATCTCTCTCCTAAGTTACCAGCGCTGGTACTCCACAAGTTTCCTTGTACTGCCTCCCTTGACCTTGGAACTCCCTGCCAAGATCTTGCTTTCCACCTTCTTATAACTTACGGTGCTACAATTCAAGAGAAAAATATTAACAAATTCCTTCTCTCTCCTTAACTTTCTTCTTTATTTCTTGTTTGTAGTCAACCTCTTGAGTGGCCTTTGTGTTTAGCAATTACATACACATAAACTTTGAGTCTCTCATCTAAGCTTCTGAACTAAGATGTAACAACCAGTTCTGACCCAAAAAAAGGCATCCGAACAAACTTTAAACAAAATAGGTTCTGGAAACTTCTTGTTTCATTGTAGGCTTCCTCGATGGTACAATTGTTTTTGTTAGTCACAAAATAATAGATTTTCTTCACTTCCAGGCTCCGGTTATATTTTCATTTTCAAAGACCTAGTTGTACTGTCTTTGTCATCCGATATTGATGTTTTTCTTGTCACACAGACTTTCCGGCGCCTGCTCATCAACAAATGTCAGGATGAGTTCGAGAACAGGTCCCAAGCGTTTGCAGGTAAAACCACCAGCATCACTTACCAGTTTTACCATAAATCCCTCGTCATTTTGACAAGAAAAATTCTCAAATCCACAAAAAGCCAACCCCTACAGTAAGTCCATTGTAAAATCTTCTTAGTAGATGACTATACCTGGGACAATAATTCCCACACAAAATACTACAGGCTAGACTTTAAAGTTCAAAATCTTTCATAATCATTCGAAACCATTTAGTTGTCTACCATTAGGTAGAAAACTATATCAAACACAAAGTTCTAACTGACGAATGAGCAGACCACTTAATATGTTACATCCTTATTTTCTTAGTATTGGCATACCATCATTTCGTCTGTTTTTGTGTGATTGTTTTTTTCAGCCTTTGATAACAAAAATGGCAATCTCACACCAGATGAGGAGGAGCAACGACACATCACCAAGCACAAGATGCTGGGCAACATCCAGTTCATTGGTAAGATTCGAAGCTATGACTCTTCCCGCTTTTTCCCTAACTCCGCCCCTTCTCTGCCCCACCCACCACACATCCCAAGCAGAAGGTAGATTCAAAGATATGTTTTTCCTTCTTCCTTACTCCGCCCCTTCTGTGCCCCACCCACCTAACATCACCAAGCAGAAGATGCTGGGCAACATCCAGTTCATTTCTAAGATTCAAAGATATGACTCCTACCACTTCCTTACTCCACCTTTTCTCTGCTCCTCCCACCACACATCCCAAGCTGAAGGTGCTGGGCAATCCAGTTCATTGATAAGATTCAAAGGTGTGACTCCTCCCACTTCCTTACTCCGCCTTTTCTCTGCTCCTCCCACCACACATCCCAAGCAATAGATGCTTGGGAACATCTTATTCATTGGTAAGATTCAAAGCTATGACTCCTCCCACTTTATCCGTATCTTGGCCCAACTCTGCTCCACCCACCACTCATCCCAAGCAGGAGTTGCTGGGCAATATCCAGTTCATTAATAAGATTCAAAGATATGACTCCTCCCACTTCCTTACCCCACCTCTTCTCTGCCCTGCTCACCACTCATCCCAAACAGGAGATGCTGGGCACCATCCACTTCATTGGTAAGATTCCAAGGTATTACTCCTCCCACTTCTTTACTCCACCTCTTCTTTGCCCTGCCCACCACACATCTCAAGCAGGAGATGCTGGGCAATATCCAGTTCATTGGTAAGATTCAAAGGTATGACTCCTCCCACTTCCTTACTCCGCCTCTTCTCTGCCCCGCCCACCACACATCCCAAGCAGGAGATGCTGGGCACCATCCAGTTCATTGGTAAGATTCCAAGGTATGACTCCTCCCACTTCCTTACTCCACCTCTTCTTTGCCCTGCCCACCACACATCCAAAGCAGATGCTGGGCAATATCCAGTTCATTGGTAAGATTTAAAGGTATGACTCCTCCCACCTCCTAACTCCACCCCTTCTCAGCCCCGCCCACCACACATCCCAAGCAGGAGATGCTTGGCACCATCCAGTTCATTGGTAAGATTCAAAGGTATGACTCCTCCCACCTCCTAACTCCACCCCTTCTCAGCCCCGCCCACCACACATCCCAAGCAGGAGATGCTTGGCACCATCCAGTTCATTGGTAAGATTCAAAGGTATGACTCCTCCCACCACCTAACTCCGCCCCTTCTCCGCCTGACCCACCACACCTCACAAAAAAAGATTGAGCCCTTCACCTTAAACAATTTCTTGTCTTTTTTTTTTAGGTGAACTTGGCAAGCTTGAAATGCTACACGAGTCCATACTACACAAGTGCATTAAACAGGTAGCGTGACCTTTGACCTCATTGAAAATACGATCTCATTGACTGATTCAACTTTTTAGGTCTGTTGTTGTTTGTTTTCATCTCAGCACGTCTTGGTTTTGAAATGAACATTCTGCTAATGCTTGCGTTGAAGTGTGATTTCTAAAATATGACTTGATTCATAATTCTAAAGTAATTTTTGGAAACATTTTGTCTTCAGCTGCTGTTCAAGCGAAGCAGCGAATCGTTACGAGAGAAGGCGGAGGACTTCGAGTGTCTGTGTAAGATAATGAATACAGTGGGCCGGAGACTAGACCATGACAAAGCAAGGGTGAGTAGTGAGTTCGAGACTAGACCATTAGACCGGAGACTAGACCATGACAAAGCAAGGGTGAGTAGTGAGTCCGAGATTAGACATTAGAATGGAGACAAAACCATGACACAGCAAGAACGAGTTGTAGTGAGTCCGAGACTAGACCATTAGATTGGTGACTAGACCATGACAAAGCAAGAGGGGTAGTGAGTCCGAGACTAGACCATTAGATTGGTGACTAGACTATGCCAAAGCAAGGGAGAGTAGTGAGTCTGAGACCACACCATTAGACTGGAGATTAAACCATGACAAAGCAAGGGTGAGTAGTGAGTCTGAGACTAGACCATTAGATTAGAAACTTGACCATTAGATTGAAGACTTGACCATTAGATTGGAGACTTGACCATTAGATTGGAGACTTAACCATGACGGAGGAAGGGCAAGTAGTGAGTCTGAGACTAGACCATTAGATTGGAAACTTGACCATTAGATTGGAGACTTAACCATGACAAAGCAAGGGTGAGTAGTGAGTCCGAGACTAGACCATTAGATTGGAGACTTAGGCGAGGCGTCATAAATAAATTAACCGTTCGCACGCGTGCGCACGCGTTCCTTCCCGTTCTGAACGGCCCCCGTTCCTTCCCGTGCCGAACGGCTTTTAGAACGCGTTCCGTAGATCGTGCTTGGGCAAGCTTCACTGAGGGGGTATTGTTATGTTAATCAACCGTTCCTTTGCGTGCGAGAACGGGAGCAGCACAACAAAGATGCGAAGAACAACTATGTGTATATACTTGTACAGAAAAAAAATCCGTTTTGGTTTGGAATTTAAATCAGATTTGGAATTTGAAAACCCGATATCGGAGCAAGCATTAAATAAAAAAAACATTTCAGAGTTTAGACAGCACGAGCAGGCATGAGGAGTTTGATAAGATGTATGCCTTTTTATCCTTAAATATCGTTGTCTGCCGCTGGGCGGGGCGAAAAAATATGTACTGTATGGTCTAGGTTATTTTAAAAATGCGGAGATTGGAAGGGTTAAAAAAATATTGCAAAGGACTGCTTTCCCCGTTCAAGGTGCCCGTATTTGTATACGTCCCCCTGTACTGTACGGGCTAGCCTGTAGCGACGAGAAAGTTTGTCGGATACTTTTAGTGCCGATGAGCTCTTCGTGTGTGCACAGACCGTGACTGGCCTTTTGTTGTATAAGAACGCGTTCGGAACGGGATGCCGTGAGCACGCGTGCGAACGGGAGGTACATGTAACAAAAGGCCCCGTTCCTAGCATGCGCACGCGTTCGAACGGTTAATTTATTTATGACGCCTCGCCTTAACCATGACAGAGCAAGGGTGAGTAGTGAGTCTGAGACTAGACCATTAGACCGGAGACTAGACCATGACAAAGCAAGGGTGAGTAGTGAGGCGGAGACCTGACATTTAGACTGGAGACTTCACCGTGACTGAACAAGAGTTGTATCTATAGGTGGGGACAAGACTAGACTGTTTGGTGCCAGACTAGACTGGTGTGTGAATTTGTATTCTCTCCATTGTTTCCTACTCAGTCTTGGATGGATCAGTATTTTGAGCGCATGAGCCGTTTCTCAGATATGCCAGAGTTGCCGGCGAGAATTCGCTTTATGCTGCAGGACTGCCTGGAGCTTAGACGCAACAATGTGAGTATACCGCCCTCTACTGATCATATCGAGCCCAGTTTTGTGACGTTTGCTATTCTAACCCTAACTTTCCAGGGTATGTTTGCTAAAGTGCACAATTTTCGACAAAAGTAATCTCAGCGCGAACTGGTAAATAGTGAGATTGGCTAATACGGTAAATCTCGGAAAATCCAGTATTTTTATTCCTTTTTTCCCTCTGTGACAGTGGGTGGTGAGACACGCTGCTGTTGTGCAAGGTCCTAGGACTATACGTCAGGTCCATCAAGATGCTTATAAGGTAAGAACATCGGAGTTGTTAAAGATATAGTCCATCATTTGTAATTTGTGCATTTTGTTTGTTTGAAGCAACAAAAGTGTTCAAAATCTAAAGAAGGGTCCTGAACAACTAACCTGATGAAGTTTCAGCTCAGCTTCAGCTGTATATTCCGAGAAAAACAGCATTCTAGGATTTCGATTTCAAGTCAAAAGTTGCTGAATCATGTTTTGAATTGGGCCTGAAATCAGCGTCTGAGACACGTTCTCACTAGCCAATTGCAGCTATGCGTTGTCGCGCACCAATCGGATGAATTATAGCAGCCGAGCGCGCATGTGCGTCGTGTCAACACTTGCGCGCGCTTAGCCGAATAAAAAAAAATGATCTACGAACCAAAATTTCCAACGGTGCTTCTTAAAGGGAATATACAACATTTGCAAACATCGAAAAACAAAACTACCAAGTTTTTGCGAAATACCTTAATAGGATGTTGGTAAATGAAAGGCTAAAGCATCCTGTAAAATTATGGCACCTGGTATACTGTCATTTTCAAGAAAAGGGGTATTTTTGTATCAATTTCCAACGCTGATCGGCCGATCAGCGTTGGAAACAACTGGCTTTTTTTCAAATACCGGCCCCAATTGACCATTGCACTTGTTTGCAATCGATTACAAACCTATGAACGGGTACGAGCCAGCTAGACTGGTTCCCTGACCTTACAATTCCCCAATGTATGTAAACTGCTCTGTTTCTTCTTATATGGAGTCAGGGAACCAGACTACAGGAAAATGATCGTTTTTCTTGGTTTTTATAGCATTTTCAAACCCAAAACCTTCAAAAAGTCAGTGCATCTATATTTGCTTTATATTTCCAACCCCCCAATTCCATCCATTTCTGAAAATTACAGCAAAAGCAAATGATGTATATTCCCTTTAAGACGCACCGTTGGAAAGGGCTTCTTTTGTTGATTTGTTCAAAATGTCAGCTTGCCAGAAAGAATAATTTCACAGGGAGTTTAGTCCCCTTCCTATCTTTCAACCAAGTATGTTTTGCAACAATAATTACGCCACTTACTTTTTGGATAGCTGCAAATGATGGACTCTGGCTGTAAATATTAGTACTACTGTTAGTATACAAATGATGAATGTTTATGAGTGCAATGGTAAGAATAATTTCATGAGGTCACAGATGTCACCCGATTAAATTATTGTTTCCATTGCATGAATTAAGAAACATTCATGAGTTGTTTTACACAACACAGTAAATAAATCCTCGTCATCTGATTGGTTAGAGCCAACAATCCTTGCATCTGATTGGTCAAGAGCCACCAATCATGTGACCATGCAATGGAACTTCTGTTTTTGCTGTGCAACTGGGCCGTGGGTTGCAATGAATAATTCAATGACATGTGATTACTAACCCACCAATCAAATGACAGGGATTTATTGAGGTGGTGTATGATGCTTCTTAATTAGTTCTTCTCAGTGCAGTGAAATTTCAATAAGTCAAACCTCAAGGCAATGGGCTCAGATTTTGAGTTAAAGGGAATATACATCATTTGCTTTTGCTGTAATTTTCAGAAATGGATGAAATTGGGGTGTTGGAAATATATAGTAAATATAGTTACACTAACTTTTTTGAGGTTTTGGGTTCGAAAATGCTATAAAAACCAAGAAAAACAATCATTATCCTGTAGTCTGGTTCCCTAACTCCATATAAGAAGAAACAGAGCAGTTTACATACATTGGGAATTGTAAGGTCAGAGAACCAGGCTAGCTGGCTTGTACCCGTTTATAGGTGTGTAATCGATTGCAAACAAGTGCGATGGTCAATTGGGGCCAGTATTTGAAAAAAAGTCAGTTTTTTCCAACGCTGGTCGGCCAACCAGCGTTGGAAATTGATACAAAAATACCACTTTTCTTAAAAATGACAGTATACCAGGTGCCATGATTTTACAGGATGCTTTACACTGTCATTTACTTACAGTCCAGCAAGGTATTTCAAAATGATTTAGTAGTTTTATTTTTTGATGTTTGCAAATGTTGTATTTTCCCTTTAAGCATAGTTTTGAGTTATCCAATGTACTTTCTTTTCAACATCAATAGACAGGAATAATTTCTTACTTTGAGTTAGAAGGATTTGAGTTATCGAGGTTCCATTGTACTTCTGTAATAGTTCTTCAGCTGTGCCTTTTTTGTCCCAAAGACATTTTGAGCAACATGTGTGCTGTTCAGAACATTTTGCACACTGCATGCACATGTGTGTTATGCATTATATGCGCGGTTGTATTCTCCTATGAAGATGGTTGTTTATGAGAAGGGACTATTTTCCATCCCAGCCAAAACATAACTTCCAAATTGGTTTTGTTTTGTTAAAAAAAGAAGATTTTCTTTCATTTTGTCAGGATGCTGGCATGTCACATGACATGGGGCGTTCCCATGGTGATTTCTTCGGCCCACTGAACGGTGATCGAGGTTTGCATGGTGCGTGGGATTCCCGGGGAGGGGCAATGAGCGACATCTTCCTACAAGATACAATGTGTAAGTTCTGGTCTCTTTCACATACGCAGCTTCCTTTTCTCCAAAGAGGGGGAAATAATCCAATGTTGTATAAGTGTCAATATAGTATGCATTTAGGGACCGTGACCATTCAGCCCTGGTATGAAAAGGGTCCCCCGGTAAGCTCGTCCCCTCCCAAGAAGTCCTTTCGTACAATCCCAGGCTAATCAGGAACTCCTCTATCCTGGGGTCTATTGTTTGCAAGTATTGACACATGTAATATATCCCAGAAGAAACCTGCTTGTGGTTTTCATCTCTCAGCGCGAAACAATAGAACACTTTCGTTGGCACAGATCAAAACCCCTGCCATGCGGTTTCGCGCACAATGGGACCGTAAATTACCAAGGCGTTATGGAAGGATTTTATCTTTAATCCGGTAAGTCTGCTATTGTTCTGCTCTGGAGGTTCTCTGAAGGGCAATAAATTGATGCGCCTGACTGACTTCAAAACTTCTGGTCAGACAGGACCATGTACCGGACGAGACTGGGCTGAAGACCGGACTGGCTCTGGACCGGACGAGGTACCGGGGGGCCCTTTTCATACCAGGGCTGAATGGTCAGGGTCCCTTAGTGCACGGGCATGGCCAAATGCCGCTCACATCACACAAATAAGGTCTATTAGTGGATTCTCTTTTTGTTTTCCAGCTGGTAAAGTTGGCACCGGGCCCGGGACTATCGAGATGGAACCTTACTCAAACTTCATGATGCAACAGCAACAGCAACAACAGATGAGAAACCCACAGCGTAACATGGACAGACAAAACCAAGGTTGGTGTCTTGCCTTCTTGGACCCTGAAAAGATAAATTATATGATATTTATTAAAAAAATACTCACCTTCAGAATGTCAATACAGCACTGGAGACGGTGGCGGAAGGGGCGTGCTGCATCCGAAAGCCACGTGTTGCGTCCGAAAGTTCTAAAGGGATGCAGGATCACCCCTGGTGTCATTGCACACCTCGATCGTGTATTGCGCGAGACGATCGGTGAGGTGTGCAATGACATCAGGGGTGATCCTGCATTCCTTCAGAAGCTTTCGGCCGGAGCACACGCTCCTTCCGCCACCGTCTCCAGCGCTGTATCGACATTGAAGGACGCCAAGTCGAAAGTGGCAGATTCTGAAATTGAGTCCTTTTTTTCCCGTAAATCTCAACCTCTTGCACAAAGCTGAGGATGGACACGGCCCATCGTCATCATCAGTACAGTCAGACCTCAACCTCTGACCCCTTGACCTTTTTTTTTTTGGACCCAGGAAACTACCAAGGTAACTACAACAATCCCCCGCCACGCCTACAGCAGCAGATGAATCAACAGGGTATGGGCAAGGAAGGGGGAGGTGGTGGGTACATGGGCCAACGAAACAACCTGCCAGGCCAACGAGAAAACAAACCGCCACGAATGACCAAGATGAACTCTGATCAGGTGAGATTAAGGGGCTTTCACTGCCTTAGCCCTAACCCTGCCAGAACGCAACACAGTGCATGAGGTTGAAAAAAGTCTGGTGCACTTTGATGCATTCAGCTACCAACACCAGTGCATGAACGGCCAGCTCTGAAGCAATGAGAGCTAGTCCCATTGAACAATGCCACAGTTGCATCCTGCTGCGTGCGGTGACCACGGACTCTGAGGCAGTGTGGCCTTGAGACTTGCCCCCTAATGGTTCTTGCTACATTTGGCAGGCTTGTCACTTCGTCAAGTGTTACATGTTGCCACGTTTGGCAGGGTTCTAGCAAACATACCCTGGAGGGTTAGGGTTAACCCTAGGCCTTTTTGGCTAGGAACCATCCTCAAAATCCCATCCTGCAAAATCCTCCAATGGCAACCATGTTAAAATTAGATTCAGCCTCAGTTCTCCAAAATCATCCGTTATTTCTTGAATTTAAAAGATGAACAAAAACATTGACTGGAGCAGGGCTTGAACCTGCAACCTCCAGATAACCGTTCCGGTGCTCTTACCAACTGAGCTATCCAGCCCTATGTTAGCGGTTCCCCAATAAGCCATTTGCGAGTAACCTATACCCTTTGGGATTTACATTTCAATAACATCTGGTACACTGACTTGCTCAGAATGCTTGGCACTTTTTAACTTTGAATTCTCCAGACCAAAGACACTGTTGCTAATCACATGATTCGGGGCAAGCTCTTGCATAGTTACGTAAGAGACGCTCAGCATCAATACATCGCTCACAATGGGTGAGAATGGCACAAAGACACCAGACCATGCCAGAGCTGGGTGTTGCTAGCATAAGGCTTGCCCCGAATCACGTGATGTAGTAACAGTCTCTTTGGTCGGGAGAATGCAAAGTTAAAATGTGCAAAGCATTGGATTAAGTCAGTGTTCCAGATTTTATTCAAATTTAACTCGCAAATGGCTTATTAGTCAATATCTTTGTTCAAGGGGCACTAGTCAGAAGCCCTAAACCCATATGTGACCTGTTCTGTCAAAATCAGACTTTTCAGGGCATAAGGTCGAAAATGATATTTTTACATATTGTTAATACATGTTCTTTTTCCTTTAAATAGGTGGTTTAATTTTTGAAACCGGTCATTCCTGGGCAGAGTTATGCTATTTTGAAGTTCATTGTGTTGAAAAGTAGAAAACGGAGAAAATGGCCACAAACGTCACAAAACAGTTATGTCTTTAACTGATATGCCTTATCAAAATCATCAAAAATAGTATATGTAGAGTTCAACTTAGGGTTTCAAACTTTTATAATATATTTTAGACATGTTCAGGATTACAAATATGCAAAAATTTGAAAATCGATAAAAATCACCCCCACAGCGTTTTTTGGCCCCATCTTAATTTCAATCTCTGCCCAGAAGCGTCTGCTTTTGACAGAACAGGTCACATATATGCCATACAGCCAGGGATCACAGACCATTCAGAGATTTGTTCAGTGGCGGGGTGACCATTGCCTCAATCCTTCAAAAATCCTCCAGCAACCCTTGTTCATTAACAGGGATTACTGGAGGTTTAGGCAGTGCCAATGACATTCAGAAGCAGTGCGGATGAAATCGAGCACAATGCGGGGCTCAATTGACCTGAAATAAACAACGCTGGGTACAGCCTACAAACTCGACACAATGCATCCTCCAAAAAGGAAGATTTAAAAGGTTGAGGAGGGTTAGGGTTAACTTTGAAGAAGTAATCTATTTCCAATCGCTGATGAAAAACTTGTTTTTTTGTGTGTGTCATGGATGACCCAAGATGGCGTTGGTTGCTTTAATATGCGAGCATCGTCAGCAAGTAAATTCATCTTAACCATAGGTAGAATGCCAGGGTCAAGTGGTTACGGTGTTTGACTCGTGTACGATGGTACTTGGGCTCGAACCCTGCCAGGAATATGGTGTTTGTGCCCTTGGGCAAGACACTTGACTACAATTGCCTCTCTACACCCAGGAGTACAAATGGGTACCTGTGAGGGTAGAGGACTGAATGTGCGCTGGTGCATGGGATCAAACCCTGCCAGGAACGTTGTGTATGTGCCCTTGGGCAAGACACTTTACTACAATTGCCTCTGCATGGGTTCGAACCCTGCCAGGAACATTGTGTATGTTCCCCTGGGCAAGACACTTTATTACAATTGCTTCTCTCCACCCAGGAGTATAAATGGGTACCTGTGAGAGTAGAGGACCGAATGTGCGCTGGTGCGTGGGTTCAAACCCTGCCAGGATCATGGTGTTTATGCCCTTGGACAAGACACTTTACTACAACTGCCTCTCTCCACCCAGGAGTATAAATGGGTACCTGTGAGGGTAGAGGACCGAATGTGAGCTGATATCGGCTGCCGTTTGGTCTCATGCCCCGATGAACTAGGAATAATTATAAAGCGCTTTGAGATGAATGATACGGTTGAAAGTGTTGTAGAAGCATTACAATTTATTTTATTTTCATTCAATAACGACAAATTTTTTTCTTCCTTGACCAGCTCAACCTCCGTCCCAACTCCAGCAGTATGCTGCTCAAGCCCCAAGGGCCCAGCATGCTACCCCCTAGCACCAAGAAGACCATCTCCCAGCCCCCTAGCCTGGTCCCGCCCAAACCCAACAACCCTCCACCCTCTTCTCGGCAGCCTCCGGTCGATAACCTTCAGTCTGGATTCCCTCCGCTGAGCGTCAAGCAGACAACCAACGCTGAGCGTGGAAAGCAAGCAAAGAAACAAGCCCCAAGCAAGGAGGACTTGCTCAAGTCTATGGTTGGTTACCAATATCTCTTTCCAATTAAAAATTGGTTCATCGCAGACAAATTTACGTAAAATATTCATTCCGCCACTTCTTCTTTTTTTCAGAACATAGAACTATATTAAATTGCTAGAGTGCTAACTCCTCATTCCCCCGTGGAGATACTTTGAAGCCGTCCTGGGCGCAGACATTATGAATTTATGAGCCTGTTTGTAGAACATAATGAAATTAGATGGAATGAATTTTGAGTAATGTACTCTAATGCAATGCGCAATTACAACATATGCGAACAACGTTAGTTCGTTCTCTACAAGTATGACGGCAAAAATCATCTGCGGCGCATACATGCACTGGTTTTGGTTATTTGTGCAGAGCAAATTGAAACGTTCATTTAGTGATTGTGCATTTCGGTTTTGGGAGTATCGGCTTCGATAACACAAATAAATCACATAGGGATGTGTGTCAATTGTTCTCGTTTTGCTGAAAGAACACACACCTTTTTTTGTGATCCGTGGACAGAACTTTAAAACAGTGGTTAGGTTTAGGATTCCATAATTGAAAAGTACATGAGTGATTTGAATGATTCTTGTACTAAAAGATAGCTAATGAATTGGGCTTTCATGTCCTAGATTTTGAAAGTGCTACATGCAGAACTTCACTAAAACAATGGTCCCGACATTTGGGTTTTTTTTTTTTTAATTGGATTTTGGTTAAATTAATCAGTTATCTCTTAAAATCAAGCAGAGTCTGTGGTTGAGGTTAATTTCTAAATTGTGGTTTAGTAAGACTAGCCTCCCTCGGTGATCCATGGAGCATTCTATTTCCCTTGGATATGCCTCAGGAAAACAACGCTCCATGGATCAGCTAGGGAGGCTAGTTTTACCACACCACTCGAAGCAGTCAACATTTGTATGCTATATTACCGTCTCTTATTTTGCTTCGCCAGGAGACGTTGATGAAGTCTTACTCGACCTCTGATGACCTCACAGCCGCAGTGGACGGATGGAAGGACATGCGTGTACCCAGCGAGCATGTCGCTGCCTTGCTGTGTAGCGTCATGACAGACGCGCTGACCGAGGGCGACGCGGAGAGAGAAAGCGTTAGCAAATTGATCTCGGCACTCAAACAGCACGATGCTATCACATCAGCACAGTTATAGACGTAAGAAAATTATTTAGATTAATTCTAAGTAATGCTTGTGTTGGCATAATATGGACTCCAATGTACACTGTACTGACACAGAGCCCAGGAAATAAACATCTCATATAAGGCCAAAAAAAAAATAGTCGGTCTCTGGTCAGACCGAAGTTCTGTAATTGATGTGGCGACCCGGGTTTTTTTTTTTTTTTTTGGGTGGCTTTTTTTTTTCAAGCTTGTATTGTACAGACAAGGTGGGTTCTATTTTGCTTTTTGGTGTCCTCATTATACATTGGTGTCCTCCATAATTTGCCTTGGTGCCCTTTATCATTTGGGCGCTGTTGTAGCTTCCGTGTTAATTTGAAAAAAAAAAAATTGACGCGCATGATTAAAATCGATGCGCGCGCTGACCAGAGACCGAGTATTTGGGGGGTGGGGGGCTTAAAAGGTAATATACAACGTTTACAAACATCAAAAAACAAAAAAAAAAAAATTGTTGTAAAATACCTTACTTGATTCTAAGTGAATGATAGTCTCAAGCATCCTGTGAAATCATGGCACCTGGTGTGCTGTCATTTTCAAGAAAAGTTGAAGTTTTGTATCAATTTCAAACCATGGTCTGCCGACCATCGTTGAAAAAAAAACTGACTTTTTGGGTCAAATGCTGCCCCCAATTTACCAAATTTAGTTAGTCCACATCTTGTTTGCAATTGGTTACACATCTAGCCAGCTAGTCTGACCTGATAATTCTGAAGTAGGGTCAGGGAACCAGACTACAAGAACAGCCTTTTTTTTCTTGTTTTTTTTCGGCATCTATGAACACAATACTTTAAACAAGTCAGTGTAACAATATTTGCTGTGACATACTGACCCCCAAATCCATCCGTTTCTGAAAATTACAGCAAAAGTTTTATATTACCATTAATTTCTACTGTTCTACTTCTATTTTGTGAGGGGTTCACGTCCCACCGATCTCGAAGCCGAGGTAGCACTGGCCAAGTCTCACTTGGCTAGCTTCACTGTTCTTGCCATCATTGTTGACAAAGATTAAAGGGAATATACATCATTTGCTTTTGCTGTAATTTTCAGAAATGGATGGAATTGGGGGGGTTGGAAATATATAGCAAATATAGTTACACTGACTTTTTTGAGGTTTTGGGTTCGAGAATGCTACAAAAACCCCAAAAAACAATCATTTTCCTGTAGTCTGGTTCCCTGACTCCATTTAAAAAGAAACAGAGCCGTTTACATACATTGGAGAATTGTAAGGTCAGGGAACCAGTCTAGCTGGCTTGTACCTGTTCATAGGTGTGTAATCGATTGCAAACAAGTGCGATGGTCAACTGGGGCCAGTATTTGAAAAAAAGCCAGTTTTTTCCAACGCTGGTCAGCCGATCAGCGTTGGAAATTGATACAAAAATACCACTTTTCTTGAAAATGACAGTATACCAGGTGCCATGATTTTACAGGATGCTTTACACTGTCATTCACTAACAGTCCAGCAAGGTATTTCAAAACGATTTGGTAGTTTTATTTTTGATGTTTGCAAATGTTGTATTTTCCCTTTAAATATACCTAACACTAATTTGTTCTTCCACTAATTTGTCAGGGGTTCACATCCCTCCTGGAGCGTTCCACCGATCTGGAAGCCGAGGTAGCACTGGTCAAGTCTCACGTGGCTGGCTACGCGGCCCGCGCCATCGTCGATGACGTAGCTCGCCTCGCCGACATCGCTAAACCCTTGGAGTCCGGTTCCTACTACCCACTATTCCTGCTGTGTTTTCAGAAACTTCATAAGACAAAAGACAAGGAATGGCTCGTCACTCTATTCGGTAAGTCTTGTAAAAAAACAAGAACAAAATGAAATTTGATAAAAACTGCTTATTAGGACAACAACAAAATTCAGTCGGTCTCTGGTCAGCGCGCGCGTCGATTTTAATCATGCGCGTCGATCTTTTTTTTTCCCAAAATGTTCCGCGGTAGCTCCAACAGCGCCCTCTATTTCCGCACCTCAATTTTTTTTACCAAAGAGCACCAAGGAATGGGAAATTGCACCAAGGCAAATGATCGAAAGCACCAAGGCAAATTATGGAGGACAGTAATGTACATGAGGACACCAAAAAAGCAAAATAGTACCCACCTTGTCTGTACAATACAAGCTTGAAGAAAAAGAAAAAAAAAGAAAAAAAAAAAAAAGCCGTGTGGCCGCGTCAATTCGGGAACTTTGGTCTGACCAGAGACCGAATATTTTTTTTGTTTGGCCTTATAATAAAATTTTTTTTGACCTATCGCATTCACTTAGAATGCAATACTGTACATGATAAATGGTCAGTATGACTATGTGAGTAAATGTCGGCGTGGAGTGCCGTGGTCTGGAGCATTGAATTCGTGGTCTGCAGGTAATTCTGCAGGTTGTGGGTTCAAGTCCAGCCAGGGGTTATGGTGCGTGTGCCTTTGAGCAAGGCACTTTGTCACTCATTGCTTCTCTCCACCCAGGAGTAAAGGGGTACCGGTGAGGGCAGAGATGGTGGTGCACGTAGTCTATAGAAAGGTGGCTTGATCGTTACATCTGAGAGAACCAACTCTCCATACTTGAAGCTCGTTAGAATTCTGTCCTCATACTTTTTCCTTTTTTTTATCTTCAACCTCCTTCCCAGGAGCCAGCAAAGTCAACATGATGCTGATGCTGCCGGAGATTGACCAGCACAAGGAACGCATGATGGACATTCTTGAGGACAAGGTTAGCTTTCTGTTCCCTCGGTGCACGGTTCACAGAGGGCGCTATTTACACTCAGCAGTGGTTGCTTTGTAGAGTTATCATTAACATTAAACACGAAGAAACTCACAGAAATGCAAAGGTTTTTTCCCCAATGATGGTTCGGCCGAACCATCGTTAGGAAAAAACCAGCTTTTTTCAAGTACTGTCCCCAATTGACGGAATTTAGTATGTCCAAATTTTGTTGGCAATCAGTTACACATCCGTGAACGAGCGCACGCCAACTAGTCTGGTTCCTGACCTGTCAATTCCCTGACATCTATAAATAGTTCTGATTTGTCTGAAGCATCAGGTCAGGGAACCAGACTAGTGAACAGCATTGTTAAAAAAAAAATTAAAATTCCAGCATCCAGGAACACAAAACTTTTAACAGAGCAGTGGAACGATATTAGCTCTAAAATGCTAACCCCAAAATCCGTTTCTGAAAATTACAACGAAAGCAAACGTATATTAGCTCTAAGCCCAACCACCCAAACCCTTCAAAATCAAACTGCATGTTTTGTTGGATTCTGTTGGAGTGAGGACTGCACTAGTAAATGGATTATGCTTTACATGGGGTCAGGCACACCACCATAATCAGAGTCCAACAGTTTGGTTGTCACCATATGTGATGCGATCAAGCTAAATGAGTCGTTTGTCGACCCTGGTGTTTTGTTTTTTTACAGATTTGAAAAGAGCACAATCTCAGCATTACTGCTGTGAAAACCGCATGCTGATACCATCTTTAGTTCAAAAGTTATGGAAGTCGGAACACCAAGAGATGTGATGAAGTGATGTGATGAGGTGGCCCTGTTTCGGCCTGAATCTCCAAAGAAAGTTCCAGACAAACAATTTATTTAGCTTGATCGTATCACATATGGTGTTGGATTTTGTAAGAGTAAGGAAGGTTCCTAGTAAATCACTCAAGGGGATTAGTTTTAAGATTTCAGTTGATAATTCTGGCGTTTCCATCTTCACATTGACAGGGGCTGAGTTTCTTGTTCCCGTTGCTGAGGGTTCAGTCAGACATCTGGAAGCAGATAACTACAGAGCCGAACCCATCCGCACTCTACAAATGGATCAAAGATAATATCCCAGCTAAACTACACACTGACAAAGGCTTCATCAATGCGCTGGCAACAAGGTAAGGAATTATGGGAACACATAGTCTGTAACACAAAATTGGTTACTCGCGTTACAAAAATGTAACATGAGTAACCGATTTTGTGTGTCTTGTTTATCATACATAACACATTTTTCTGGATGTCATCTTTGGTGCTTAGGTAGGTCTAGGTCTACTCTATCTACCATGGGGATAACAGTTATTAAACCTTTTCAGTAAGGTAATTACAGCCAAGGAAACTCAAAAGTACATCAAAAATGTAACGTGAGTAACCGTGGAATTGCCCAAAAGCATACTTGGTTGAAAGATAGAAATGGGACTTAACTCCCTGTGAAATTATTCTTTCTGGCAAGCTGCCATTTTGAAGAAATCAATGAAAGAAGGCCCTTTCCAATGGTGCATCTATAGAGGCATTCTTGGAAATGTCCATTAGCGTGGTTGGTATAATTCGTCGGTTCTGTGCGCAACATCGCGTAGCTGTAATCGCCTGAATGAGAACGTGTCCCGGATGCTGATTTTGGACGCAATTCAAAACATGACTCGGCAACTTTTCATTTGAAATCGAGATCCTAGAATATTGTTTTCTTATAATATACAGCATTCACCGATCAAGTTTATCAGGTTAATTGTTCAGCACCCTTCATTAGATTCTGAGCACTTTTGTTGCTTCAAACGAACATAATGCACATATTGCAAATGATGTACTCTACCTATAGTGAGGCGTGATATAGTGCCTAGTGACTTGCTAGAAGAAACATTTTACCTCAAATTTCCCAGTCATCGAAATTTCATCAAGCTCAAAACACTCCCATTCATAAACTTTTGGTTTACTTACCCATTACAAAGTTAACAGAAAGTTTGTTTTCACAATTTTCCGATATTATTTTTGAAAGGCACCCACCCTGAACCCTTTTAAAATGGGCCCAAAAATGACCAAACAATTTTCTGTGGTTTGGTATGAGAGTGGATGTAATAATGACAGATCAAACATTTTTCAACTTTAAACAAATTCTTAAATGTTAACTTGGGAATTTCTGAGATTAAGTCAAGTGCGCCACGTAACACAATACTCAAAGGAGTTTGTGCCCAATTTGCAGTCACCACCAGTTTTGAATAATTCAGGCATGCAACTTTTCCTCGGATCAGCTGATTTCCTCTTTTTTTTACTTCCCATGTGTGCCATTGAAAATAGAAAAACACTGTACAAAATCTTGGCAAAATTTGAATTTCCTCTTTTTTTTTGGTGACTTCCCAGTTGCATGCCTGGAATATCAGACTAACCCTAACAACCCTGAGCCCATCAAGCTCCAACAGCGGGTTTTGCTTGATTTTGGCAGGGTTGGTACCGAACACTGGCCAGCTGGTGTTGGACTTTGATTGACTGGGTACCAAAGGCCCAGGGAGACCCTGTTGAATTGTGTGAGGTTCGGGGCAGAAGGGCATGAGATTTGTGAACACGTTGGAGTTTGAGGGAGTTCACTGGCATTTCTTTGTGGGTACGCTCACCCACGGTCCTCAGCACAGTTTGTGGTCAAATGTGCATGTACATATTGCTTTATTTTTATTAGGTTTGGTACCATCCCTATCCAATCACTCGACAATGCATAGGCCCATCCATACCAAGTCAATCAAACTCCAACAGTTGGAGTTTGGCAGGTTTAGTACTGTTCCCCGTACAAGGCCTGTTGGAGTTTGGCAGTTTTGGTACCAATACTAATACAGACCTGTATGCAGCTGTTGAAATTTGTTGGGTTTGGTATACTTTCTAGTGCAAGAGCCTAGGGGGTTAGGGCTAAAACAACTAATTTCGGGTGCCATTCATGTTTTCTTCTTGTTTTCTCAGCATCATCAAGTTCGTGACTTCGCAGACCACTTTGGCCGAGGGCGTGGACCCCACCGCGCCCCCAGACAAAACCTTACTGGACAAGGAGAAAGCCCTGCTGGAGAAATTCAAGGCCGTCTTGCAGAAGTTTGTACACGAGAGCGTCGCGTTGCAGCTCAGCGCGCTGTACGCACTGCAGGTGCATTGCTACAACAGCGGATTCCCCAAAGGTAATTTGCTACGGTTGGAAAACAATTGTGACCCGCTCTGCAAAAATGAGTCTGATGGGGCATAATTTGAATTCAAGCTTTTGCCATTTTGAAATGGAAACAGTAAAAATTTGCTCAAAATTTGGATTTTTTTTGTTTTAGTTGTATTTGGGTTGTTTGATAGTTTTAGTTCAAATATCTTACACAAAAATGTAAATTTTGTAAGAAATAGAAAAAACATTATGAATCTTTGGTGCTTTTCTTGGTTAGTTACAGTGTATTCGTCATTTTTCAAAGCCCTTTTTCTCCATTGAGACACTTCTAGCTTTGCAAAAACTTTACAGAATGAAACAAGCACAACAATGCAACCAAATGTCCTAGAGAGGTCCGTGATACACCAAATGAAAGCTTATTTCATTCCCATTTTATTAATGTAGTTAACTCAAAATGTCAGTTTTGCCACAACAGACTCATTTTTGCGGAGCGGGTCACAATTGTGAGGCTGTAGTGAAGAAAAATGCAAAGAAAGACCCCAATGGGAAGATGTTTTTCTTTTGATAATTAGATATATTGATATTGGTAGTCTTTGCTTTGTCTACTCACATATTTTAAAAGAAATATTATATAAATTGTGGAATAAAAGTGTGCTTGTATCTCAAAATATAAATATCGCAAAATGCCAAGCGGCGTTGCTTTGTGCTGTGCGTTCCCTGGAATTCGCGGCCTCCCCATGTAAAACCTTAACCCTAACCCCCTAGGCCCTTGTTGCTTACAACCATCCTCAATCCTCCAAAATCCTCCAAAATTTTTCAACTCCGCCTAAATTTTTCAAAATTGTCAGACAGTCCTGCCTCAAAATGTATTCATCCTCAATCCTCCAAAATCCTCCTCATCCCAAAACTTTGCACTCGTGTTTAAATGAAGGATAACCAATGCCAAATCCTTCAAAATCATCAGACAGTCCTGCCTCAAAATGCATTCATCCTCAATCCTCCAAAATCCTCTTGTGCTTCATTCACCATTCATCCTCAATCCTCCAAAATCCTCATGTGCTTCAATCACCATTCATCCTCAATCCTCCAGAATCCTCATTTGATTCAATCACCATTCATCCTCAATCCTCTAGAATCCTCCAAAACCGCCAGGAGGATTTTGGAGGAGTGAGGTGGGTTAGGGTTAAAAGAAACCACCCGTTCTAGACAAACTCTCAGTGCTGAAATTTGTTTTAAAAAGTTTGAGCAATATGCTCCAGAGACTATTGCGGACAATTGGGATTTATGATTTTTTTTTTGTATTCTTTTTTTAATCAAAGTGTCATCTTTATGGTCTTTGACTTTTACATGGGATAATCGATATATCAAATGTTCTTGATATTGGATTTCTGATATATCGATTATTGAAAATTCTGATATAGACGGTGATTACTGAGCAAGTCTCGGATCATTGTGCAAGTGCTGTACCATGGCGATAGTCATGCAAGCGTAATACATACACTAATGTATGCATTATACGCTCATTGTCGGCATAGATAAAACATGTGCGGTTTTGCGATGTACTTAAAGATTTTTTTTTTCTGCTCTTGCAGATTAAAAGAAGAAAAAGTTCAAATTATTTAATTGAAAAATGCTCACAAAGATGACCCCTAGTTTGTATCACAAGTGATCAACAGTACAGTCGGCTCTTGTTAGTACAAACTCTGTTAATACAAAATTCTGGTTATAACAAACATAAAGCCTTGGTCCCGACTGTGCATTTATGTACACAATGAATGGGACTGATGTTCCTCTTGATACAAAATTCTGATATAACAAACAATTTGGCTAGGTCCGAATGAGTTTGTTATAACGAGACTCGACTGTACATAAAATGTTTGGCTTCAAGCATAATGTACTAGTACTCGTACCCGTATTTCCGGAAATATAAGTACTCGTACTCGTAAGAACAAGTACTGGTACTCAGAGACCTGTAATTGTACTCGGAGGTACTCGTACTTGGCAACCTAGTACTCGGCATTACTCGGTACCTGGAAAAAAATTACTTGACTACAGTACAACACTGTTATGCACATATTTTGACCAAGATACTATACAAACAACAATTTTTGTGAGTGCAATGGTAAGAATAATTTCATGAGGTTCACTTCGTGGAATGGAACATTTCATCTGTCACTGAATGAAATTATTCTTACCATTGCACGAACGTGAAACATTCATTATTTGTTTTATATTTAACACCTGTCATCTGATTGGTTGACTTTTCAAAAGCCTATTTATTCAGGTTAAAAACTGTTCAAAAGTTCTCAAGTTCATCATATTAAATGTATGCAAACTGTTAACAGGTTGAGAACAATCATTCAATTTATCTCGATTTTAAACAGCGCCACCACCAGCAGCAGTGACACCGTGCAAAGGAAGTTTTATTCACCATGACATGTGATCAACGATCCTCCAATCAGATGATGGGGATTTATTCAGGTGTTGTATAATGATAGTTACTTTTTATTTCTCTTCTTTCTCAGGGATGTTGCTGCGTTTCTTTGTCAACTTCTACAACCTGGAGGTCATCGAGGAAGAAGCCTTCCTGAAGTGGAAAGAGGACATCTCAGATGAGCATCCGGGGAAAGGAAAGGCCCTGTTCCAGGTAGGCTGACCTCAAAAGGTCAAAGGTCATATAGAGGTCAGAGGATGACACCGAATACTGCCCTCTTGTGGTTTTCATGTGTAGGACCTTGTTTATGTTTTGTGAAACTGAGCTAAAATTGAAAATCAATTTTCTGTAAAGTTTTTTGATGAAGAAGGTTGTGTGCATGTACAGGATATAAAAAAAAATTCTTAAAGATGTGCTGCCCTTTCTCTTCAACTTATTTTTTTTTTCCTATTTTTTTTTCTTCAAGTTTTAAAATACGAGTGTTTACATTGAACACAACTCCCCCCGCCATTTTGTGAGTAGACTGGTTCTCGGACCCCACACTATCAATTCTAAAAAGGGGACAGGAACTAGTTCACCCTGTCGGAACAGAATTAATGTCAGGCCAGAAATAATTTAAAATGTTAAAAGTGAATATTGCATTATTTTAAGTAGGCCATTTTTTGTTCGGTCGATGTCTTATTCGGATGTGAGGAACTTAAATATTGCAAGAAAAATCATTTGAAATTGGGGGGGGGGGGGGGGATGAATCTGAAAAATAGCACGGACAGTACATTTTCAAGCCCTGAACATGAATCATTTTGATGTAAATTCCCAGATTTTGGTGAGTTGCACTCATCACTGGCTCCCTGCGTTTTGCCTATAGGTTAACCAGTGGCTGACGTGGCTGGCAACCGCCGAGGAAGAGGAGGACTCGGAAGACGAGGACCTAGACCAGTAGAGTATTGCAGGCTGTCATTGCCATTTTGTGCACATAGTAGTCGGGTGCCACGATTGTGTGGCCAATAGACAATTTGTCAGTTTTGTTGGAGACTTAACCACGAAACATTTTGAACCATGTGATGTTGTACCGGTGTCAACTGAAAGCAATTCGAGTTTAAAAAATTAAAATATGGAATTCTTAGCTGTAGGACATTTTGCATTCCCAACCATGTGATTTTGATCGATGAATTGATAGAATTGTAAGCATTTTAATTATGGATTAATTGATTACTAATATAAGCAAATATCTTCAGGTTCTGGGAACACATTTGCCTTGCGTGTACGTAGTGGCTTTTGGAAAGTTTCTGTTGCCAGTAGAGAGTTTCAGTTAATAACAGTGTCGGTGATGTCAACTTTATGCTGTGTTTGAATGATATGGCTGGGGCTATAAGGCCAAAAAAAAAGTCTCCGGTTCCTGGTATGGAGCTTGCCCAAAAAGTGGTGCGGCGACGCGTTTTTTTTTTTTTTTTTTTTACCTGATTTTTTTGCTTCAAATGTCGGCTGATGACTGCAAATGGTGCCCGACTAAACTTAGTGCAAATATATGGGAGTCCAGAGAGGCCACATAAAGCTTATTCTCGACCATAACCCAATCTAAAAACACGTTTAAATTGTGCAGCAGCAGGATTCCAGTCAAACCAGTGAGTTTGGCGGTTTTGAGACATCATCTTTCATTGAAAAAATTTTTTTTTCATTTTGCCGACGCGCATACGGCTACGGCGACGCGCGCGCATACCAGAAACCGGAGACTTTTTTTTTTTGGCCTAAACAGCAGCACACGCCTCTTTGGCACACAAAGATCTGAAAATACTCTTGTGTTGCATCAGAGATTTGAAGGTTGTCGCTGGATAGAAAGCGGTTTAAGAATTGAATACATGTCGGACTTGTTCGGTGCTATTTGATGTATGCGTAAGAAACAATTTTGTACGAACGTTTTGCTGGGTACGCTCTGAGTGTCAAATTTGAGAAGCAAAAACACTAACGTGATTGGGAAGCACATGGTTCAAAAAGGTTTCTGGTGAGCAGTTTCTATGAAATGTGCTTGTTACTATTTGTACTTCAGGTAAACCAGACTTCAACTTGTTTTTCTCTCGTGTTTCAGGGATTGCTGGGCGTTTGAAAGGTCAAAGACAATATTACTAGGGCACATGCTACTCCAGTCAAAAACACTATTAACCCTAACCTTTCAAAATCCTTCAAAAATCCTACATATTTCACTGGAAGTTTTGAAGTATTTACCTAGATGAGAAAGGCTTTACTTCAAGGGAATTGATACAAATGTCGGTTGATTTTGGAGGATGCATTGTGTCAAGGTTGTAGGCTGTATCCAGAAATGTTTATGTTCAGTCATGCATAATCGACCCCTGCATTATGCTGGATATCATCCGCACTGCTTCTGAATGTCATCAGCACTGCCTCAACCCATTAACAGCGATTGTTGGTGGATTTTGAAGGATTGAGGCAATGATCACCCCGCAACTGAACAAATTCAAGTAATGATTTTGGAGGATTGAGGCTGAATCCAATTTTTACATGGTGGCAATTGGAGGATTTTGCATGATTGAGGGTTGTTCTTAGCCAAAAGGGCCTAGGGGTTAGGGTTAATGCTAATATGTGGAGTTTGGAGGATTTAGAAAAAAAAGTTGAGCCAGATTTGTCACTAATGGATTTGGGTTAGAAATACACTTGTACTTGCATGCAATAGGAATTATTCTTAAGGAGAAAAATCAGAAATGTACAAAAACAGACAGTTCGAGGTTAAGAAAATCCCTTGTCTTTTTTAAAACTTGGTTATTATGGCGAACTTATTGATGTACATTTAGTCGTCGAAATCATGAATGAGTGTGACAGAAATGTGACAGAAATTTGTATTAATAACAAACCAAAAAAGTTACCGAAACCAAAAAGACGTAACTCGTAGTGTAGATAATTACTCTTTTGAAACTTGCAATGTCAAAGCATTGAAAGAAGTATAGTGTCGTCTGTCTATCAGTAGTTTAAAATTCCTCATCATTCCTAAAGTGGTAATAAGGCATGCTTCCAAAGTTGTGTTCCTTTTTTTTTCTGTTTCGACTTAGAAAGTTAGCAAGTCGACTTGTGTTTTGTCTTTAAAAGGATCGAAGAATGAAGTACGTGTATACTTTAATAATTAGCATTTTGTTCCAAATTTATCACTCATTTGTACAACTGTAGGATGGTACAAGTCCAAGTCAGCCTGACTTTTAATATATAACTCGCTGTTTCGAAAGCCGTGTAAATGTAGACAAACAGAATATTAGCAATTTAATGTGAGCAGTTTGGTAGATTTTTCCAAACTTTATTTATGACCAAAAATAGCAAAGCCAAACAAATAGTACTCAGCAATACTGATCACACAGTTAGGCCAAGTAAATAAACAAACCAGTTTCTCGTGCCCGGCCGCTTACTTTTTCTGGTTTTGTTTTTGGCTTATCTGCAAACTTTTCAGAAAAAGCCTTTGTTTCTGTTCTGATTTTCTTTCTTTCTTCTTTTGGTTCTTCTGTCCCAAATCCCATAGAGTTTGTACACGTTTCATTCTCAGTGCCACTTTTGACAATAAACAGACTTCAATCTTGATGAAACTTGGCATAGACTTAGACCCCATAGTAAAGGCGTGCATGGACAAGTGACATCAACACAAGTCATGTGACGTCATCTTAAAGGTGCAATTTTCAATGGCCTAGTTTCTTCCTTTTTTTCTTCTCCAAATTCATACATTTTAAATATATTTTGCACATATATACAGCTTCTTTGTACTCAATTTTGTATCAGCAAAAGAATTGAGAAAATGGAAGAGTCCATCCACCATCTTGAAAAAGCCGCCATCTTTGGGGGTGGGGCCGGGTTAGGGTTAGGGGGGGACAAGGAACAAACAAGTGTGCCCGCCTCCATTTTTTCAAAAGCCAGGACAAGAAACTATTTCTTTATTTACTCGGCCGAATATAATACTTGTACATGTAATGCCTGCATTTATAATTATACAATGTTTTATAAGTATAAATGATGTGTTGTTTTTTCCCTTCATATTACCCCCGATTGACCAGCTTATGGTCATTTCATGGTTGATTGTAATACACAGTCATGTTTTATAAGTGTCATAAGGTGTACTGAACGGGTCCTACTAAAATGCGTCAACGGTCGTCAACAAGCATCAACAAATTTTGTATATGCTTTTGAACATTAAAAGTAGCTTTACATTGTAGAAAAAGTAATAAAGAACATCTTCTGCATATCAATTAAAGTTAAAATTATTTACAAACTTGTTTTTTGAACGCGAAATATACGACGAGTTTGTCGATTAGTGTTGGCCGCCATCTTGTTTGTATGGCGCTGTACACTTCGCGCATGTGTAGTATGGCTCTGCCATAGAGCTGTATAATATAGCTCTATGGGCTCTGCACACTTCACGCATGCATAGTACGGCTAGCTTCACGTAAACAAAATGGCAGCCAACACAAACTCAACAGAGTCGTCGTACGTTTCGCGTTGAAATAAAAACATCTTTTGAAATAGTGTTTACTTTAATTTATATGCTGAAGGTGTTCTTTGTGTCGCCATTTCTACCATATAAAGCTGTTTTTGATTCCCCAAAACTTCTACAAAATTTGTTGACGCTGGGTTGACGACTGTTCAAGTTTCAACCTTTATCCTGAAAACATTCTCTTAATTTGGAGTGGAGAAAACTTGTTCCATTTGCGAAATTGCGGCACTGGCTTAACTCCATGAGTTAATTAACTACCCTAACTTTGACTCAAAATTGGTTTATACTGCTATCGAAAACAATACGAACATCATCTTGGAAGTATCTTCAAGTGGTTCAAACATTTAAGATTATAAAAAGGGTTGTGGAGTCGAAGCTGGAGCCGTGGTGTGATAAATGGCAGTGATTAGAGTAAAGTGCCTTGCCTATGGAGATGACACTTATGCCCCACATTGGGATTATAATCTGCACTTTGTATCGACTCTGCTTAATTAAAAAAAACCAAAGCAAGGCTCCCTTAGCCACATAGGATCATTTGCAATTACCTGGAAAAGTATCTGTCGATTTCACGACACGAATTTTGCTCAAAAATTGGTCGGTATCAAATGAGGAGAATGATGGTCATTGTGATTTTTGGCAAGGTATGAACCCCTGTAGTTGGAAAATATGTGATACCATTGCAGCAGTGGCAGTTTTTTGGGTTCTGTCACTTCTTTTTTAAAAATGGCGGCCAAAACATGCTTGTTCCCACATATAATTAATCCGGTTCAAGCATATTGGCGGCCATTTTGAAATTGTTTTTTTTAAAGTGAAAACACCAAAAAAACTGCCACCGCTCACACTGCAAAGCTATCATACATTTTCCAATAAGCCTTTTCGGAGTTCCAACTGCGCGCATTTGTAACCTGTGACAACGCACATTGTTTGTCTCAAATGCCCTTTGACTGTACCCACAATGCACAAACAGCCTTTTTGTAAAGTCAGTGGCGCGATGTTGTCAAAGGCCATTTGAGACAAACAATGCGCGTTGTCACAGGTTACGAATGCGCAGTTGGAACTCCGAAAAGGCTTATTCTAGATGTGTTTACATTGCCAAAAATCGCTATGAACATTGCTCTTTTCGATCATTCGATACCGGTGGCCCAATTTTTGGACCGAAGCTGATAGCCTCAAAGTGAAGAAGAGGCCTGGTATCAAATACCCTGTGAAATGATTCCCTCTGAAATGGTAGCGTTTGGAAGAAAACTAACATTGAAGGTGGTTTTCAATTAGGATGCGGCACACTTGCTTCTGTGTGTTGGCAACGAAAGCCAGTTACGAATGCCAGATAAATATTCATTCATTTTGTTCCTTGGCGCTGAAAGCTCAACAGGTTTACAAATTTTGAGCAACGACGACAACAATACGCATAAAAACTTCCTTTAAAAAAGCCAGTATTTTTAGTGAATGAATGCAGTCTTAAAAGCCTCTTTAATGACAAAATTCCTTGTTTATATAACAGTAACAGATGCACTTTAAAGCATTATGTAGTAGCTGTATAGAATTAGGTACTGTAGGTAAATTGAATGTCTCCATATTTTCTGAAGCAGGACTTTCAAGCACTAGCGCTATGTGTAGAATATAAAACTTTGTCTTGTACACTCAGAATATGACTCTTTAAGTCACAATTGTGGAAATAAAATTTGGTGTTTTTCAGTCGAAACGAAGCATTTTGTTGATCGGTAATCTTGACTTGATATTATGAATCGTGTAATCAAAGGTGGGGGTTATTCCTCATTATGATACGGCAAGTCACATACGCCTTTATTTTGGGTTGCTTTTGCACCCATAATGTACAAAAGATTGTCGCTAATAATTTGAAATTTGTAAAGGATTGTTTTGTTCAATGTCTCATTCAAGAGTAACATAACTTTTGTTTTTCTCTCAATGTCCATTTTGGGGTTGAAACTCGAAAAATAGCACGGGAGAGCAAATTTGAATTGGAGAAGTTTCAAAATAACTGGCGTTACATTTTGCAAACTTTCAAACTCGTACATAAAATATAGTCGCACTTCAAATGATAGTTCTCATACATATTGAATACTTTTCACTTCAATTTACTTTATAATTATTCAACCATGCTTTGCATATTCATAGAAATTATTACATGTATACACTATTTTGCACTACAACGCTTTGTTCATTTTCCTTTTAACATTTAACATTGCACAGTAACATACGTTTTTGCTCTATAAATTGGCTTTGTTCTTATTTTGTTTGACCCTTCATGGGATGATTCTGCTTTTGAACAGACATTTGATTACTTATCCACACAATTTTCTGCATTTTTTAGGTGTTTGAAACAGTTCAATGATCTTACAAGCAAAAAGTACCACTTTGAAAGGCACTTTCTTTCAGGCGGTAGGCTCAGTCATAAAAATTACGTTGGCTTCTGAAGCCTGTTTGTGTTCCTTCTTGAATTGTTCACTAGTTTTATTTTGATCATTCCCACTGGCTGTAGAGTCCTTTAATTTATCCGTACTTGGCCCTGATTGGTTCATACTGTGATTGGTATCTTTTGATTGGTTGGTTTTGGGGCTTTGGCATGGGAACTCCTCATTGCCTTCACAGCCTTGCGGTTCCGGACGTTCAAAGTTGACCACATCAGGCATTGGTGTGGACGATGCTGTTTCTGTTTTGTCCGATTTCTTAGTCTTTGGAGGACTTGGTTTCATTGTTGATTTTTGTTTACCGTCCGAGGCAGAACTTGACGGTGTTTTCCATGTGTATGACCGCACTCCGTTTGGTGTTCCTGGCCTGTCGGTTTTGTTTTCAGAATTTGTTGATTCTCTTGATCTTCGGAGACCAGAATCAACGCGGGTTGCTCTTACTTTGATTTGCTCGATGCGCCGCCGGGCAAGTAGAGGGATGAGGTCGTCCAGTTCTGGGTCACAAACTTCTTGTTTCTTTGCTTCTTTGGCGTGTCTGCGCTGATCGGCTTGTTTCTGTCGCAGCCAGTCGTCGTAAGTCATCCCTTTGAATGGATTGGAGGAGGGCATAGTCTTACGATTGGCAGAAGATGTTTTGCCATCTGTGTCTGATTGGGACTTCGAAGGTGATGTCTTGCTGGCAGGCTTTGCATCTGTACCGGATTTAGAATCTCTCTTCTTGGTGCCTTCAGGTTGAGCATCTCTAAGAAGCTGCCTCCTCCGTTTCTCTGCCTCCTTCCTTTGTCTCTTCGCCTCATCGTGAAGTCGTTCTGCCTCCAGGTTCCTCACAAGGTGGTGCCTTGTTTCCTCATCAAAACCCTTCTGATTGTCAGAAGCATTTTCTTTATCGGGACTGGACATTGCCTTTCTATTTGTTGTTCCCTTTTTTATATTGGTTGGCAGTTTTTTGGTTTGTGTTCTGGACCCTGCCGCTGCTTGCTTCGGGGAAGTATCCCTTTTTCTTTGTGTGGCATCAGTTCTCTCCGATGCGTCTTTCTTCGCAGCATCTTTTCGGACCTTCCTTTCAATCTCTTCTCTTCTGTGCGACTCCTCCTTCTTGTGCTTCATCCACTGATTGAACTTATCCCCCGACTCGGCAAGCCGCCTCAGTTTCTCCTCCACCACTGTCTGTTCTGCTGCTTTCTCCTGCCGTTCCTTCTTCCTCTCGCTGCGTTTCTGCTTTCGGATGGCTTTGTTTTTCTGCTTGAGCCACGACAAGATATCTGGGTTGCTAGAGCTGCTCAGTGTGTTGTCCGTCGGTTGGAACTCTTTCTTTTCTCTCGGAGTTTCTGTCAACCCTCTCTTAGGACTGTCACTTCTTTTGCTCTCGCGAGGAGTCTCCTTTGGAGTGTTTTTCACCTTACAATGTTTCTTTTTAGGTTTACTAGTTTTCTTAGTTGAAGATGATGTTCGTCTCCTTGCTGTAACTGAAGGACTCGAGTGTGCGTTCACTAAAACTTTACGCGGACTTCGCAGAATTCTCCTAATCAGTTCGGTATCAGACATGTCAGTACCGGATGATGCACAATCATCAATGTCTTTTATTAATCTCACATCAGTGAATGAAACTGTGTTTTTGCTCGGCGGTGATGGCTGTAGTTGCTCTAAGTTCAGATGCAATTCAGAAGCATCTTCATTCTCTGTATGGGATGGGGGGAGTTCAACAATCTTAGGAGTGTCACCGGGTTCTGGAAGAGCTGGAACTTTCCTGCGTCTCCTCCTCACTGGTTTGACTTGGCTGTCATGGTTGCGCTGCCTCCTTGAAGACGGAATGCATCCAGTGCTCCTAGACACCAGATCAATTGAGTGGAGACGGGAGACTGTTTTCCGTTCCACATGCTGAGTGGCTAGTAATGTCGCTAATTCCTGGTACTTCACAGCAAGAACCTCCTGGGAGCTGGTGAGATCCGGTCTGGGTGACGTCTCAACTTGGCGATGGCCTTTCTCAGCCGTCAAACTTCGAAGGACGTTCAGCGCTTTATGTTTTGCACTCAACTCCGACATGTTTAAATCTGTCAAACAAAAAGGGATGTATGCAGTGTTATCTTGTGCAAAATTAGAAATAAATATCATGACTATTAGTATTACTGTCATGACTGTAATTCACAACTGGAATTAAATAAAAACATCAAAATCACCTATCTTCTAAACCGAAAGTTTAAACGGAAAAAATACAAAATACATGTAGTGATGATATAGCAAATGCAGCAAGCAAGCACGTCGAGGCTCTAGTATGTCATTGGTTAAATTATGTTGGAATATCAACAAACCACATGCATGGACATGATGGAGATAATTCTACCCCCATGTAGCTTGAGTAACTCCAGCTGACATGTTCCATATTCATTACATGTGAATTAATATGGAACATGTCAGCTGGAGTTACTCAAGCTACCCCCGGCCCCATGCATAAACGCAACAAATGAAAATCTCAATTGGCAGTTCTAATTTTAACTTACTTTTTCGTTCAAGATTGTGTTGTCGATCTGATCATTATTACTCCAGTGTTTTGTTCATACGACAGCGGCTCAATTCAGCAGAATTTAATTCATTTTCTTTCATCAACCCATGATCAAATGAGCCGCTTTTAGTACACCGCAAAATGCCGTCAATAATGCACTGTCTGGTCTGCACTTGTTTATTTCTGCGCTGTTACTTTTCACTGCGTTACTCCCTCAGCGCGAGATATTTATTTCCTAATATTACGAATATACACAAAGTTTAAGAACAGACATTTATACTCAATTATCTATGCAATGCTAATGAACATTTGGGATGCTTTTTTTGTTTTTAATGCTCCAATTTTTAGAAACTTTCAGCGAAATTTATTTTAAAATTTTAAAACAAAGGGAGTAACAGCAATAACTATAATGCTACCTTGTCATCGTGCTGATTACAGACGTTGCTCGGCAGCCATTTCTGGGTTACGCCATTTTTAGTATAGGGTTGATCGACATTATAAAGTACATGTATCCATTGAGTTTCTTTTCACTTCACAATTATAACAAATCCCGATCATGTTTTTAATTATTTCTCGTAAAACAATTCACTTTAAAATATATTTACACATCCAATCCTGAAGAAAAAAAATTAAATAAAATGAATATTTTACCTATTAAATTTTTGGAACAGTCCAACAAAGATTAGCAGGTGAACAGACTTATTGATAGCAACACGGTGTGAAACAGGGCAGAAAGTGTACGCAAAGTTGGACATTTTGTTGTAAAATTTTTCGAAATGCTTTTGTATGCAGCCACAACGCATGTAGCCCAAAGTTGTCAAATGTGCTGAAATAAAAACATGACGAGTTGAAATCGTCTACAACTCCGACAAAAATCAGTGGAACTGCATATGAGAACAGGTAAAGAAACACTTAAACTTTGCCACAAAATAAGTGTACGTTTACTGTTTAGGCATGGAGGAAATGAATTTTGCAAATGATCATGGCTATTGCTTAACACATTAGCTCTAGGTTTTAATGTTTTGGGACATGCAAGTCACAGCATTTTTTTTTCATTCTCCAAGTTAATGGAATGGGGACCTCAACTACACTTTACTGAAAATGCATTTAAAAGTTTGTCAGTTTGTTTATTTTTATTTTGCAAGTTTCTAGTCCGAGATGAACTAGGACTCCAAGAATCGCCTTAACATTCGGACATGGTCGGGCGATAGTACGCCAGACCATGTCCAAATGTTAAAAAGACGATAAGTTGGGTCCAAGTTACTCGGACTACCAATACTATTGCATAGATTGAATGTTGTGTGAACTGATCATTTTATTTTATAATTCTTATTTTGATTTATATATTTTATCTTATTTTTTTACAGACATGGCTGCTCCCACGACATCCAATTGGCACGGATATTTTGAGGAAGAAACCTCTCCATTGACAGTGAGGGAACGAGACCGCCTGTACGATGACCGACCGCAAAGCATGACAGCATTCCACTCCAGACCAGTCCAGAAACTGACCGACAAGAGGCCGCCCCGATCCAGATCCAAAATTGAGATCAGCCATAGAATGAGAACCTTTGTCCCAGACTGCGTCACCCCTAAACCCAACGATCCCTTCCGTCTGTGGATTGAGAGCGGCCGGAAGTGCGCCCCCTTCCCTCCGCGTTGGGATCCCGACTACAACAGCAACGTCTGGCGGAATTTCAGCAGTCGGGTCGGGTACCGAGTGGATTCCCACGACAGGAGCATCTCGGAGTTGGTGGCCGACATGTACCCGATGAAGATCCCGCCCCACTCGGAGATGAACGACAACACGTTCGTCAAGTTTCTCAGCGAAGTCCCAATGATCAAAGACCGGAAGCGGCGGGACTTGGCCATCTCGCGCTCGGTCCGGGAACTCAAGGATTTCAAGGAGTTGAAACTGCGCAGCGAGATGCGCGTTCCGCCCATCACCGAGCGCGGCGACATCGCACCGCCGAAAGGCTTTAAGAAATACGAACATCGGAGACTCGCGTCTCCGGAAAGCACTGCCACACAGTCGCTGCGGCAGATGACTGAGTTGGAGAGAGATAGTCAGCGTGGGGTCTTGGGCACGCATAGAACTGGCGGGACCAGACTATGGAAGTTGACGTTTAGGGAGAATCATCCGGATTACGATCAGATGCAAGCAGATCAGAGAGAGAAGCGTCTTCAGCCACCAAAGAGCCCAATTCCAGGAGAAATATGGTTCCAGTAATGGGTCTGTGCGGGACTATAGAGGGCGCTATTTGTTAACAAATCGCATACCTCAGAGTCATGTCTCACAGAACACATATTTTGTAGCAAGATCCACATGCAATAAACAAAATACTTCCAATTAATTCTAGTGTGTACTCAAGAAATCTGACTTCCATCTAAGTACTGTACAGTCGAGTCTCGTTAATACAAACTCGTTCGGACCTAACCAAATTGTTTGTTATATCAGAATTTTGTATTAAGAGGAACATTAGTCCCATTCATTGTGCACATAAATGCACAGTCACGACTAAGGCTGTATGTTTGTTATAACCAGAATTTTGTATTAACAGAGTTTGTACTAACGAGATTCGACTGTATTTGGTTTTTCCGTGCTATTTTTGAGTAACACCCTGCCAAACTAGATTTTGATTTTACATTGCTATTTTTCTGGTAATTCAAAAGTTATGGAATAGGAACTTTACAAATTTCAATTTTTTGCGGTGTGGCCAAAACTTATTCAGACATATCTTATGTATGTTATGGGCACAATAGAAACCCAAACTATATTTTAAGTTTGGTTGACATTCAAAGTATAAACAAAGTAACTTTTTTCTGTTTTGAAAGTGAACTCATTCAAATTGAAAATTTTTTTTTTTTTTCCTCCAACATATCTGAAGCAGAACTTATTATTCGAAATGTCAGGCCGCCCTGATTTTTAAAATTGAAAAAAAAAAATTGCTAGAAGAAAATAAAATTACTATGTTGAGGATGGGAAGAGCAAATTTAAGAATTTGAATTTCACTTTTTGAAACTAGTTTAGTTTCCTAACTGTCTTTAAAGACACGTTTTTCAGAGTCTGTTACATTTAATATCAGTGTTTTATACATGTAGGTATTGTTTATGCACTATCATGCAGTCAATTTACAGTTAACAAAATGTATTTAGAACTCAATCACCTATTCCTAAGTAAATAATTTATTTTCAAGAACTGTATATTTTAAATTACTAAATCATGAAAATCAAAAGTTATTGTACAAACTGGAGAGAAAATCAATATGTGAAGTAGTTCGTTTCCAAAACGCAATATACGCCACTTTGTTCCCTTGAGAATCTTGCTCGCTTCTGGCTGTCAAAGGCAATTTTGACAGCTGTTATACTTAAACACAACGTAAGAATACGTTATTTATGAAAATGAACTTTAGAAACAGCTGTAGGTTATGTTGTTTCAATTCCACATTTTTTGCCTTTCTCGAAATGGATATGTTGCGGTTTGAAAATAAACTCTTCATGTATATTAAAAGTGATTACTACACATTTTTAATCTCTTTTTAAATCTTGAAAAGCATCATGTATATGTACATGTATCTACCTTCAAGGAACTTCTCCAAAGATTACACCAACAGCTAATTTTTGTGTTTTTGTTTTCAATATTTTAGGAGTATTTTTCTTAAGATTATTGGTGTATACAAGATATTTCTTTCATGGATTTGATGATGAATCTTTTCAGATGAAAACAAAAATGAAATACATAATATTGTGAATTGATTACACTAATTGATAGTATATTATTTTTGTTTAGTTATTTTATCTCCACAACTCTTCTTCAATTTAATTGCTTCTCAACAGTAGTACATTATGTTTGATGTGTATTCTTACATTTTTTTCATAACTTGCAGATCAGTCATCTTCATTTTGTTGTTTTAAAATAAAAAAGAGTTTAACTGGAGGGTTTAATGTATGTCTAACACTGACTGTGAAAAGCTTTCTCTAATGATACGTTTACAAACAGTTTTGTACAATATTTTCATAGATGCAAAATTGAAAATTTGGAAAGACTCGGCTGCACTTTCCAGTTGAAACCAGTTAAATTGGAAATTGGTGACTGGTTTAGAAATGGTTTATAACTGGTTTTGAATCGGTTTTAACTGATTCAAAACCAGGTAAACCAGTTCAAAACCAGATAAACCAGTTCAAAACCAGATAAACCAGTTCAAACCAGATAAACCAGTCCCAAACCAGATAAACCAGTTCAAAACCAGATAAACCAGTTCCAAACCAGATAAACCAGTCCCAAACCAGATAAACCAGTTCCAAACCAGATCAACCAGTTCCAAACCAGATAAACCAGTTCAAACTAGATAAACCAGTTCAAAACAAGATAAACCAGTTCAAAACCAGATAAACCAGTTCCAAAGTAGTTCAAAACCAGTCACCAATTTCCAGTTCAACTAGTACCATTTGAAACCAGTTAAACCGTTTTTTTGTTTTCACCTAGGATATGCATAATTATGCAAACCTGAAACAAATTGAATTGATAGATCACTCATAGTGTAGTTGTTGTTTCGCCTAGTTTATTCAATTGTGCAGATTCCTTAAACGATCTAATGTAATTTAATCAGTGACAGGTCTACTGGTTGCAACTCTATTCACTTTATACTGTTTTGTTTGAGAAAATAAAGCATGATTTTAATATTGTAAGACTCTCCATCTATACTTTCTTGCCTCGATCGTGCTTTTTGAAGACAAATAAATTTTAAGTCGGCATATTATAATTTAGGTCTGCATTAATTAGACCAAATTATCACCTTTTCAACATTGGGACATAGATCATTGGGTCCAAGTTACTACGGACTAGATCTGCATATGGGGGCTCCATTCAAAATCATTCATTTACATTTAAAAAAAAAGACACTTTTTTGAAAAATTCACGTTGTGTTTTAAAAAAGAAGAAAGAGAAACAATAATAAATTGTGTTGTGGCCATTGACGCACGCCAGTAGCGCGCTAAAGTCTGACACCCTGACGCCGAGAGGAGCAGTTTCACTGAGGTAACAGAATAGCATGGTAACGCTCATACAAACAACATGTCTCAATATTTTACAAATTACATACAAACCGGATGTGCTTTCGATATCAGAAATATTGACTCATCGCGTGTTCGGTGTTTCCCCTCAGAAAACCTCGTTTTCTTTCATTTGTCCGAAGTGTGAAGCAATCACGATCGGTGTTTGTTCGCATTTATTCAGCAGGTATCGTCGGAATTGGGTAGAAGATAAAGTAAGTGGAATTTTTTGAAGTGCTTGATTTTTTTTCGTAGTCTCTAAAAAGTGCAACAAATCGGCAGCACTCGGCAGCGTGTACACATTTGTAGTAGGGGCCTAGCATTGCCTAGGGCCTACATGTATAATTAAATTGTGTTTGTTATTTATGGTGTCCTTTTGGGAAAGAATGTTGCATCCTGACCCCACTTTTTTTCATCGTATTTTATCTCAATGAAGATCAGTCATTGCAAAAATGTTGAAAAGACATGAACTTAAGTTAAGTGATGTTGTCTGACAGTCTGACATGTCTGAGAAACATTTCCAATTTTTGTTAGAAAATACTTTGAAAATGCACTCAACGGGGCCATATCAAAGACATAAGTCTGACGCCTCATAGGTCCGACACCTCATAAGCCTGATATTTCGGACTTATGAGGCGTCGGACTTATGAGACGTCGGACTTATGAGACATAACATTTATTTATTTCCCCTCATGCTCATATACACATGTAGGTCCGACGTCTCATAAGTCACGTCAGAGGCTTCATAAGTCCGACGTCGGAAAAATGAGGCGTCAGACCTATGAGGCGTCGCCGGAGCTATGGACGGTTACCAGAAAAGGTTCATTTGTCCGACAAGGCAGGAACGAGATTTTAAAAACAAATATTACGACGTTTCAAGTCCGCGAAGTTGTCTATTTACGAACGGCGCACTGTGCATAGCATGAACTAACTGACCGCGGTTGACGTTGCTCTACTGAGTGGAGCGTTGAATTACGGGAGGCTCGTCCCCAGTGCTTACTTTATTTCCAACCGCGTTTCCAATAGTAAACCCTGGATAGGAAACTTTCTTCCTGTATCCTGATTGGATACCGCCATTGGCTAGTAATGGATTTTTATCGCGTACTTGGTGCTATTATTCAAAACGTGCAGTACGTGTTTTCGCGATCATTCGTCCACGCCTTCTCGAAAATACTAATTTCCTTTCCAATTTGCTCATATTAATATGAAATATGATACTGCATGTTGTCTGGATAAGATCGTAACAGTTTGATTTCAAAAATCGTGTTTTCGTAACTCACGCCGTGCTCGCGCTGCTACGAATTGACTCTGTTTTTACCCCAGACACCGCATACAAAAACAAACGCTAATGTGTAACGCATATCCAGGCACCAGACTGTTCCTCATTTGCATACGTGTGCAAAAATCTTGCACATGCAAATGATCCAATACCAGGGTGAGAGAGCAGGTAGTGGTGGGCGCGTACTGCTCGACACCCTGGGGACGAGGTTGGTCCCAAGCCTATTACGGGTACCCCTCCATACAAACGCTCCACCGACTTGCCATACTTTGGTGAAGGCGACTGTTTCGTGTAATGATACGTGCTCCTTGGGTGTGTTCAAAGCCCATACTGTCGTACGGCGCGGATCGGAGCACGTATCATTGAATGACACGAAACAGTCGTTGATAAAGCGCGACTTGTTTTTCTTCGATCCAGCAACGACGGTGACGTCACGTCAGACGCCCTCATTCGGCAAACCGGTGCAAGGATTGAGCCTCACGGCGAGTCATTGAGCTGTAATTTTTCAGACTATTTTGCTGTTTTTCTTCAAAATTTTCGCTGTTTGGGAACAATGTAAGGGGTCTGATGGAATGTCATGAATGTGTAGATCAATCCAGGGTAACTGTCTCTCTCATTTGTATTCTCTTTACCGTTTTTTTGGGGGGTCTTTTTGTCCTCGCGTGGGTTTGTGACTATGCTACTGTGACGGTGTCACCAAAGTATGGCAAATCGGTGGAGCGTTTGTATGGAGGGGTACCCGTAATTCAACGCTCCACTCAGTAGAGCTAGGGTTGACGCTACGGGCGTAAACATGCCACAATGCTTGATTACGTATAGGCCTAAGAGCCTCGAAAAACTCCCTTGTAAATTACCCTAATGGCCACGACTCGACACGCGATTTAAATGGTTTAAATCAGACGATGGTTTAAATCAGAGAATACACTCGCTAGTGTGGATTCTTAATTTATAATAAATTCACTCAGGGCTTAGGCCTAGCGCCTCGTGAATTCTTAAATTACAAATCCACACTTTCTCGTGTATTCTCCATAACATAATCTGACACATGTTTTATATTTTTTCGATGATTCCTCAATATCGAAAATTTCGATTTTTCGATGTGATTAAAAAATTGCTATGAGCGATATTGATATCAAAGTAATATACATTTAGATTAATATCGATATCTCGACGGTGCTTAGTTTGGGACAGTCCTATCAATAGGAAGGTTCTTTATATTTCTCTGCGTTTGATGGAAATAATGTTTCTGAAATTGAAATTATTTTTAATGCATTTTAAATTTTATGACAACTTTTAAATTTAATTACATTTCTACAGTCTTCACGTTCAAAATATACTTATTCTATTATTTCACTGTTTTTGGTTTTTTTTTTCAGATTTGAAATAATGACTCAGCCAACCTCTGTGTGAAAACACTGCTTGCTGAACTGTAGATAAAGTACCAGTTACCCTTGTTAAAAAGATTCAGCGGACAAAACCTTCAAGATGATTGGCACGGCTGAGAAAGGAAGCAATATTGTGTTTGTGGTCGAAGGAACGGCTGGAATGGGAGCCTACTTCAAGGAGTTGAAAGCGAACTACATCCTGCCTGCACTGATGTAAGCTTGAAATAAGACTAAGCATTTTGTGTCTTCGTAAGAACTACATTTGAATATAGAAAATATATAAAACATGCACTGTTTTATATAAGGGCAAAACCTAATTTGATAAACATGCAATGGTTATCGAAGCGCCGACCCTCTGGTTCCCTGACTTGACAATGTTCAACGTCGGGATCTTTGGCTCTTGGAACCAGACTATCAACTGAATGGTTCTCGAATATCTGCAATGCGGTAACGATGCTCAGTTGGAAATTGCGTTAGGGCTGTCGAAAGAACGACTTGGCACAGAATGTATGTATGCATAGGAGAGTTAAGATCTTTATTTTATGCAATATGCATAGTGGCACATTAAACAAAGATCTTAAAGGGAATATACATCATTTGCTTTTGCTGTAATTTTCAGAAATGGATGGAATTGGGGGGGTTGGAAATATATATAGCAAATATAGTTACACTGACTTTTTTGAGGTTTTGGGTTGGAAAATGCTATAAAAACCAAGAAAAACAATACTTTTCCTGTAGTCTGGTTCCCTGACTCCATATAAGAAGAAACAGAGCAGTTTACATACATTGGGGAATTGTAAGGTCAGGAAACCAGTCTAGCTGGCTCGTACCCGTTCATAGGTTTGTAATCGATTGCAAACAAGTGCGATGGTCAATTGGGGCCAGTATTTGAAAAAAAAGCCAGTTTTTTCCAACGCTGATCGGCCGATCAGCGTTGGAAATTGATACAAAAATACCACTTTTCTTGAAAATGACAGTATACCAGGTGCCATGATTTTACAGGATGCTTTACACTGTCATTCACTAACAGTCCAGCAAGGTATTTCAAAATGATTTGGTAGTTTTATTTTTTGATGTTTGCAAATGTTGTATTTTCCCTTTAAACCTCCTATACATACATACATTCTGTGCCAAGTCGTCCTTTCAATCACAATCTATCAAGTGACTGTTTTCAACAGTTAAGAGCTCCCAGCCTACATGTATGTAACGAAGGATTGACTGGCTGCGACTGTTTATGTAACTTGATACACCTAACTTTGATTCCGAGTGATTGATAAGCAAGCTGTGCCTATCACTTGCCACTTTTGTCTGTTGACTGAATTTGACTAGTCGCAGTGCTTGCTTGAAATAGATCTGACTGTTGGTGACTAGCCTGTGTAAAAGGCATGGCAGGGGAAGAGGATTGTTTTATTGGCTCTCTGTGACTGTTCAGACAGCGGGAGGGTTAAGATAGAAAATATACATGTACACTACAGAAAAGTCTTGCAGCTGGGTACTTTAAAAAAAGGCAGTGGTTATTTGGCTGGCGCCGGTTTTCTTTTAGTGAACGTTATTTTCACGGAGGCTGTCTCTGATTGGGTAATACTTCATATCGGCCGTACTGGCTTTCTCTTCGTAAACGTTATTTTGCCAGAACTTGTCTATGATTCCTCCAGAAAACTAGCGTTTACTAAAATAAAGCTGACACAGCCAATATGACGTTTTGTAATTAGCCAATCAGAGAAACCTTTTGAAAAATTACGTTTACGAAAGAAAACCTGCGCCTGCCGAATATTTACTATCTTCATAAAAACAGTGAGTTCGGAAGATCAGTTTTATGATTCAGTTCTGGTAATGAAACCAAGGATTCCTCAAAAGCGCCCTAGGAACTGTAGCTGGCAAGCCTGAAGAAACCTGTAGAGAGAAGACAATGAGAAAGAAATGACAGTTTTAGAGGTGGGAGGAAAAGCCCAGAAGAATATTCTGGGGGAAACCCACGGAATCAGGTAGGGACTGAAAACCCAATCCACATGTGGCCCAGGTGGGATTCGAACCCGGGTCACAGCGGTGGAAGGCGAGGATAAAACCACTTGTGTCAACCTGACTACCCTAAAGTTGTATAAAAATTTAGGAGAACATAGTGTCTTTGTTCCAAAAAGTTAATTCCATTTAGAAAATCCTGATTTTTTTTAGGAGAGCATGTTTTATCTTTCAAAGCTTGTTTATTGTCTCCATTTCTTTTTGTTTCAGCCATTTCAACGGCGGACCACTTGGCGAAAGCGATTTCAGTGGTGATGTGAGTTTTTTGTTTTTGTTGTTTATACTGGTAGTTTTTAAACATTATCAGCCTATGATTATAGAACTTTGTCTGTCTTGCAGAATGAGTTGTTTTCTAAGGTTAAATGTACATACCGGTATCTTAGGCCAAAAAAAAATAATAGTTCTGCTTCCGATTACATGGCATTCTAAAATAGGGTAGGTAGGTAGGGATTTTTTTTTTTTTGGCCAATTTTTTTTTGTGTACAATCATATGGAGGCGTCTGCGTGTAGTCAAGGGTAAAACTTAGAAATTGATGGTTTTGGGTGTTTCTCATTTTGCCCATAAAAAAAATTAGGGTAGGGGCTGTCAGAATAGGGTAGGTAGGGAAACCGGAAGCAGAACTATTATTTTTTTTGGCCTTGGACCGTTACACTTCTAAAACTGGTAAATTGCCAACGGTCTATTTTCAAGAATTTAAGGCCGAGTAAAAAAAAAAATAGAAAGTTTCTGTCCGGTCTTTTTGAAAAAATGAAGGTGGTGGATTTTTCCAAGATGGTGGATGGATTCTTTAATTTTCCCGACTATATTGCTGGGAGCCATAACCCTTTTTACATTTTGTACATAGCTTCCAATTTGTCGGAAACAAGTAAAAAGACAAAATATGTGCAAAATATTTTGCAAATGCATGGATTTAAAAAGAAAAAGGCAAAAAAGAGGCAGCTGGGAAAAAAGGAAGCGAGTGAGACAAGAAACTAATTTATTTTTTTACTTGGTCTAATGTTAAAGGAGCACATTCAAGAGAATGAACCTTTTGGGGCAAAAACACATGTACCAAGAAATTTTACATTTCCTTCGTAAATGTAAGACATAATGTGTTTTTGTGACCATATATTGACATATGGCCTGATGGCTTGTAAAGAATATGACAAACTTTTGGAGATCGCTGAACAAAAGTGTACCTTTAAAGGTAAAACAGGGGTGCGTTTTGGCGGTCATAACCAAGAATTGGTTCGGTAGTTTTTTGTCGGTGAATTTCTTCAGCAATTTTAATTGGGTTAGAATTACGCATGATCATGTAGTACTCAAATCCCCAAAACAATTAACCAAAGAGAAACCACCGAACCAATTCTTGGTTATGACCGCCAAAACGCACCCCTGTTCAGACGTTTTTTAGACCGCATTGCGTGAAATCGTTGCGCCTGGTATGCTGTAGTTTTTTTTTAAAAATTGAATTTTGTATCTTTTCCAACGATAGTTTGGCCAACCCTCGTTGGAAGAAATCCATTTTTTTCCCCCCAAATACTACCCTCAATTGAACGAACTTACTTAGTCCACATTTTGTATGCAATCGGCATCGGTAACATACCCATGAATGAGCATAAGCCAGGTAGTCTGGTTCCCTGACCTGACAATTCCCTGACGTCTATGAATTTTCCAGTTTCATCTGAAGCGTAGGGTCAGGGAACCAGATTGAAAGATTAGCATTTGTTTTGTTTTGGTTTATCTGGCATTCATGATCAAGCAACTTTAAAAAGGTCAGTGGATAAAAAAGGTGGAATGATAATTGCAATTAAATACTTACTCCTAAAATCCATCCATTTCTGAATTAACAGCAATAGCAAATGTTGTATATATAACCTTTCAAGGGAATATACATCATTTGCTTTTGCTGTAATTTTCAGAAATGGATGGAATCGGGGGTTGGTAATACATAGCAAATATTGTTACGCTGACTTTTTTGAAGTTTTGGGTTCGAGAATGCTATAAAAACCAAGAAAAACAATACTTTTCCTGTAGTCTGGCTCCCTGACTGCATTTAAGAAGAAACAGAGCAGTTTATGTACATTGGGGAATTGTAAGGTCAGGGAACCAGTCTAGCTGGCTTGTACCCATTCATAGGTGTATAATCGATTGCAAACAAATGTGATGGTCAATTGGGGCCAGTATTTGAAAAAAAAGCCAGTTTTTTCCAACGCTGGTCGGCCGACCAGCGTTGGAAATTAATACAAAAATACCACTTTTCTTGAAATCGACAGTATACCAGGTGCCATGATTTTACAGGATGCTTTACACTGTCGTTCACTAACAGTCCAGTAAGGTATTTCAAGATGATTTGGTAGTTTGTTTTTTTGATGTTTGCAAATGTTGTATTTTCCCTTTAAAGGACAATTTTGAGTGATCACATTTTGTGTTTTTTTTCCAGTATGGTGGGCCGCTGTACAGTTTAGTCATCTACAACACGGTTGATTGCTACCCATCGCCTGCAGTGACGTGCATTGCTCCGACTAGCAATGCTTGGCAACTCAGTAACGCAATGGATAGCATAGAGTAAGTCAATGGGCGGAGCAATGAGACGAAGGGGGTGGGTTCTCATCAAAGTCAGATCTCTTGATTGGTACCATATACATGTATAATCATCAATATTTTTTTTTTTTTTTAATCTGTTAGCCGCACATTTCTTGGCAATCAAAACATGTTACTGAAATGAAATCAGAGGGGTTTCACATCCGAACGGATAAGCCTTCGTGTATGCAAACGTTTAGTTATGCGTAACCGTTATCGAACATTGTGTTGTTTCACAACGTGTATGCATATGAGGCACAATTGCAGAATACCCCGCCACTCGATCTATCCACCTCGTAGCCGGCTACGAGGTCACGGTTGGTTGACCTCAATAAACATTCTCAGCGCTACTTGTATGTACTATGCGTCATGCTCCTTTGCACTCCCACTTCGTGACCGCGTAGCTGCCAACAGGGTAGTTGGTTTGGACTTAAAATTTTTCAGCAACTCCCATTCCTTTTGTGTTGCTTCGTTCTCAAATAATGGACCCCCACTCAGTATCCGCGTAGCTGGCGATGGACTTGAATTGTTTCTTTTCCAGTGATTCCAACCTCGTAGCCAGAGAATTTAGGGGTGTATTTCCGAGTGGCGGGGTATTCTGCAATTACTCCGCATATGATTATTGTCATTGGAACAAAGCAGCAATCCACAATGACAGTCTCCGAAATAAAGCCTCGTGTCTGCGGCTAATTCATACAAATGTGACATAAAATGTTCAGCACTGAGGCATAAAATGATCAGCTAGGCTACGATATGCAAATCAGGTGACCAGTGTTGAACAAACACCTTGGAACATACCTGTACCCTGACTTATCTTTTTCGGGCAGTATTTCTTAATTTGTCACTGGATTTATATCGAGTTATGTTTGGTCTGCGAACTCCACACTTATTGGAGAATGTAGCCACACTATCCAGCTCGCTGTCCGTGTAAAATATGAGCCTCCATGACCAAGTTCTTGGTTCTTGATTGGTTCATCTCCTAAATACTCCGCGTGGGAGTTTATACAGGAGACCAGAAACACCGGGGCAAACCCCTTCTCTTAAGCGATAAGTGTCACTAGGTTCTTTTACGTGCATTGGATTACACAACACACAGGACCTACGGCTTTACGTCCCATCCGAAGGACGAAGCAATAATGGTTAAGTGCCTTGCTTAAGGGCACAAGTGTCCGCCCGGCGGGCTCGAACCCACGCCACTGTTGCCTCTGAAACACCAGAGCATGAGTCCGGTGTTCTCAACTGCTAGGCCATGACACTCCACTGAATAATCTGAATACTGTACTGAATCTCATCTTCATTCGCATACATGTATGAGGTCGTCGCTGGAAATCCAGCGACAAAAAACATAAGCCAAGATGAACAGTTGTTCCTACATGTAGGCTTTTTTCCAGGATGAGGTTGCTGTTTGCGCTTCTTACAGTACGTGTGACTGCTTACATAGCATAAGGCTACTGTTGTTCGCGGCCAATCATCAGACTCTATTGTCGAACGCCTTGACCAAGGCCAGCGATATATATCGGTGCCATCTCTGCGTAGCAAGTTGCGTATGTCGTCACAAAAACACACTAAATGATGACCTATCTAGCATGCTAACCCTTCGATCCGTTCGCTTGCAAAACCTCTCTAATGTTGTATTGTCGGAAAACATTTTAAACATAAGTTGAGCTGGTCCCAAAATGTACACAATTTGATATTTATTTGGCCTGCACAGTGAGCCCACAGTGCATATAAACGCATAGACCGCCAGTCATGCATGTAAAACTGTGATTTGAACAAGTATGGGCAAAACGCTTGTTGACAGCGTGTGTTCAATACAGGTACGCGCTTAGGACAGTACGTATACATTTACATACAGAACATAAATTTTCAAGTTAAAAAAGGCTGTTTTACTCACAATCCGATTGGAAAAAGTTGTTCACGTTATTGTTTTTTAATCTACATGTACCTAAATCAGATTCTTTTTACAATCGAAAAAAAACTTCATAGAATTTTTTTAATGGAATAGTTCAACTGTGTGTAAAATCCCTACACCGAGAGGTGAATTTGCCCATAGTTTTGGATTTTAGTCGGGCGCCGCGAAATCACGGAATGCGCGTGTAGATTCGAATAGGACCTGGCAGTCTATGCGTTTATATGTGACCTGTCACCACGAAATGAGCTGAAAGTCGGAGATTGCCATTTTGCAGTACAGTGGGGCAAAGCCAAAAATTGAAGGGGTGGTCGATTTTTTGTTTTCAGGTAAACCTCAATCTGTAAGTCCTGTGCTACCTTTCTCCAAATTTTTTGTTCTGTCAAACATCTTTAAAACCTATTTCATCCCGTCTGTTATGAGTTGACTTTTCATTCACTGTAACACAACTGCAGGATTTTTAAATGCCATTTTCTCTAGAATCAGTTTTACAACTTCAAGTTAGTTGGTGGTCTATATTTCCGTCACTGAACTCAGTACCCCTTAATGTTGTATACCATTTGAAAGCCCTTTTTCAGCAGAATCCAGATATATGAATTTCTTAATTCTTAAAAATTCCAACTTTAAGCTCAGTTTGTGATGACAGGTCACATATATCTTGTGAGTGAGCCGGATTCATCCCATTTATTGGCAAAAACAGGGTGATCCTATACAATAGCACTGCCCGGCTCTCTACACCATTAAAGTCACAAGCGACAGTCAGTCTGTCAAGTAGAGAAGCCGGTTCTGTTCGTAAAAAAAATTAACATCCATTTGTAGGCAACTATGCACTTATTCACTTTGGCCTGTACATACATGTACACTGTGTTTTGTGCTTGCTGTTTGCTATCTTGTGCCGGTGCAATTATCTCGTTATCTTTGAAGCCTTTGCCTCCTCAGTAGTAGATCCCCTAATTTCCTGATGTCACATCCAATAGTCAGACATCCGTTTAAGCGCAGGACAGGTGCTGTGTTGTAAACATGTATCAGTACATCTTTATGGAGTAAACATCCACATTGATCATTCCTTGGCCACGCCCCTTTTTAGCCGGCTTCATTGTGCTTTATGGAGTAAACATCCACATTGATCATTCCTTGGCCACGCCCCTTTTTAGCCGGCTTCATTGTGCTTTATGGAGTAAACATCCACATTGATCATTCCTTGGCCACGCCCCTTTTTAGCGGGCATCAGTGTGCTTTATGGAGTAAACATCGTGTACATGTACTTGTTTAAAGCCAGAGTCCATCATTTGCAGCTATCCGAAAAAGTAACTGGTGTATTATTGTTGAAAAACATTCTTGGTTGAAAGATAGTAAAGGGGACTAAACTCCCTGTGAAATTAATCTTTCTGGCAAACTATCATTTTGAAGTAATCAACGAAAGAAGCCCTTTCCAACGGTGCGTCTTAAGACGCACCGTAGGAAAATTTGAATTAGTAGTTCGTTTCGTTATTCGGCGCACCGTAGGAAAATTTGAATTAGTAGTTCGTTTTGTTATTCGGTGCAGCGCTCGCAAAGCATTGGCAAATTTTAAAAAGTAAAAAAAACAAATCTAATATTTCCAACAGTTTTGTTCAGATTTACTTCAAGTTTTGTGAAACGCCCCTGGCCATGTTTAGCGCCTGGCACGGGTAGTGCCAAAAATATATAGAAATTGGTGCAAGCACGGCGTGTACTACATGATGTGGAGCAGAACGCAGGAATTCTGTTTAAAACTTGAGTCATAGTTTTATCAGTGGTTTAAAACCACCCACGTGATGGGCTCTTGACCAATAGACCTTTATCACGCTGCTACCATTTCAGTCATGTTCCCTGTATCCAATAACAGTACTGAATGATACTGTTTTTTGTGCAAAAAGGAACCAGACTATTTTTCCTTCCAGCCTCACTTTGGTTACGTTCATTTCAATAGGAAAAAAAAATCAAGACGGACGCAACATGATAATGGTCTGTAGGCATGATAGGGGTGGGTAAACCGTAATACATGTACAACATGGTATGTAAGGCATGTTACTTTTCAAAATCTCCTGTACAAAAATTCACCATACCTTGAAACATTAACTTTTCCCCACATAACTTTTTTGGTGTACATGTTACTTGCCATAGATACTTCACTATCTCAGACTCCCAGAACAATCTGCCCCTCCATGTGAATTTTCACCCCCATGTTTTCAGTGGTGTGTTCCAGCATGTTTATTGTTCTGTTGCTTGCCTGGGCAGATTCATTGGTGGAGGAGGGGAGAGCGGAAGCCTGGTAGCCGACGGGCTGGGTTCAGCCATGCAAGTCTTTGACGACTTGAAAGCACGAAGACACTCAAGGTTGGTAATTCCTTCTTAACGTTTCGGTTTGCGGTAACACCATGTGGTAATAACTACTGCTTAGAAGATATTTAGTTCTGAAAAGAACTTGTCCTGCTTATTATCAACTTTTGCTAAGTAGTTTTTGTTCTAACTTGTCTTTGGTCTCAACGTTTCGACTAGCCTGCTCTAGTCATCGTCAGGAGGCTGAGGAGAGTTGGAGATGCTACTCCTTAGTGTTAGGATTGGGAATGCTTGTATTGGTGGATTCTGATTGGTTGTCTGTTGGGCATTGTGTTAACGCATGGATACTGCAAGACCGCAACGATACCGATACTCCACCATGCAAAGCCTCAAATCTTATTGGTAATTCTTATAAGATTTTATTCTTTGTACCGAGATTTTGAGAGAAAATATCATGAAATAATAAAAAATGCGGTCTGTTTTAATACAAAATACTGTCCGAGAAGATTTTTTCCCGAGTTTTCAGAGGTCTTCAGAAGTAACTACAAGAGAAAATTTAATTGGCATAAATGAGTACTTGGCCGGGTTTAAACACTACCCGTATATTTAAGACCGGTTGGAGTCTGGATGCTGATAATGACCCGAGCCGAGCTTGCGAGAGCCGGGCAGTACTATTGTATAGGATTACCCCATAATAGGCTGAAAGAGAAAATTTAATTGGCAAAAATGAGTACTTGGTCGGGTTTAAACACTATATTTAAGACCGGTTGGAGTCTGGATGCTGATAATGAGCCGAGCCGAGCTTGCGAGAGCCGGGCAGTACTATTGTATAGGATTACCCCATAATAGGCTGAATTGGTGACAATTGTGAACACCAGATGCATGAAAAGACTTCCAGTGAATAGCCATTCTGAATCAATTGAAGAGAATATTTTGTGCACTCGGGGACCTAGACCGGTTGGAGTCTGGACGCTGATAATGAGCCAAGCCGAGCTTGCGAGAGCTGAGCAGTACTATTGTATAGGATTACCCCATAATAGGCTGAATTCATGACAACTGCGAACAGCAGATGAATGAAGAGACTTCCAGTGAATAGCCATTCTGAATCAATTGAAGAGCATATTTTGTGCACTCTGTGACCAGCTTTACTTGCGTGGTCTTATTTTGTGTTTGTTTCCGTTTCTTGCCACATCTCTTAAAATTGAAGGGCTGTTGCCGTTCACCAACATAATTTCTCAATACTGCATACTCAGTGTCCTAGGGATCGCGAGAAAATTTTTTACAATTAACTCGGGTGGGACTCGAACCCACGACCTCCTGCTTACTAGTGCAGACGTCTTACCACCCGACCACCAGGCTTGGAAGGATCGGCTGGTTGGTTCAAAACTAAAAATAAACATTTTGTTATTGGTCACCAATTTGTATCCCTCTTTTTTTGTTCTTTCAGTCTTGCCAACTGCACATGCCAGTGCATCCTGGTCTGTAATTCTCCGCCGTTTTCTCTGCCCAGTATGGAGAGTGGTAACTACATCGGGTACACCTCCGAAGAGTTAGTCACTCTCATGGCTGAGGTATGTGCTTTTCCTTTCAAGTAATAATAAATATAATAATACTAATTAGCATGAATCCCGCAATAGGGCGACAAGTTGTGCGGGACTTCCCCTACATTACATGTAGGGCGACACACCGCAATAGGGCGACAATTTTGGTGTCGCCCTATTGAGGTAACTACCCTTTAGCGAAGGAATTTTACTGTCGCAAATGGGCTAGATCGATTGCTCGTGGTCCAATACCAAACTTGGTTGGGGTCGGACAAGGTAAAATTGGGTTAGGTCACATTAAAGTTTGAAAAATTTTGTGCACGTTTCTATGGAAGTGTCAACCTATCATGCAATCCAGAGTTCATAATAATAATAATGATTACCCTGAATTGGACATTTGGGAGACATCCCCATAGACTTGTGCACGAAATTTTTCAAACTTCAATGTGCCTTACCCCATTTTTTCCCTTGTCCTTTTCCGACAAATTTGGGTATGTTTACCAATTAGACCACGAGCAACAACTATAATCTAATTGCAACAGTAAAATTTTGCCTCTAAAGGGGGGCTGTGACATTAGGGAAACATGAAAATGTCTCCCTAATGACAAATTACGATAACGTGTCTCCTTAGTGGTACCTTTACACGTATAATGTGGTGCTTACCGGTATTCAGCGCTTTATACCAAAGGTCTCAAAGAAAAGCTTCACAATAATTAGGCCTACCCCTGGTCATCAGGCTATGAGACTATTTTTCTACAGCAGCTCGAGATCAGTGCATTCTGGTCTCTACCTTCATAAATTTATACTCCTGGGTAAAGAGAGGGGATTGCAGTGAAGTATCTTGCCCAAGAACACTAGTCGAACACTGTAACCATTCGACCACAGTGCTCCACGAATCACATTTGTTGGTCAGAAACATCAGTTGCGTTTGTTAAACATTTCAAAGCTGCTCTTCCCATGCTCTTCAACATACCGTACATGTACTTGTTTTTTTTTTCTCCAAATTTGTTATGTTTTTTAAAGGGAAAATACAACATTTGCAAACATCAAAAAATAAAACTACCAAATCATTTTGAAATACCTTGCTGGACTGTTAGTGAATGACAGTGTAAAGCATCCTGTAAAATCATGGCACCTGGTATACTGTCATTTTCAAGAAAAGTGGTATTTTTGTATCAATTTCCAACGCTGATCGGCCGATCAGCGTTGGAAACAACTGGGTTTTTTTTCTCAAATACTGGCCCCAATTGACCATCGCACTTGTTTGCAATCGATTACAAACCTATGAACGGGTACGAGCCAGCTAGACTGGTTCCCTGACCTTACAATTCCCCAATGTATGTAAACTGCTCTGTTTCTTCTTGTATGGAGTCAGGAACCAGACTACAGGAAAATGATCGTTTTTCTTGGTTTTTATAGCATTTTTGAACCCAAAACCTCAAAAACGTCGATGTAACTATATTTGCTATATATTTCCAACCCCCCAATTCCATCCATTTCTGAAAATTACAGCAAAAGCAAATGATGTATATTCCCTTTAAACTGAAAATGCTACTTTTGTTTGTTTTTGACATTTGCGACCCTCTAACCTTTTAGTTTTGTTTACTTTTGTAGAAAAAGATACCGCTGAATTATTGTCGGGCCGTTAATAATTCAAAATTTATAAGATAAATATTCTTTAACTATACGTGGGTAGATTTTGTATGCTTTTTGTTTATTAGGGGTGTTCTTTTTGAATAAATTAGGATTTGATTAATCCAAATTGCATTTGACCAAATGTAGTCGAATATTCAAAACTTGCCAATCATGTTTTACACGCGCAGCAGCAACATACCGCGTACGTGTACCTGTCGTGCCGTTGGAAAGTTGCAAGACAGGCGCGCTGGTAACCATTTGCTTGCTTGACATACATGTATGATCTGACTGTTGGTGATTATAACACCTCACCCGCAGATTCTGTGTCTTGATTGGCTGAGAGCGAGTCACATGATACTTTCTATTTTTGCTATCTTTCTGTGCACGGCCAAAAGTACTATACCCGTAGCAACCAAAGTACTGTACCATTAGCAACCAAAGTACTATTTCCACGGCGTGGCATTTGTGTGCAAATGCATGCTGGTGTGCGCGTTGCACGCAGCGCGTTTTGTTCCAAAGAGAGCGCGCCACAGAGTTGGGTTCAAACATTTCTTGAAGGGGTAGTTTGGAAGAGAGAAATACATTTTCCGCCAATTTTGTATTGAAATTGAAGTTTATTTCAACTGTGTTCAGATTTAAATAATTTAAAATATTAAAATCAAGCAGAATCTGTGGGTGAAGTGTTATAAAACAAATATTGAATGCTTTATCTCGTGGTGAAGTAAAACTAGCCTCCCTCGGTGATCCATAGAGCATTCTATTTTCCCTCGGCTTCGCCTTGGGAAAATAGAATGTCCATGGATCACCTCGGGAGGCTAGTTTTACTACACCACTCGAAGCATTCAATATTTGTATACTAGCCTGTGTTAAAAGTATAGCTTGGGAAGTGGATGGGGATTTTGACTGTCTGTGACTGTTTAAATAGTAGGATGGTTGACGGGAATGTACATCATTGGCTTTCGCTGTAATTTTCAGAAAAAATTATATTTGAGGGGTTAGTATAATAGATCAAGTATTGTTACGCTGACATGTTTGAGATTTTGTGTTCGATAATGCTGGAAAAACCAAGAAAAACAAAAATGTTCAGGTAGTCTGGTTCCCTGGCTCCAATAAAGATGAAGTGGATCAATTTATAGATGCTGGAAAATTGTAAGGTAAGGGAACCAGTCTAGCTGGCCTGCACCCGTTCATGAACATGGAACCAATAGCAAACAAAATTTGGACTGAAAAAAAAATTAGTAAATTTGGAGCAGTAGTTGAAAAAAGATTAGGTTTTTAGGCCGACCACCGTTGGAAATGCATACAAAAATACCATTTTCTTGAAAATGACTTCACACCAGGTGCCATAATTTCACTGGATGCTTCAGACTGTCATTTACCAACATCCTAGTAAGGTATTTTGTAAAAATTTGGTAGTTTTGTTTGCAAATGCTGTATATTCCCTTTAATAATGTAAAAAATGACCGAATTCTGCATTGGGCAAGGTTGGGGAATTTTTCAGTGAAAAAATATATGTTTCCATACTTTTTTTGTATATCCTTTAAGTTTAGTATCCATTTACTGTGGCATACTGACAATGATTGAACCATAATTTCATATACTTCCTCAAATGAGGCAAGTTCTTGGAATTTCCAACATTGCGACAATGGTCGGCACAGACGTCATGCGTTGCTCATTATTCCGTACAAATATTCGTCATATCACACGATGGAACACTACATCGATGTGCAGCTAACCCAACGAAAAAAACTTCTGGATTCTGTGCTGAGATTTCATCGTTTGTACTCAAAACTTTACCGTGATACATCTGAACAAGTAAGTTGCTGTTCCTTTTTTTATCCCCCTGGCTATTTAATGAGCCAGAAAGAGGGATTTTGCGATAGTGTATTCCTTCTGTGTGTGTGGGTAAGCCTACAATGTGTTATGGGGAAGACTTTTATTGTGAGGCAAATTCGGACCGAGTTACGGGGACTTTCTGCTGTCCCCACAGCATTTTCAGTTCCCACAAATACCTCGTTGTGACGAGTGTATGTCCCCACAACTACGGAACAAGAATGCGTACGTACCTGTACATGTACATTAAATTGTGTGTTCTATTTTGGTTAGGTTAAAACTGTTTAGTGCTGTCATGAAAAGTCTGACTTCACTCTCAACCAAACTTGGTGACAAAAATCCTTAGGTAGGGGCACTCAAGATGACTTAGTCTTCAATTCACAACGTACGCACAACATCTGCGCATCATCACGCAGTATGCGCGACAGGCGCGCCAATCTCCATAAAAGGAGATGTTTGCGTCTTACTCGCAAGCTGGACACTCCATTATATAGCTGGAGGGGTGTTTCGAAAGACAGAAAGTAAAATTGTTGAACAAAATCGTTGGAAAGTTTAATTTTGACTTGTTTTGACTTTTGGACAGAAAAGTTTTGGGTTTTTTTACCGAGAAGATGAGAATATAGGCCTACATATATGCGCTTGGTTGTTTTAGGTTTTGGACTGATACAGTCTGGATTAGCATTCCAGACTCCAACCAGTCTTAAACATAGTGTTTAACACCTCCCAAGCATATGTATTCCCTTAGTACATGTCCCATTACAACTCACAAAACATGTTTAAATGATATTGCTTATGGGCGTGTGATACTGATAAATCCTGGTAAGATTTATTCAGCATCGATATACTGCCGTAATGGAGAATTGATACCCACATGTACGGTATGTTAATGTACATGTACTGGCATGACTGGTACCGATAGGAGCCCAAAAAGCGGTGCCACATTGCTTACAATGTAACTGAAACTAACCATGGAATTGCCCCATTCATACAAGTTTATGTGATTATAAACTAAATTCAGGGCCAAGGTACACAAGGTACAAATTTGTAAAGATTGTGATTTCTTTTCAGTGCGTACTTCCTGAAACTATTGTCCCTTATCTATTGTCCCACTACGTTGTTTGCCTTAGGGGATTTCCAAACCCTAGGCAACCAACCGCACGCACATTTACCAAAAGGATTTCCACGAAAACTTCTTAGAGTTAGAGGTAGCCAGCTCTATAAATACCCTGATTAATTGAACCCATAATAACTCTCGGTTTGGAACTTCAAAATCTATAGTAAAGTCTGTCGCGAGGCAGTGTGGCCAATCAGGCCAGTGTTTATCTCCGGTTTCAGTGGCATGAATTGACTGAGAATATTTCTACTCCCCCTGGATGGGATGCTAGTTCATCGCCGGTTACTCCCCAGCTGATGCCGGTACCCATTTATACTCCTGGGTGGAGAGAGGTAAGTGGGGATGAAGTGGCTTGCCCAAGGACACAACATATGACCAATAGCTGGATTTGAACCCGTGACCCTCTGATCATGAGTCACAAACCCTAACCACTAGGCCACACTCCCCCATGATGTTAATAATCCATAGTGTGAGACATGTTCATGTATACCGTATACGTACATACAGGGTGAAAATAATTCTGCTTCCGGTTACCCTACCTACCCTAATTTTTGGGGGGAAAGTTCAGGGGGAAAAACCCGAAAATCATCAATCTTTTACCCTTGACTACTGGCAGACACATCCATATGATCGTACACAAAAAAACCTGCTCCCAATTTTTTCCCCCCACTTACCTAACCTATTTTCAAATGCCATGTAATCAGAAACAATGTGTACTGGAAGCATTCTCTTTCCTGATCATGTACGTGAAAAAGAATTTTTCATATTAGGTTTTGCCCTTCACCGACGTTTAAACACTGAATACTCAGTGTGTTACCTCCCGAGTGAAAGCTCGAAAAAATCACTTGGGTGGGGCTCGAACCCACGACCTCCTGCTTTCTAGTGCAAACATCTTACCACTCGACCACCGAGCTAACGGGATCGGTTGGCTGGTGAAAAAAAAATTCTTCTAACATTTTATAGAATTTGTGACAAGTCCATCACAAATTTTATACATAAAGTTGAACAATATTTTGTTTTACTTTCAAGTTTCATCCCCCCAAATAGATTCCTTTTACTTTTTGAATGAGTCTTTGACTGAGTAAAAATAGACCGAGTTCAGTTATTGAATTATTGAAGTTATCAAATTTGATTTATTGACTGCCAGACAATAAGGCCAAAAAAAAATGATAGTTCTGTGTCCGATTACATGACATTCGAAAACAGGGTAGGTGAAGGGAATTTTTTGGGGGAAATTTTTTTGTGTGTACGATCATATGGAGGCGTCTGCATGTAGTCAAGGGTAAAAGGTAGTAATTGATGGTTTGGGGTTTTTTTTTCTCATTTCCCCCATAACAGAATTAGGGTAGGGGCTGTCAGAATAGGGTAGGTACGGAAACCGGAAGCAGAACAATTTTTTTTTTGGCCTTATTCTCTGAGAATGCTGAATGTACATGTACATGTACATGTACATGTATGTAAACGGTACCATGAAGTGGAAATCTCTTTATAGTCCGTTTTGTAGTCATACATTAACAGATTTGAACTAATGAAATGTCCTTATTCAATAAGGCTGTGGTCCAATGGTTATGGTTTCCATGCCATATGTAAATTCGAACCCTGAACATGGTGCTTGATCATGGGAAAGACATTTTACTACAATTACCTCTCGATCTCCACCCTTTACAATGCCATGATTGCCTCCCTCCACCCAGAAGTATGGGTACCAGATTAGTAAGATTTGAGGCTTTGCATGGTGGAGATACTAAATAATGAAAGGTTTGCGGAAACACAATGTGCGAATAATTTCTCAACTAAGAGAATGGTTCTGAAAAGAAAAGAACCAGAGGTATAAACTCGACGTTCCGGTCAGTATGCTCTGACCGTCTTCAGGGTACCAGATTGCGCTGATCTGGAGCTGCTGCAAAAACTGGTCTCATGGCCTGATGAACAGGGGTAATAATTGTGTTGAGCGATTTGAGTCTTTGGTATGAAGCGCTATAAACATGTACATGTGCAATGTGCATGACATGTAAGCACCTCATTTAGCCCTAACCCTCCTCAATCCTCCAAAATCCTCCTTGTGGTTTTGGAGGATTTTGGAGGATTGAGGCTGAATGGTATTTTTTTTAGATAAGGATTTCGGAGGATTGAGGCTGAATGGTATTTTTTCAAAAAAGAATTTTGGAGGATTGAGGCTGAATGGTATTTTTTTTAGATAAGGATTTTGGAGGATTGAGGCTGAATGGTATTTTTTTAGATAAGGATTTTGGAGGATTGAGGCTGAATGGTATTTTTTTCAGAAAAGGATTTTGGAGGATTGAGGCTGAATGGTATTTTTTCAGAAAAGGATTTTGGAGGATTGAGGCTGAATGGTATTTTTTTCAAAAAAGGATTTTGGGGGATTGAGGCTGAATGGTATTTTTTTCAGAAAAGGATTTTGGAGGATTGAAGCTGAATGGTATTTTTTTCAGAAAAGGATTTTGGAGGATTCAGGCTGAATGGTATTTTTCAGAAAAGATTTTTGAGAATTGAAGCTGAATGGTATTTTTTTCAGAAAAGGATTTTGGAGGATTGAGGCTGAATGGTATTTTTCAGAAAAGATTTTTGAGAATTGAAGCTGAATGGTATTTTTTTCAGAAAAGCATTTTGGAGGATTGAGGCTGAATGGTATTTTGAGGCAGGACTGTCTGACGATTTTGAAGGATAGCAGGAACCCTCCTGCTATTTACATAGACAGTCACAGACAGTCCGAAATTCACTTCCCCTTCCCCTGGTATACATGTACTTTTAATAAAGGCTAGTCACCAGCAGTCGTCAGATCATATGGCAAGCAAGCACTGTGACTAGTCAAACTGGGTCAAGAGACAAAGCAGGCAAGTTGTGGTCATCACAGCTGGTTTATCCCTCACCCCTAGTCAAAGCATAGCTGTATCAAGTTAAAACAGTCCCAGCCGGTCAATCCTGCTTTATGTAGGCTACGAATTCTTAACTGTTGAAAACTGTTGATTTTGACTGAAAGGACTACTTGGCACAGAATGTTTGTTTGCATAGCACGTAGTACTCGTACTCGGTACATGTAATCGAGTTCTACTCGAGTATTTTTTTTAGAGTACTCGTACTTGTACTCATACTCAAATGTCAATTAAAGTACTCGTACTTGAAATGACGGTACTCGTACTTCGGCAGCAAGGTACGCGCACTCGACATGTCGAAATTGTACTTGATCATCAAAGTACTCGAATAGCAGTACTCGGGAGGGGAAAAATGGTATAGCTTGACTTACCACGGCCTTATTTTATTATCGATACTTTCAGTTGGAAATGGTTGATTGGCTTGCAGAGAAATCAAAGTTTGCCGATTTTCTCTGTTTACGTCCGGACAAACACATTTAACAGCTAGCCGTGAGTGGATCTGTATATCGGTCTGACTGGGCCTGGGCCAATATGCATAAAGAACCATTTGCCGTATGGCCTTATTCGGAAATAGAAGTACTCGTACTCGTACTCGGAAGTACAAGTACTCGTACTTGTACTCGGTAACCTAAGTACTTGACAGTACTCGGTATTCTGAAAAAAATACTCGACTACAACACTGCTACAAAAGAGGATTTTAATACCATGGTTTAACAAAAGAAGTTAATTGGAAGACCACTAATGTTTTCATATTGTTTTGTTGTTTGCTTGTTTGTTTAATTCTAGAGAAACATCCACTTCTCCATTGTGTCGACTCGCAAGCTGGCCATACTGTATGATCTGTTTGACAAGGCCAGCGCTGACCCACAGAAACCCATCAAGGATTATACGACGGATCCCAGACATTTGGTTCTCCTCAGTGGCTTTGAGCTGACAGGTAGGAGGGGGTTGGAGGTAGGGAGGGGGTTGGAGGTAGGGCGGGGTTTGTTTGGTTATGTTGGGTGAGAGGGGGGCATTCATTCATGGATTACACGGTACCACAGAGTCTGAGTCCGAGTCCCGTGTCATGCAAGTTGAGTCCGAGTCGCCATGGGCGTCAATCCTGGGGGGGACAGGGGGACATGTCTCCCCCACTTTTTGAAGGGTGGGGGACACAATATCAAATGTTCCCCCCCCCCCCCAGATTTTTGAACTCGTGTCCCATTTACAGGGCCCTATTATGTACTTCAATGTATCTTTTGCTGAAAAAATATTGGTTAAGGTGACCAGTCAGAAATTGCCTCAGATAGCACCACAGAGCATTTAGAATCCAAATTTTTTCCGAACCCCACGCCTGTAGCTCAGAATTCTGGTAGCCAATTCAATGACTCCAACCTCGAAAATGATGTTCAAATAATTATCTTTTGCTACGGAAATATTAGTTAAAGCATGGAGAAAAGTGGTAAGAAATTGCTTCAGATCACACCACAGAGCATCTAGCATCAAATTGTTTTAGGGGCCCTTAAGTGGGCCCCGAACCCCACGCCGTAAGGGCTTCACGCTTCGCGCTCGCATCAGTTCTGATCAAGGTATGTCCCCCCCACTTTTGAGAAGCGATTGACGCCCCTGCGAGTCGCAAGTCACGAATCACAATGGTTGATTCCGAGTCTGAGTCACAAGTCACGAGTCACAAAGGTTGAGTCCAAGTCACAAGTCACCTTTCAAGTACTACATAATTGGAAATGAATTTTGAGCCGCACACGCTATGTACATGTTCATGTATGTTAGTGCTTAGATGCGTTTCTTCTGACTGTATCACTTGCTCAAGAAAGGATCGTCTTCAAAATAACTTGTAATAATATTGAAAAGATAAGTGATTTGTGTAAAAATGTGGCCGAGTCCCAAGCCATACAGGTGGAGTCCAAGTCCAAAATGTCTACGTTAGAGTTTGCAGGATCGAGTCCCAGTCCGAGTCTTTTGTCATCGCGAAGTCCCGAGTAATGGGAATTGGGACTCAAGTCGGACTCGAGTTCTAGTTACGAGAAGTCTTCTTATAGTACTAGGTCATTTGCGTTTAACTTAGCAGACATTTCCAAGATTGCAACATTACGCCCTAGGGCCTTTTTGCTAGAAACCATCCTCAATCCTCAAAAATCCTCCAAAATTCGCACTTATGTTCAAATGAATGATCCCCATCAGTGCCTCAATCCTTTAAAATTGTCAGACAGTCCTGCCTCGAGAAATGCATTCATCCTCAATCCTCCAAAATCCTACTGTGCTAAAACACCATTCATCCTCAATCCTCCAAAATCCTCAAAAACCGCCAGGAGGATTTTGGAGGATTGAGGAGGGTTAGGGTTACTAGCATCATGACTTTGTGCATTTAAACCCTGGCCAGATGGCACAGACCGCTGTTCTCCATACACATGTAAAATCTGGATCTACATGTAGCTGCTATTGCCATTCCGAACAGTACACAAAGGCCAAGTTCGGGCAAGGACCATTAGTCGACTAGTGGTTGAATGGACCGATCCAGTAAGCACCGCCCCATGGTGTTCAGACCAATCACAGCCGTGATTTAGGTCCGACGTGCGTGCACTAAAGTCCGACATGCGTGCACGCGCGTATGATGCGCGCGGAAAGAAAATGCAGCGTGGCATTGGAGAGGAGCACGTGTTAATTTGCCCACGTGCGCACTGGGAGGAGCTTACTGGATCGGTCCATTGTGACGTACCTTACGCCTGCGCACTGATAGCAACGTGCGAACGTCTCTAGTCAAAAGCTGGTCAAAATGTCATCGCAAAACTTCAGGATCCTGTCTCTCTGCTAGCGTTATGAATGCGCACGGCTATTGGTTACCAGCGAAGCAACCAACCCCAGTAGGCTGGTTCCAAATAGTCGACTAGCGTAGTCAACCATCGTCGACTAGACAGAGTTCGGGCAAGCGTTAGTTAACCATTGGTCAACTATAGTCCTTGCACGAACTTGGCCCATGGTGAAGCTATGCACAGGTTCCCGATCCGTCCATTCCAATGTAGGGAGGGAACCAGTATCGATCATTACATCATTCAAAATCATTCAAATAGAGTCGCCTAAAAGTATACGAAACTGTTTTTCTTTCTTTTTTTAAAGAGGTTGTGGAATGCTCGAAGACATTTCCGTCATTTTTTGGGTATATGTAGCCTAAGGTGTGATGAAATAAAAACGACTATTGTTTCTGTCATGAAATGAGTACAAAGGGTACTTTTGAGAGCTATTTTTCAGGTCCTGTTTCGACCCGAACGTGCAATTTGTGTAAAAGTCGTCGTCGTGGGCAGCAAACAAAACACAGTAAATCGTTTATTAAACAGGACTCGTTTATGCTACTCTGCATCGGGAGCCCTGTTTATTACGTCACGATTTACTGTGTTTTGTTTGCTGCCCGCAACGACGACTTTTACACAAATTGCACGTTCGGGTCGAAACAGGCATGACAGGACTTGAAAAACAGCTCTCAAAAGTACCTTTTGTACTCATTTCATGACAGAAACAATAGTCGTTTTTATTTCATCACACCTTAGGCTACATATACCCGAAAAATGACGGAAATGTCTTCAAGCATTCCACAACCTCTTTAACACAATTTTTTTTGCAACTATAATGATATTTTTATTTTGCTGAATTCGATTGATTTAACATCCGATTGTGTTGCTGCGTTCTTATTTCTATTTTTAGAGAGGTCCTCAGGGGCGGATATAATTAAGCCCCTCCCCCCAGGCTCCTCCCCTTCCCATCTCCAAGTGG